ATATTTTTTCATGTTTTAATCTATTTATCTATACATTTCATGATTGATCAGTTTTTATCTTGATCACATTATAACATGGCCGTCATATGAAGACCACATATCTCCAAACCAGCTCAACTTTTCATTAGAGAATCAGCCCTGTTTCCAGCTTTATGACAATAACTTAGATCACTGGTTCTCAATCTATGGTACGTGTTACCACTGGAGGTACGCGAGCTGCCTCTAGTGATGTGTGGATGTCTGAAATACTTTTAAAAAGCTAAAAATATGTATTTAAAAACAAATAATACTATTAAAATATCACATTAAAGAACTTAAACTATGAGGTTGCTGACATGTATTTCATAGTAAGTTAATAAGTTAAATTAAGTTTGGACCAGGAGGTTCTATTCAAGATTCAACAATAAATAATCTTCTAATTAGGAATAAACCTGTCTGAATAGTGTCGTTATACACCGCTGTTGTTTAACGTCGGTCATAATGGATTTTTCCTCCTGTTTCTTTATGCTAAGCTAACGGGCTGTGGCTTCATATTTACCGACATGAAGAGTGGTATCAGCATATTTCCTTAAATGTCTAACTTTTTATTCAATTAAATCTTCAATTAAAAGCTTCTGAAATAGCATTTAGACAATCAACACATCGACAATAACTCTACTTTTACAGACTGATCTAGGATGATTTCTGTGATATAAAAGTAATAATAAAACTCTCTTTACTAACTACTGAAACACTGACAAGTATAATTTTCTTATAATAGATTTTTAGGACTATATTATACCTTCACTGTGCAATTATAGCCATATTAGTTTCTGTTTTTCTTTTAAATTACACTTATGCTGTATAACTGTGCATTTATGTTTATGCTGTATAACTGTGCATTTATGTTTGTTTTTGCACTGTGCAGCTACCTCCTGCTGTAATCTCTGTGCAATCTCATCCATCCCTCAAGTCAATATTATATCTATATATGTACAGATAGTAATAATACACACGTGTATTCAGTAAGTACATATAAAAAGGTGTATATAGTGCACATAAAGCTCATATAAATACACATAAATACATAATTTTGTATTGTGTTGTGTTGTAGCTTGAATTACAGTAACAAGTGAATATTCCCAGCATGGGATAAATAAAACGTTTTTGTTGTAGAAAATATGATTATTATCCTACTTATTATTAATAGGAGTATTGATATGTCAGTTGATTTACCAATTTAATAAATGGCGACCGAGCAACCATTAAAAAAAGTGATTTAATCTAAAAATGTTGCCTATTTTTGTGTAAAACCCTGTTTTATCACGTCTTATTCGCACATTACTGTACGACACACCTGATTACATCACCGCCCAACACTTCCTAAGTAACCTCACCAGCCTGAGCGGGCCGCACATATGAAATAATACACACACACACGGGGGGGGGGAGTGTTACCATGGATCACGAAGGAAACTCAAGGAGGAGGGTGGAGATGAGGTGAGAGGGGGGCTGTTAAATCTGATCTGGCCAGTGCTGACGACGGCAGTGTGGCTGCGTCCTCACATCAGCCTCGCATCAGTGTGTGTGTGTGTGTGTTACATAACAGTGTGATAAAGCTGCCTTTGGGATCTGACTGTGGCCGCTGAGCCTCTTACCTGTGTGTCATGGCTGTCAGGTGGAAAGCTCTGGCAGCAGATCTTCATCTTCCACATCAATCTCTGTGGAAAATGAGATGAACTCGCGGTGGTCTGTCGACGCGGGGATAGTCACTGTTTCCTGTTCGGCTGCTTGTTGCGTTTTGATACATAAATTAAACATATATTTTATATCCATCATTCTGAAGAATTCAAATGAATCGAATCCATTCAGGGTCCCAATTACTGGCATGTTTTCTAATCTCTCTTTAGGCCTGTTGGCACCTATTTTCAGCCTTTTTCAGTCAGTTTGTTGGTCCACAACGTCCGTCCAGACTGGAATATTTAAACAGTTGGTGGATGGATTGACATGAAGCTTTATACAGACATTCCTGGTCCTTAGAAGATGAATCCTACTGTCTTTGGTGATCCCCTGACTTTTCCTCTAGCACCAGCAGCAGGTCGAGATTTGTGGTTTTGAGTGAAATGTTTCAACGACTATTGGATGGATTGTCTTGCAATTTGGTTCACATATTCAGGATGAACTGTAACAACTTTAGTGGAACCTTAATTTTACATGTAGCACCTTTTGCTCTTCACATTGATCGGTCAATACTACTCGGACTACAAGATGCCAAAATCTTGGTCCCTTGCCGACCGATTCTGCATTTATATCCAGATATCTGTTTATAGAGACTCGCATAGCTGTATTTAATGCTAATTAACCAATGTTAGCCAAATGTTAATGTAATTTGTCAACGTTTTTCAAACATCAGGTACAAGAAATAACTGAATATGTTAAAAAAGAAGCCTATTAATTATTTATGGTTGTTAAAAATGATTTTAAAAATCCATAATACAGACAGAGAATTGTATAAAAACAGTTAAAAATCTGCTCAGAATTCATCCAAATCACTTACACATACACAAACTTCTTGCAGTCACTGAGTTTACTGTTTGGGTTCATTGTACAGTTTTGAATTTGTCAGTTTACTAAGTGATAGAAAAGTGGTACCTGAAGGAAAACTACTGCCTTTAAGGGCTAACAAGTGGTAGATTGCTGATGAAGATCACATAATACAACCAAAAGCTGTGACAGTAAGAACACAATTGTACACATTGTGGCTGTTTTATGGTTTTGATAGCACTCCTAGCAATGCTGGTTTTAATTATATATATTTATTTAGATGTTTTACGAATAAAGTTATAGTTGTTTAGCTATGATAATTAATATAATAATATTTTTAATCACTCTGTTTTATGTCACCAGTGGTCATACGCTGTCCTCAGGTGGTTAAAGTGTTGAATCAGGGGCCCGTACTGTACTGGAGGCCATGCAGTCTGTGTGTAAACTGTTGGCAGGAGTCTGGCTGGCTGTGTGTCCAGCTCTCTCTGTCCTGACCTAGATCTCTGACAGTAAACAGCTGCTTCCTAAAGCGACGTCGTGCTGCCATCAGCAGAACGGCCCGGAGAGATAAATGTCAGATTGGACCTCGGCTGAGCCTCTTGATGCAGCTCAGAGGCCCCGCGGTTTGTTTAAGAGATCCACAGACACTTAGCAGCCAAACGCTGCCGCTGCTGCTGCTGGTGTTTTGTTGTTTTAATTAACACTGGTTGCATTCAGGGCTGTTAAATAAAGACATAAACACCTTCATGCTGCCTATAGTTGCTTCAGTGAGCATCAAATGTGTTGACTGAGGGACAACACCAGCAGAAAAACTGCAAATACTGAAAGTGAAATCTGCTCCGGTTTTCAAATAAACCATAAATATAGCGACTTTTATACAACTTTAGAAAACCTGTTCTGTAAATAGTTATGTTATGGTTAAGTATTTACGGTAATAACAGGTGGTAATGACGTCAGGGAATAAAGTACTGAGGGGTTTTTATTGCAGAGGGACACACTGGCTAAAATTAGCTGCACAAGATAACGACATCTAACATTTCTGATGACGACAGGTAACTTTTTTTTAGCAACCAGTCCATCTGGAAACTTTGTTAATCAACCCAGTATCTCTACATTAGCAGTGAGCCAACGGCAGCTACATTGGTTGAGGCAGAGCAGCTGGAGGACGTCAGAAGGGATATTCACTCTAAATATGATCCAGTTTCTCCCAAATAACAGATAAAGTTGTGCTTTTTAAGGTAATGACGTCCTCTGTCCAGGTTATAAAAACATAATTCCAATTTTTGATCACCTGTACACCAGAATATTTCAAGGTTTTGTCTTGACCCTCATAAATCAACACAGTATGTGATAAAGATAAAGATAAACTTGACTCAGTGAGTTTATTATGAGGTATAATTTATGATTATGTATTTGACTACGTGGACATTAAATCCACAGTACAGTTCAACGGTGAATCAACTTAAGAAGATTTGAATAATCCCTTTGAATGTCAACTGTTGTCAAAGAGTAGGATTAAGAATTCCAGGTATTCTGTTATTAACCAGGTATTAGTTACTTACTAATTAAAACTAATTGTGTTTTTAAAAGGGTATTATTTAATCTATTAGGAAAATCCAGTTAAAAAAAAAAAATGGAAATTTGGTCCAATTCACCTCTCTTAACAGAAACTTTAATGGTTTAGGATTGTTCAGCTTTCAACCTGCAAAAACACTTAAATAAATGTACGGTTGCAAGATGAAAGTTCTAATTTATTGATTTAGATAAACCTTTCAGGTTGTTAACATTATTTTAAGTTGTGTTGACATAAATAAAGCAGAAAAAAAAGTTATATATTATTATATAACTCAAGTATATAACTCAATGTAGTACATTTGTTGAACATAATTTCATGAAGTTGCAATAACTCAAAAAGATTGATGCAAACTGTTGTGTTAATTTTTTTTATTGAGTCAAAACATTATTTTTAAAAGTCGTGCTGACATAAATAAAGCGGAAAAACAAGTTGGAACAAGTTAATTTTTAAGAGTAGCCTAATCCACTTAAAAACTTGTGTTTATGCTACAAATTGTAAGTTAAATGGTAATTAAAAACACCTTTGATTGTAGAGAAAAAGCTAATTGTAGAATTTTGTTAAACATATCATGAAGTTGCAATAACTCAAAAATTGATGCAAACTGTTGTGTTAATTGTTTTTATTGAGCCAAAACATTTGTTTTTAGAGTGACACAATAGTTGTTAGCTTTAGATCATTTAATTTTCTAACTTAATGATGATTCAATAAGTGATTATTGTAGTTTTACGAAGCTTGGACGGCAGCAGGAAGCAGATAACAGTGATTTCTCTTTGGGGAACAACACTCCAAACTCCGAAAATCCACTTCTCACCTGTCTTTAATTTCATTTTTTGCGTTAGTTAAGTAAAACAAACTAATTAGACAAAACGTCTGGCAGCTTTCAGTCAAAGACCTAATTTACCTCGACCGCCGCGGCCACCGCCACCGCCACCGCTGCTGCTGCGGATTAGCTCAGATGACTTTAGATTAGATTAGGGCCCCTGTGGAAACACAGAGGAAGCAAGAAGATTATAGCAAATGAGGTAACTGAAATGACCATTGTTACATTTCTGTAAACTACAGTACAGAGTCACCGCTTTGTTTTAGCAGATGGTTGTAGGGATGTTCTTTAAGTTTTACTTTCTAAATGTCGTTTTATAATGTACGGAATTGAAATTATCCTGAAAAGCAGTTTTCTCCTGCGTCTCATGGACTATTTTTTTGTATATTTCCTGTTTGGACTTCACAAAATCCCCATAAAAATGCAATTATTTCCGTAATGTCGCTGTTAATTAAAAAGGTTGCCAAAATAACCACGTTTTAGGGCAACAGATTTGGTTCTGGAAATGTATCTGCAATTTTTTGGACTCAAACATCAATCAACTGATCTAAAAAGTATAAAAAGTAACTCCAATAAACGAGTCTAGTTTTAAACGTAACTACTTGTTGTTCTAAGTTAATATTTTCTACAACAAACTACTAAAATCTTCCATGTACACACAGCGAAATAACAACATTTAAAATATTGTTTCTTAGCATGACAAAAACAAATAAATTGGAAACCTTTCTGAATCTCGGCGTAGTTCAGTAACAGTGTTTACAATACATTCATTCATTCAACACTGGTACCCACTTAATGGGGCCTCTAATACCCCAACTCATCCCCTCACCCGTGCAACCTCCCCCTCACGCTCTGGCTCATCTACTGACTGCTGACACAGCCATTACTCACCAGTTTAAAGCAGCTCTTTGGTCGTGCAGCTCAGCGGGTTCGTTAAGATTTCGGGTTGGGGGGGTGGTGTTGGTTTGGGAGGAGGTGGGTGTAAGTGCAAGGGGTCAGGCCAATGGGCAGCTGGGATTACCGCACGACCCACCATCTGCCATCCAAATGATAATCAGAGTGAGGAAATCAATTGCCTGAGTAAATATCAGGTATGTAAGCTCATTTAATGCAGTAAATTAAACTATAGGCTAATTTTAAGGCCGTTTCACTTGCTGACTGAGCACGTTGTCAGTATAATCACATATAATCACTCTTATCCTATCTTTTGGGTTATTCAATAGCATGTAAAAAACCCATATGTCCCAAATATGATCAGTAACGAAGTTCTATATCCCTGAATGATCAAATGTTCATGTTTTATGTATTATCTAGGTTTCTAATCATTGTCTATGGTCTGTGGAGGTGTATCTGCAAGTCACTGGCATTTCTAAACCGCCTGTGTTACTACATCTTTGAGTTAAAGTGAGGGCTGCAGCTATGGATTAATTAAGTAATCAAGGATTCTACACTATCAAACCAGTTAATTTAACTAAAAAAAAGCAACACAAACTCATTTTTTTTAGGTTAAAAAAGATTATTTTTGTACGTAGATCCCAGTTTTGCCGCATCAAAGGTAGATAATCCAACTCTACCGTTTTTAATTGACTGTATTGACAACCACTGGTCCAGATGAAACCTTGGTTGCGTCATACGTGGTAGCCTCTAAGCTGACCAATATGACCAATAATGGTCAGATTTATCTTTGAAGAACGCAGATGCTGCTCCATATGAGTCATGCAAATAACATGCACAGATTACAGCCGCTAATTCAAGCAGATGCCCCCCCTCCCTTTGCCTGGCACACGTTTTCCCGCCTTTTACTAATGCATCATATTGTTATCTAATCGGCTCAGCCATAATTAAAATGATATCCACATCCTCTCTTTTATACCATATTATCTTCAAACAATCAAATCTCCAACTGCTTTAATCCTGAAGAAAACAATGAGTTTCCGTGGAACAGCATGCACATTACGAAGACACTTCCCCTCACGTTCAGCGCCTAAACTGAACTGCACATAAAACCAATGTGGGAAGATCCTGTCTGATGCAGCGGGAGCCGGTTGCCCTCTGAGGTCAGCGCAGTGGTCATTTATTGTTCTGTTGTCGAGTGTGATGCTGCAGAGAGGCGTCAGTGGAGGATTAGCGAGCTGGTGGCACATGTCAGGGAGTGAGAGTGTGGACTAGAGCGTGCTGGACAGACCTGGCGTCATGGGGCTCAGAGCTGCTGACACACGGCTGAGCACGCTTCATCGCAGCACAGACTAGAGGAGGACGCGGGTTGGGTCTTAAGGTGTCTGATGATACACATCACACACCTTGGAGTTTATCCACACGTGATACTCACCTGAAAGAGTATTGATGATTGTACTGAATCTCTGAGGCCGCTGAGATACGCATCCTGATGCACCGACAACAATCCGACACATTAGAGATACATACGAAGCAACAACCAATGTGATATGTTGCAATTAAACACTGATTGAACACAAACGATGCAAAAGATGATGCTACGCAATTCAATATGGAATAGTTTGATTTTATTTCTTTGGATCTTCTTAACCAGCTTGAGGAAACAGTTTAAAGAGGTCACATTTCTATATAATAATAGCAAAAGAAACCTCCCAGTTTTATCAAAAGTAGAAAGTAAAAAAGCCTTGTTTCTGGGAAATGAGTCTTATTTTTGTCTAAATAATCTTGTTAAGCATGTTTTTTATTAAAAAATATATCTTAACTTTGTCTTAGACCTGATATTACAGGTAATATTGAGCTAAATTTAACCAGTAACAAGTTACAAGAAAGGTTATCATAATATCCCAAGATTATTTTCCTTATTTTAAGGGTACGACCTCTTACACAACTTATGTATTCATTTAAGTCTTTTAGTGGCTATATTTTTATATGAGATTTAAGAATTCTAGCCATTCAGCACACTTTTTAAATCGGTGCAATCGCATCTTGAATGTGCACAAATACGAACTGATGACTCTTACCATCTCTCGTTGCCAAGGGAATGGTGTCTCTGTGACCTCTACCACAACTGGTTGCCTAAAAATCTATCACTGTGTCTCCGCAGAAGGTTTTTCCTTAGTTTTCTTGTTTTATGCAAGTAACTACAGTTGTTCTCCTCGAGGCCTGTCTACACGACATGTCCGAACTCCTGCGTCGGACGTATCCTGTAATCTCTCTACTGGCTACTATCTAATAAGGCAAAAAACTTGAAGGACCTTGATGGTCTCCTCTCAAGGAAACACATTATAATAAATTCAGGGCTCCAACTCATTTTAAGAAATCATTTTCCAGGAGGTTTTCTTGACAATACAGGACATCATTTGTTCACACATTTAAGTTTTATTCCTCTCTGTTTTTAATTATCCGGGCTTAAATGATTGCTGTAAGTTCATTCCACTTTGTAGTGCGCAGGTTATCCTACCAACATTCAAGTCTCAAACAAAATACTTAGCTGATCGGAGGTCTGAGTGAAGTTAATTAAACATTTTAATGGACAACGTAGAATATTTCCCAGATATTTGGTTATTTTAATAAATTTCCAGGTGTTTCAATGACCAGAAAACTAGTCTCTAAATTCTAGCTTTTCCAGGGAACCCTAAATTTCTACTTGAATCAAATTAATGCTCCTGAAGGCTCTGAACATGCACTGGTGTTTTTACATACCTTCGCTGACAATGCCTCTGCTCAGGAGAAAGCTGGGCGGTCCTATGATGGGGATTTTTAACAGGTGCAATCAAACAGTGAAGGAGCACAATCAGAGGACACCCACAAAATCCTGAGTGGAGGAGAGGAGGTCTAATCAGGTAGAAGTGGAAGAAGAAGTAGAGTGGAAACACCTGTGGGAGGGAAGTTGTTATATTGCAGGAGGTGTTAGTTGTGTTTTATGGGCCAAGACACCGTCTCAATGCTGTGGACTGAACCCTGATCTCTCTGATGTTGGGTATGTTCATATAAGGTCTTTTAAACTGCACTAGCACTGATAATTTAGGCTCCATCTACTGGTTCTGTAGTTTGAATCTATCACTGGTGCCTGCAGTTGATTTCCACACCAGTTTCATTACCATGTATGTGATGGCATCTCTTGCATTGTGCATTAGGTGTATATATATTGTATTACATCCAACCTTTCTTGAGTTAAATGTCTCTCATCAAAACAATGACAAAAGCATCGGAGCCAAGGATTCCTCCACTCCAAAACAAACAAACCCGGTGATTAAGACCATTAAAAACACAGAATAAAGCAGTTTCAAACTTTTAATATGTCCTGGAGAGGGGCTGCACGCTGAGCTGCTGCTAACGTTGGCTCAGCTTGTTTCTCTGATAACTTAAGATCCAGACGTTCAATGACTTAAAGCTTTCATCTGGTTGTAATATAGAGTTAAGAAGGACCATGATATTAAAAGTGTATTGTAAAAATGTGGTTTAAAAAAAGTAAATTTATGACAGCTTCAGGCAGTTGTTACCTGTATAAAATGACAGATTTCTCTTGACTTTGAACATTGTTGGAAACATTTGGAATAATACACAACTCAACAAAAGTCTTTATAGACATTTTAATGCAGAAATGTGACTTTCAATATGATACAGCTGGACCAAATGTGTTTTCTTCATCTTGGATTTGTGCAGCCCTCAGCAGGTTCTGCAGTCAGTCAGGCCGCTGCCATGTAATCAGGACGGGAACTCGAGCTGTCCCTCAGCAGGTCGCTGTGGCCCCACTCATTATCTTATCTCCCATTGTAACCCGCTGTAATTCACCCTCTCATGATTGATGATGTCGCTGTCTGATTACACCAAGACAAAACCCCCCTAAGATCACCTTTCGTTCCTGTGGCCAACTCCACGAGCTCCACGAGGTCCGCTGGAGAGGATGACGATTGGGGGGGGGGTGAGGTTGTGTGACCATGCTGAGCTGCTGTCACACACACGTCACGTTCTTATTATATCTGGGAATGTCGTTAAAAATTGTTTATCACTGAAGTAATGTTCATACTTTTAATACAACAAGTCCGACTTTCCTGGAGAAGAGCGATTACATTTTGCTGCTACTGCCTCATGTTTGATTGATTTCAGGTTGTAATTTTCAAGATGCACCTAACAACAAGACACCGAGTGTTCCTGACGAGGAGCTTCGTGTGGTGCAGCACAAAGAGAAATAAGAAAGCCGCGGTATAAAACATTTAGGCTGGAGGCTCCTCTGCTTCAGATCATGTCCCTTGTCCCGCCTTGGACAAATCAGATAGGTAACCTGTGCTCTTTTTAAGTGAGACAGTGAGCCTCATCTCTCCATGCGGGCAGGTGGAGACAGATGCCTCATTATCCATGCCACAGGGGACAAAACAAGCCCAGGACCCGATGGGGGCCCCCCCGCTGGCGTTTAGTTTCCAATGCACCAACACAGGGCAACCTTGGACCGCCGCCGGGACGCGCTCATCTCTGACCTCAGCGAGCGCAGGTCGCTTGCAGAGTCACATTAAACTTTCAGAGAACCCAAAGGTCCCCGTCAGGAGTGTTAACAGCAGCATTGTCCCGGCTCCCCCCTGACTCAAAGGGCCAAGTGTAACAAGGCACCGCCTCCAGTGGTCAGGGCCGCCCCCCCTGGGTCCACAGATACAGTGACACCCTTCAAATCCATCTACAGCTCCTTTTGAGTCTCTGTGAGTCAGACAGAAAGACAAGAGAAGATTCAAGAGCCAAGTGGCTTATTTTTATTTGTTTATTTTTACAAGCTGAGCAGAAAAAGTCAGAGAAGCTTCAGCGACGCAGACGAATCTGACGACTCAAACTACAGCGGGAAACGAGCGAATGTGGATCAGGCTCAGATGATGGGATTGCCACTGAGACGGCTGATCACATTAAAGGTGCAGTCTGCCTAAACAGGCTGTCGCACCCTGCCAGCTAAAGAGTTACTAAATATATCCTTCCAATATGCTGTTAGTTTTTGAATAAAATTAACGTGACGATTTAAAAAAATAAATGAAATGCTGCTTTAGCTACTGTGACTCATTCAGGCCATATTGTAGCTGCTTGGTTTATTATAATTTTAATACCAAATGAATTGCATTTTTTGAGGCCTTAACATGCTTGAAAAATGGCTTAGCCATGCCCCCCTCCGAGTCAGCCCCCAAGACACGTACGACCGCCATGTACAAAAATTGGTAGGCATGTGTATCATGATCAGACAAGCAAAAAAGCCTCTTGGACCCATACCCTAAACTCAACAGGAGGTCAGCCATTTTGAGTTTTGTGGTTATTTTGTGGCGTGACATCTAAATTTGATAATTAACGTTTGATAAGAGTCTCGTCCTGAGCACATCTACGTAAAAATATTCAATCACAGTGATAGCGCCACCTACTGGCAAGCCTTGTGTGGCGTTTCTGATCTGATTTACATTCAATTTTTCATGTCGTAGTCTGCACACGATAGGCTGGCTCATGACGCGGCAGCAGAACACCCCGACACAGGCCCCCCGTTCATCGCTGCTTTAATTTCTTATGGTTTTATTTACTGAGTTTAATTTAAAACATCTAAATAAAATCATATTGCACAATAATGTCTCTGCCTTTATAGCCTACATTTTATTTTTTTAATTTTATTTTTAAATAAACATAAAAAAAAATAAAATTACCCTTTATTTGTCGACGTTTTAAAAATGTAATCTGAATATCACAGATCTGTTTGTGTGGCTGATTTTTATCACACATTTGGCCCAGAAAACTGGCAAAGAAATCAGACCAGGGACATCTGTTGAAGGTGTAGCCTGGTCCATAATCATAACTCTGTAAGGCCACTGACCCCCTACTGTTAAAGTAAGATAATATTTATCGGGGATTGTTGGATGTAATATTTCTAAATCAGTGTATTTTGCAGAAACAATGAAAACACCTGCTGCAGATTTTGTGACATCACTTCAACATAATGCAGCTTGGCAACGGAGGAAGCTGAGAACTGTAAATAAATATGAGAATTTGATTAACACTAAAGGATTTGTTTGTCCACACGCTACGTCCTTTGTTTTTCTGCAATAGTGTCATATTTGTTAATACGTTTGTTGTTGTTGACAAAGTATTCAGATCCTTAATTTAAGTAAACAATCTGAATTTACTCCAGTCCTGCATTTAAAAGCCTAAAACACTTGTTATGCCCTCGAAAGGCTCAAGATAAATTGCTTTTGTGAAATACTGGATCATTTTTACCTCTTTTGGACTCAAAGAAATGATTTAAAGGTCCAGTGTGAAACATTTAGGAGGATCTATTGGCAGAACTGGAATATAATCATTATCATGTTTTCATTAGTGTTTAATCACCTAAAAATAAGAATTATTGTGTTTTTGTTACGTTAGAACAAGCTGTTTTTAATCTACATTAGATCCTCTACTACGGAGTCCGCCATGTTCAACCACCACAATTCTACATTAGACCAAAACGGACAATCCAAACCCTGGATCCAGATAGGGCCTGTCCTTTGAGCTCCCAGTCAGACTAATAATAGGATGCTAACAGCTGGTTGCAAGCAGCAAATAAAAAAACATGATATAAATCTCTTAACTGCATAACTCCAGTCCAATGCCGTAGTTTTAATAAATAAATAAAGATGCTCATTAGCTTTTAAAGGAACTCCACTATCAAATATTCTAACAATATTCATTATATTTATATAATCTCTGACACAGATTTATTCTTAAGGTGGAACAAGCATTTAGACCATCACAGTAAAATAAAAGTGAATCCAAGAGCAGCTCTTGTTACTACCTTTAAATAAATCAAAGTACAAAAGGAGATTTAAAAAAAAAAAAAGTTTAATTAAATAAATGTTTTCATTACATATTAAAAATTCTTCTGATATAACTATCCTCAATTAGGAGTAATATGGATTGGTCCAATATTTAATAATATTTGATGAGGTTTAATGAAATCTCAGTATGATGAACCCTGGAAAATAAAAGTCAGGTAAAATAGAGGATTTGCTTCCATCTAGTGGTTTGGTCCTGAACCTCAATCACAGCTTAAACAGCAGAGCAAAAATAAATCTGAATAATGAACTAGAAAGACTTGACCTTATCTCATCATGTAAACTGCAACAAAGTACTTTTAAATATAAGTAACTGTACAAATGATTGTGCATAAAATCAAACACTGATTTCCATCCTCCTTTGTTCATTTTATGGAGAAGCTTTTTTCTAACAACCTCATTCCTTTTGCTCTGTTGTCTTCTTGAGGCGACGCTGCAGCAGGTGCACAAACACAGCTATATTCACAACGAACTGGATAAGACCTATAGAGGAAATGCCGTAGTTCACGTACAGGAAGCCTCCAGCAGTCGGCCCGACTGTGCGAAGCAGAGATTGGACGGACGCACACAGTCCCAGCATTGTGCCTGTGTACGAGAGCAAAGCGGGTTCAGTAAACAACTGAATTAAAACGTCTACAAACACTAGACCTTTGTTCTGTATGTAACATTATTTCAAATGTTTGCAACAATGTTCAATCTTCAGGTGTTTCATCAATTGCGTCAGACCCCCTTTGTGTATGCTTGTGGTTGTCTGCCAGAAACTGTCATAAATGGGCTTTTTATCCAGTCTTAAGCCACATTTTTATGATTAGCTTTTTAGATCTTGGTTGTTTTTAACTGGATACGTGAACTAGATGAAGGATTTTAGTTATCGGATGACCCTAGCTGAGCAAACGTCAGCAGCAGGATGTCTTTTGTCTGCCGAATAGCCGAAACACTGAAACTCCTTTATTCAGAGTTTTTTCTACTTTTAGTCACTCGTTTGTTTTGGAGAGGAAGAGACCTCTGTGGATAATTCAGCTCCCGGTGAAAACCTCCAGAACGTCTGAATCCTAAATTATCATTAAAACAAGCTGAGCTAACGTTAGCAGTCTGGGTCGTCCTCTGTCTGCTGAACAGCGTTACTTATTTTTAACATTTATCTGCAGATAATTTGGCTCGTGGTAGAAACCTCCTGAACGATGAACACTGAAGGAATCCTAACTGTCAGTTTGTGTGCTGTGCAAGCTGAAAAGCAGGATGACATCACCTGTGTCAGAGGACGGTACGCTCTTGGTGAGCATGCTATCCGTGATGACATTAAACACACTGAGAGAAAACATCATCGGGACCACGGTGAGACAGAACTGGAACACATTCTGCATGTAAGCCTGCAAGAAGAAAGACAGAAAAATTAAAATATCACATACGTCCTACGATACAAAGAAAGACTCGCGTAATACTTGAAGCAAGTGCACTGTATTTGTACCACATGCAATAGCATTTTGAGGGCTGGATGTAGTAAATTTGACCTTGATATATATATTTTCCCTCTATATTTAAATCCTCCCCCAGTGTGTGTGTGTGTGTGTGTGTTGTGTTTGGTGTACCTGACCCAATCCAACCAAAGAAGAAACTCCAATGGACAGAAGCAGCAGCGAGTTCTCGGAGTACCTCGCTGTGAGCCGACCGATCACAGCTCCCTGAATAACCTGAACAAACATCCAGAGTTTAGTGATCCTCCTCTGATATCACCTTGAGCTGCAGTGGAATCATAATGAACACTCACCATCTGGACGATGCCAAAATAAGCCATGAGATAGCCGTTCTGCTCAGGTTGCAGCTTGAAGAACTCCAATGCAATGATGGAAAACATCACCTGGAAAATGCCTTTGAATGGAGAAGAGCAATTGTTTTGTTTCAGTTTTGGTGCTTACATAAAATGTCCAAAGTTCTTTAAATGTAATTCTACTGAACCCAGAATGAACAGACCATCATTATGTATGTTACTATACAAGTTGCTCCAGTAAATCCTACATCAGAAATAGAGCCCGATTGATATTTTGAGACCAATACTGATCCCAATTTTTGCAAAGAAGGCTGCTTTCTTAAACAAGTAACTTTATTACAATATTAAAGTTAAAATCGAGTGTTTCTACTACCTCGTTTAATTGATTTCAAAGGAAATCCGACCAAATCTGACCCAGTGGCTGCTTCTTGTAGTACATTTAAATGTTGTTAATAATAATTTAACATATACATTATCAACAAATTGTAGTTATATATAATAATATACATACACTGATACCAGTATGTCTGCAACAGGCCAATATCAGTCGATATATCACTCAGGCTCTAATCAGAAACATCAGGACTCTTGTTTGTAGAAACGATTTGGGATTGAAAGTGCTGAATATACTGTATAACATCTATAAACAATGTCTTTAACAGAACCTCTTCTCACATGAACTCTCACCTGATGGCAAACCGGCGACAACCTTCACAACAAAAGTCCGTGCCACACCTGGAAACTTCATCAGTCGTGTGATCTCTCCCACGCTGAATACTGACTTGCCTTTGGTCTCACCTGTAGCAAATTAAAGCAGAAAGAATACAACTGAAATCGCTGCCAGATTACATAATCTCTTACAAACTCAAACAAACACACAGTAAAAGAAAAAGGCACACAGGCAAGTGTAGCTTGTCCAAAATCACTGATTATCTAAAATAAATTATTTCACTGAAACTGAGAATTCAGATTGAAGAAATAGTAAACATTTTGGTAAATATGATTTCCTTTTCTTGTTTGAAGCAGTAAATTAATACCACTCTAATGTCTGTCCATTCAATATGAAGCTAAATAAATATTCCAGCATATTAATGAACTGTAGAGGTGCTGGTATACTTTTAATAAACACACACACTGTAGATAAACTGCATTTTAAATTCAAATTAAAAGGTATCTGTTAATAAATGATTTTGTCTTACGTAAATATTACATTATATATGAATGATTTGATCAAAATATCAAATAGTCACATGAGCTCTTCAGTCTGGCTGAGCAGCTCTTTTTGTAAAGACTCAATGTTGGAGAGGCACCTGATGGCTGGGTTTCTTTTTCTTTGATGCCCATTTGATCCCCAACAGCCTGATAGATCTTGCTCTCTTTGAGCTTCTCCATCTGTCTGTCGAGTTCTTCATCACATTTAGAGTTCCCACTTCTGGTCCTCTATTTTTCTTCATGCCCACCTCCTCAATTTTCTGGATCTTCTTGCTTGAGGAGATGGATTTGGTTCTTCTGCACTTTGTATTGATAGTGCTATCATTGATAGTGTGGCTGTATTTGAAGTCACACACTAACTTACTGCCTACTACATATATACTGCATACTGCCTACTAAACTAACGATTAAGTATTGCTGAAGAGGTCTGTGAGCGGACTGACCGGGACTGAATGACAGTTTTTAACTAAAGGGAATAAAGTACGACGGTATTTTTCTGCCAGATTTGGCTCCTGCCACCCTAGTGCTAAGTCAGCTAACGTTAGCCGCATGAGCTAACTAGCTAACGGCATCTAACATAACTGTTCAGAGTTTCCAGGTGGACTAGCTACTTTTAGCAACAAGTCCACCTGGAAACTCTGATCCGCACCTCGGTACGGCAGAGCAACTGAAGGACATCGGAGGGAAAACTAGACAATATCTTCTCCATAAAATGATCCAGTTTAACCAAAATCACAAATAAAAACACATTTTGTTTTATGGGAAGACAAAATGATTGGATTGGACGCACTCTTAATGTCCAGGTGAAACGAAAATCATAGCACTGTTTTTACAGGAAATGCGTAAATATGCAGAAGCAAACAGCACTCTGATTTCTGTTTCATGTGGACTTCAATGACTAAAAGCAGATAATAAAATCTAAATAAGAGATTTGATCTGAATAGTTTCACTGATTCAGAAAGTAAAAAACTACTGATCTACTAATTCATGTAGATATCAGTGTAACACAAACCCCCAGAATTTATAAGTTTGATAAACACACTGTAGATTAAATTCAGTGTGATAGGATTTAAAATTAAAATCCTAAAAAGGAACTTTTGACATATTTTATTGTCTTACATATATTATCTTACATTGGGGATATAAGTTATTAATATAAATAATCATCATTTATTGATAAAAAAAAAAAACAACATTTAAAACCGTGACCGGCCCAAGGTCTCTAAAGAAGACGAGGAAAACCTCCCAAAATCCTTAGTTCGTTAGGATAATGGGATCAGATTCAAAGAGAGATCCCCCCTCCTCGGACTCAGAAGAATTGTTTGAATTTGTCTGGAACCAATGGGTATCACCAAACACTGGGTTTCCTCCTTTGTGATGCTGTGCCAGGCCTTTATTGCAGCTGTCTTCAGTTGTTGCTTGTTTGTGGGTCTTTCTGCTTCAAGTTTTGTCTTAAGCAAATGAAATGCATGCTCGATCGGGTTGAGATCTGGTAACATTTCCGCTATCCCTCTGATGGATTTCTCTTTTTTTGCAGCCTAAGGATGGTCGGTTTCACTTCCATTGAGAGCTCCTTTGACCGCATGTTGTGGGTTCGAAGCAACAGCTTCCAAATGCAAATGCCACACCTGGAATCAACTCCAGACCTTTTACCTGCTTAACTGATGATGGGTTAACGGGGACTAGTACATGCAGCCCATGAAATAGCTTTTGAGTTAATTGTCCAATTATCTTTGGTACATATTAAAGAGCTGTAAACCCTTCCTCCAATCTGGATGTGAATACTGTCAAATTAAAGCTGAGAGTCTGCACTTTAAGCCCATATTGATTATATAACTGTTTTGAATATGTTTTGGTAAACAGCTAAAATAAAAGAACTTGTCCAAATATATATGGACCTAACTGTATGTCACAGTCAGGGGTCAACAGTTTTTTTAATGATAGAAAAGGATCCCTTAAGGAAAAAAGTTCTAGTGGATTGTCAGACTGACAATATAGAGCTGAAAATGAGCATAATAGGTTCCCTTTAAGACCAATGTCACACATCAGTGTAACCTCAAAAAACAAGAATTTATAGTTTTGATAAACACACACTGTGATAACATTTTAAATTAAAAAAACGTTAATAACATACTTTATTGTCTTATTACTTAATATTCTTACAAACAAAAGGTCATTTATTATTGTTTAATTTAATTTAATTTAATCTAATTTAATTTATTTCAGATGTGAGGGAAATCTGTCTTGGTTTGTCACACCTAGACTTTGTTTCGCCTCATGGCCGTCTTCTTCTGCAGTTCTTCACACCGTTGGTCCTTTTTGATGTCTGCCAGTTCGATCCCCAGTTTTTCACTGTCACTTTTGTAGATGTTCCTCTCTGCTGTTACTGCCTTGAGCTTGTCTTTCTGGTCTCTGACTGTCACCTGGCACAGGATCAACTGCTCAGCCACCTGCGTCAGCCTTTCCTTCAGCTCCTCACACAGCTTTTTTGTCTTTGTCAGCTCTTCAGTCTGGGCGAGCAGGTCTTTCGTTAAGGACTCCATTTTGTGGAATGGCACCTGCTGGCTGGGTGGTGGTGGTGGGCGAGGTTTGCTCTGTTGGACTACTACAATTTTTCTGTCCATTTTATCTCCAACAGCTTGATAGATTTTGCTCTCCCTGAGCTTCTCCTTCTCTCTGTTGAGGTCTTTCTCACACTTTTGGAGTTCGCGCCTCTGGTACTCTGCATCGTTTTCTTTACATGCCATCTCCTTCTCAAGTTGCTGGTTCTTCTCCTTGAGGACTTGGATGTGGGTCATCTGCTGTTTGGACTGATGGTTCTTGCTGTTCAGGATTAATTGCTGGTTGGTGATTTTGTCACGCAGCTGAGAGCATTCATTTTCGAAGCGTTGCCACTTGTCATTCAGACCGTCTCTGTCTTTTTTCACCTGGTCCAGCTGTTCCTTCAGGTTTTGCTGCTCGGCCCTCTGGCTGACAGCACTTTGCTTCACCAACTTCAGCTCAATCTTTGTTGCCTCCAGTTCATCCTTGAGGGCCTCATTCTCTTTGTTCACCCTCTTCAGGATTCTTTCCTGGGTCCCAAACCTCTTACCCAACACTGACGCTTCACTTTTGCAGTGCATCAGCTTGGTCATCTGGTTGTCTTTGTCTTTGTTGATCGTGACCAGTTTATGCCACTCTGCCTTGAACTTTTCAGCATCACTTTTGAAAGACTCAACTTTCCTCTTGAGGATCTCATTTTCCTTCATGAGGCCTTTGTTGGTCTTTTGAATGGCGAGATATTCACGCTCTGCATCGGGAAGGATCGTTGCCAAGACATAATGGTGATAAGCTGACACCTTGCCTGCCTTACGCGATTTCTTGTTATCAGAGTTAGATTTAATTTTCTGAAAGAACTCCATCTTTCCTGTTCGGTCTCTTTACACTGTGTTTAACACCGGGTCTTGATGAGATTTGAAAAGTAAAGATTAATATCTGACCTTCTCTTCAAGGTTGTCTATCGTGTAAGAATAATCACTCTATGACAAAACAACATTCCAACAGGATGTGATGCAACAAAGGCCACATTCTACAGAGTGCCTTTGTGACATCACAACATTCCAACAGGATGTAATGCAATAAAGGAAAACACATTCTACAGAATGCCTTTGTGACATCACAACATTCCAACAGGATGTAATGCAATAAAGGAAAACACATTCTACAGCTGAGCCGAACATTCTATTCTCACACACACACACACACACACACACAAACATAAAAGTGTGTTTAATATTTAGATTTCTTTTTTTACCCCGACCTCAAAATCCAAGATGGCTTCTCTGCACATCAAGTGAGTGAAAACTGTACTATATATAATATAGTATATTAACATACTGTTTCATTAGCACTTCTGTCTTTTCTGTCTCATTAAATCAGTCGTACACGCAGTAATGTCCGACATCTGTCTGTGGACATGTTGTGTGAGCAGAATACAGCATAGTGCGTTGTTATCCAACCGGAATTGCTAACAATGGCTAACGGTTAACCTGGCTAGAGCTTGGTTCTCCGAATTGTTGTACTGGAACGTGGTCAACTCGGGTGTGACGTCATTCCCAGTTCCGACTTCGGACGCCTGAGGTAAATGGAACGCACCGTAAAGGACCGACAACACGATCTGCACACTCCTTTTGCTCACAAATTCAACAATAAAATGTTTGAATTTATGCTCAGATTTGCACGTCTTATTATTATTCTTTCCCAGAATTAAAGTTGAAATAATTAAAATGTTATGATTATATAAATAGCCAGCTGCTTTTCTATGCGAAGTAACACGAATGCCCTCCGTGTTGATGGTGCTTAGCCTACCAGCTGCTGTCAATCAAACTCTTGATATTTAAAGAGTATTCCTAATATTTTCCCGAATACTCCTTTCTTCTTCATTCTAAGAATATGAAACAATTTAAAATAAAAACAATGACATTATATTGACTGCAGAAAGGGATGAATGACTGTGATTTCAGCTGGACTTTAACCTGCTCACTCCTACTTCTTAATGCCTGTGTGCCGTAAGGCTGAACATCAGCATTCAGAAGAAGATGGAAGTGTGTCTTACTGTCTGTGTTGGTTTTTGGAGCTTGAACCTTGGTAGTTTTTGGAATAAACTTTAAAACCAACAGTAAGCTGAAGGCACTCCCCACGGCACCAACACAGGCAGTGAAGGTCTCCCTGGGAAATACAAAGTAGAAGCAGTGTTAGGTTTACTAAAGTATAAGTAGTATAAATTTAAAAATATTTCATAGTCTATGATCATCTTTGCACTTCCATGTTGACCTGGGAACCAGCTGACATTTAACATGACTATGTTTTTTAAAAGAACATTTTAATTTTCAACCTGTGAATGTTTCAGTTAGCCTGATCAACTGCTTTATTACTTACTGTCACGCAGGATTTAGACATGGTTTATCTATGACAGTGAGTAGCAACCTTGAGGACTAGCATGGAAGATAGGCAATGTACTGCTGTGGACGGGAACAGCAACAAAATGTATTTTAGCTACCTAGCAAAAAGGCCCACCGAAAAAAATCAACGTGTGTTAAAGTGTACGCTATATTTAGAGAATTTTAATCCCTTCACCTTGCCATCAGACAGTCCTTTCTGACAAGACACTGAAGCGTTTATATCAATATATATCAATCTCTTCAAAGTAACCATCCTCCTTTTGACAAATGAAAATCCCATTTTACCGCACAGAACACCGGTTTTTGTGTGACTCAAGTGTTTTAACACATTAGTTTTCCAACTTACATTAATTGCTGTGGATTAATGCAGCAGTAAAAAGGCAACTCCTGTGTGCTGCGAGTTAAAAATGAGTTTGGAGAGAGCAATATAAACTCTGGAAAGGACAATGTGACAGCAAGTTGTCTAGTAAAAATATTCTAAATATAGCCAACTGATAGTGATTTCTTTAGGTGTTTTTTTCTTTTCTAAAATATATTCTGTTGCTGCCTCCATCCGCGGTAGTACATTGCTAAGCTACCGTCCAACCCTCCACTCTCACATACAGGGACACTCACCCATAGCGTGTGTTAAGATGGCCGCCCAGCGTGGAGCCAGCTATCATACCGACGCCGAAACACAGACCAAGTTTGGATAAAGCATCTGCCCTTTTTTCAGGTTCTGAGAGGTCTGCAACGACCATCTGAGATGCTGCAGACGGGAGAGGGAGGAAAAAATAACATCAGGTGAAACTGCACTGATTTTAACAGTGCCACTGGGATGAGATGGTGTTTGATCATTGAGTTTAGGTCATACAGTAGAGCCGTGCACAGGGATCAGACTTTTAACTACCATAAATATTTAGAGGCAATATGCTGTTAACTAGGGCTGCAACAACTAATCGATTATAAAAATAGCTGGCGATTAATTTACTCATCAATTCGTTGGATCTATGTTATGCAGCGCATGCGGCGGCAACGTCTCAGGTGGTGGCAGTGAGCCAGCCAATGCCGTGCCGTGTGCAGCTCACGTGACGACGCCGTCTATCTTGCTTGGAGTAAACATTTGAAAGAGTGCGACGACTTAATTTGTTGTGTTGTTTTGGGTCGCAATAGGCATTCACGAGTTCAGCGCGCCAGCTTTTGTTGGCAGATTTGACTCTGTTTTGATGGAGAAAATGCACGGTTACCAATTTCGAAATAATTGAACGGACAGAAATATATCCGGTTCGTTTCATAATGGATCAATGTAGCCGGGCCACCAATAAAGCTATTTAAATCTATTTAGGTTGGAGAGACACTTCAGTATAACTAACGTTATGGAGTTGCTGGATTATATCTTGCTATTATTCAGAGGCAGTCTAAAGTGAATCCATATTACTTCACAACAGAAACTTGAACAATATCTGATCCAGTTCTGATCTCATTAGTTACATTTCCGTTTTATTTTTGGTGAATGAATTTAACAAACAAACATAAAATGAATAATAATAATAATATAATGTATAAAGTGCACTTCAGTTTGTAGCTGAACGGTTTTTAACAGTTATCAACAAAAACACATATATATAGGTTTTGACAAATTTCACATAGCAGGCCTTTCCATTTGTTTCAAAACAAAACCTGTTCAAGTCTTCAGTTTAAAAAAGGGAGGGGATTTATCTGAAGAACAGTTTAAATAAAAACCGTTCAGCTACAAACTCAAGTGCACTTTATAAATTTTTTATTATCATTATTTATTTTATGTTTGTTAAATTCATTTGGCTCCTTTTAAATGGAAGACTTGAAAAGGTTTTGTGTTGAGGAAAATGTAAATACATTTTATAAAAACAATGTTTGTAACATTTGCTTTGTTTTATTTGGCAAGTTGTTTGAAAGAACATGTTACAAGAAGACCAGTACGCCGTTTTTTGAATAAAATACTGGAAAGGGTAGAAATTTAGTTTTTGTCTTTTTATCCGATTAATAATCGATTAATCGAAGTAATAATCGACAGATTAATCGATTATCAAATTAGTTGTTAGTTGCAGCCCAACTGTTAATGCTTGTTTTTGGCCATATTGCTGTAAGTTAACAGTTCAAATACAGACAAATACTGCACTCTTATCAGCGGTATGCAGTTAAAATGCCACTTACTTTTCTGAAGTGATCAAGATAGGTAGCTATTGAACATGCCTCCGAAGCAGAGAATGTCTTAAATGCCTAAATTTAAGTGTTTAACCATATTTAACCACATCATTACCACAAAACATTATCCTAATTGATATTTCCCTACTAGTGTTGGTTACTATAATCACATTTCACTCTGTAACGTAACACATTAATGTTCCTAAATCAGTAATCACATTACAGTTACTGATCAAACAATTATGTTACTTGGGTTACATAAGTTCTTCAGTTATATTTCATGTGCAAGTGACTTCCTTGCTTTCGACGAGGAGGGGGCAGCTTCCTTCAGCTCAGATGCTGAAGTCAATGAATGTAGTTTGAGACGAAGATCTTCACATCAGATAAGCTGGACTAGTTTAATATATATATATATAGCAATAGTCTGGTGAGTGAGCAACTCGAGTGAGTTTGCTCGTTAAGTGTTGTTCATATTGTGTGATTTCAGACGCTGCTGTCGAGTAACGCAGCAGTAATGAAATGAGTAGTGTAACAAACAGCTTTGTACATACAGGGAGTAATTAAGTAAAGTAATGCAAGTATGGTAATGTGTGATATATGGCTTAAAAAACCCAACACTGTTCCCTACATACACTCTTACATTTAATATTCCAATAAAAGTTGGAATTTATTTCCTAGCATCCATACAGTTCCACTAAACACAGTAAATTCTTGATTTGCATGTGTATTGTAAACAAGGGAGTATTGTGGGGAAAAATTACATGTCAAACTTGTCAAAAATGACTTGAATCTCAAGTCTCAGATGTTTTTACATACAGATGGCCCTAAGAAAGGGGGATGTGACTCATAAATAACAAATGTATGACTGATCTGTACAATAAATAATAATAATACAGGTTTAAAGTTTGAAATGTAAAATATTAATCTGAGTGAGGAGGACTGTGGCTGAGTGCTGCTTACCAGGTAGGACATGCATGAAGACTGTGGGCAGTTTGTGGATGAAGAGCATGGCAGGATGGTCTGCTATGGCCAGCAGCAGAAAGAAAACTACGGTTGAAGCACACGCCAGAGACAAGGCTACTCGTGCTCCGAAGAGATCCGCGAACCTGCCAGCGACAACAAAACCCCAAAACAGTGCCACTAATACGGGGCTAAACAGCAGCAGCTTCTATCATATATGAAGAAAAACATGCAACAAAAAACTGTAAAACTTTACAGTACTTTACCTCCCAAACATTGGACCTCCCAACAGCTGGATCACACCCACCGTGGTTTGTAAATAACCAAACCACAAGGTGTCGAAGCCGAGTTTCTTTGCCAAATACTGTAGAGAGACATGATGAAGAATACATTCACGTAATCGTATGGAGCATGTTAATGTTCTCACAGCAGGTATTGATCTAGTGGGGCTTGTTGAGTTTAAGGCGTGCTAGAAAACGTATTAAAATACACACACAGTAGGTTTGTATCTCAGCATTTCATTGTTCTGTGAGGAGTAAATTGTCTAGTAGAACAAGGCCCAAACATCAGGGACAAGAAAACACTTAATTTGTCTAAAAATAAGCCCATAAAGTCTGTATGATTGTTTAAAATTATTAAAAATCACATAATATAGACAGAGAATTGTATTAAAAGTTCCCTAAATAGAAAATAATCTGCTCAAAATTCATCTAAATCCCTTAATTTACACAAACTTCTTGAGTTCACGGTTTGGGTTCATTGTACAGTTTTGAATATAACATGAAATATCCATAAAATATGTAACTGAGTCAGTTTAATACACAATAGAAAAATGTTGTCCCTTAAGGAAAAAGGTTGGGAACCACTGATGCAGGTTTAGTACGGCCTCAGTTTGAATCTGTACATGTGACACTCAACTGGCATCCAAACTGTGACTTTATTTGTCGTTTTAACTGGATATATTGTGTATTTACTGTTTTTTGTTGCGCGTTGTTCTCTCACTCCTCGTGGATCAAGGGCATATTTGACCTCGTTGGAGTGGAGAAAATGAGGTATACTGTTGAGGGTTGGAGGATAATGGGACCTTCTTTAACAGCTCTAATAGTGTGTTTTCTTTAATTACTTAATTGTACCTATGGTTTATTGTGTGAGCTCTCTGTATTTGCCTTTATTCTATTTATTTCCTTCTAATATATGTAAATTTCTACTGTTTTTTATGTTTTCCTTTATGTTTGTTACACTTGCTCATACTCTTTCACATGTATGTTGTTGATAATCTAATAAACTAGTTTGGAAAAAACAGAATGTGTTGCTCTTTACAGACAAAAATGTACTTTGTAATTATTGTTACTTTAGTAAAAAAGAATTACAATAGCTGCCACGATTAAAGTTTAATCAGTTTGTCCTTGATGAATGTTACTCTCAGCCATATTTGTGGAAGGCGGTGATGGGAGTGGTGGCAGCGTTCTTTATTTCATAATGTGTGACTCCAGGGTTTTACTTAAGAATGAAGAAGTTGCTCACAGTAAAGAATATTACGCAAACCAGTCCAAAACTTAAACATGTTCAGAATATAAAACAGAAAAGCAGTAAAATACTTATGTTAGAGAAGCAAAAACCCAGAAAAAGTTCAAAAGCATTTTTGCTTGAAAAGTGAAAACAATCATTGATTATTAAGAGTTGCTGATTAATTATGTGTTCATCTACAAGTAATTTTAATTCTTTCAGCTCTACGGCCAAAACCAAAGGTAACAGAAGACTTTAAATCCATAATAATAATCTAATGATATAACATGTAATAGGACATTTTCCTGCATTGAGTACTTTAATATTATAAATACAGGAGTTTGACTTGTAGTGGAGTATTGTTAGACTGTGCTATTAACTTTTAAATAAGCAAAATGTGTCTTAATTTCATTGAAGTACATTTTAAATGGATGTTTTTCACTAATAATAAAGTATAATGACACAATAATGTTGATATCGCTGCTGTAAATGAACTATTACTACATTATTATCACTCTTTCACACTCATAATAAACGCTAGATCAAGAACAACAACAAACAACAACAAACAACAGTTTTCCACGTTCACGGCCAGCACGGAAATCTCAGCTTCCTGCTCGGGGAAAAGGAACAGAAACTACTTACAGGGGTGACGGAGAACTGCAGAAACATCCATGTGATATCCAGAGCAGCGATGAGGTACACGATGTAAATAATGTTCGTCCTCCGTCGTTGGTCTGCGGCGTTAGTCTGTGAGGAAGCTGAAGCTTTGGAGGTTTCCCCGGTTGTTTCTCCGGTTCGACTCATTTTTTTTTTTTTTGGGCTTCCTGTATAAAAACACAACAACCTTTAACGTTACAGCAGCGTTTGGGGGTTGACAGTCGGAGGGGATCCAAACTGAGAAGCGACTCCAGGTGCTAGTCGACCGGGGAAATGCCCTTTGACATGGTGAACTCTCACATGAACATAACCAACCTGACGTTAACGTTACTTGTACTTTGGAACCGGGTGCAGAGGCGGCGAGGAGGCGCTACCGAGGGTGAGGGAGGGAGGGAGGGAGGGAGACAGGTCGGTTACATGTTAGCCAGTTGTGAGAAACTGAAAGCCACAGTGGCTTAAAAAGCTGGACCCTGGTCTGTACGGTTTCCGTATTTACGAGCCGACTTGAACGTCTATTATAGAAAAGCTCACCGGGAAGTTTTTGAACAGTGGTGCATTCAGGGACTCCTGCTAATGTCGTACTTTCAGGAATCAGAATCACAACGAAACTAAATACACATATAAACATTAATATAATATTATAATATGAAATACATGCAGGTTTCTCTGTGTACATGAGGTAGGTGGATATGACAACATATACAAAAATATATAAATATATATATTAATAGTACAATCTATCAGTATCAAACAAATTTCCCCCCGGGGATCAATAAAGTATTTCTGACTCTGCACAGCATGTGTACAATTGTATTTATGTTTAATTTATGCCTGTTTCCTGACTCTGGAGCAGGGGGGGTCCAGGTTGGTGCTAATGATCCTCTCTGTAGTCCTGACTGTCGGTTGTAGTCGGTTCCTGTTGGTGGTCAGACTGTGATGGATGAACAGAGAACAGACTCAATGATGGAGGTGTACAACTGGATCAGTGGTTCCTGAGGCACGTTGAGCTTCCTGAGCACGAAGTATCTGCTCGGTCTTCTTCACGATGGCGTCTGTGTTGGACTCCCAAAAACCTGAAGCTTTCCCCAGCAGACACCAGGCTGTGCAGCTTTTATGAAGTCACTGTTTCTGAGACGTCGCTCAAAACTAAATCTCATCTTATTTTTACTATTATTATTATTATTATTTTACATTAATTAGAGCATTTTATCCTTTACATATCCATTCTCTGTCTTTTTCACGTGAAGCACTTGGTGTATGTAATTTCTGTGTTGCACTTTGAGCTGTATTCCCTGTATGAGAAGGGCTTTAAAAATGTTTGTTATTATTATTATTATTATTATTATACCAGTAGTTGAACTGCCCTGTAGTATAGTGCAGGTATACGGAGTGAACCCACTTATTACCACTAAAATCCCTCCACTGTGCATCATTCAGAAGTGTTCTGCAAGCTGATTTGTCTGATTTTATTTCCTAGGATGGCACAGTTTTCATGAGTGGATGGAATAAATGCATAATTATGTAGCTGTCTGACCCTTTAGTCTGTTTCTGTTACTGATGTTAACGATCCGTACTCCCAGACGTTAAGTGACAATGTGCAAAAGACTAACTGAATATCTCCATTAACCTGGATGAGGATGATTTAAATGGCTTCCTTTAATCAAACAGTGGCACTGTGTAGTTACAGGATGACAAAGGGAATGATCGCAGGGTGTAGCTGCTGTAAGGCGGTCTCTTACTCCCCTCTTGTGGCTGAATCTAGGAGGTAACACACACATATAGATGATGTTCTTTGTATCGACACCCTCTTAAAATAATGGCCTATGTCATTCAGGTTTTTCAGAAAACACTGAACCAAATATCAGACTCTTGACATAGACGTTCAACTGAGGATGTACATGAGGAGATGATTTAGGCAAAAAAATTACTTTATTTTATTATTTCACCCAAAGCAAAGTCAGTATTATCAGTGAAATCCATAAACAGAAATAAGGATCCACACTGTCTTATTCTGCTCTGGAGAATTGGACCTCATTAGTGAAGGCTTGCTGTGGGAACTTAGAGCTGGGTGGAGGATTAGCATGAAGAGGAGGAGGAGGAGGAGGAGGAGGAGGAGGAGGAGGGAGATGAAACTGGAGACAATTTTAAGTAATTACGTTGAAGTGGAAAATAGCCGTTCCCTATTGATGAACACAGCAACCCAAACCTGCGGGGCCTCGGAGGAACATTAGATGTGAGGTTGTTTACTTTAGAGTTAGACATTTTAAAGGTTGATATATTTGATATACTTAAGGAAATGTTTGAAAAAAAAAAGGAAAGGAAATAGTTAATAGTTTATTGTCCTTCATTTTAATGTTGCTTAATTTGTGGGAATGAGAGTGTTTCTCTGTGTTCATCTTATATCTATTAAATATATTATATATCTGAGACATGTAGCTCCTGGCCTGGATTTTATGACATTATAACTATAATTCTGGAAATCAACCACAGTCCAACGTATGCAACTTATACTAGTGTGATGTGGTAACTTAAACCCTGCACTATACCCTGAGAATGGACGTTTGTTATCTAGTGTTACACTTTTATTCATTCTGAATATTTCACACTTTGCAGCAGAGAAAAAACACACATAAAAAAACAAATAATTATTATATTATATATAATATTTGTATGTCTTAAAGGGCCAGTTTGAAGGATTTAGTGGGCATCTAGCAGTGAAGCTGCAGATTGCAACTAACTGAACACCACTTGCGTCTATATTTGACGCCCTGGGAATGAGAACGGGTCGTGAACTTGCTCAAAACGTTTGGTAGCATGGCGATTCAACGTGGCGGACTCCGGAGAAAGAATCAGAATTGGGTTTATTGCCAAATAGGTTTTTACATCTAAAAGGAATTTGTCTTGGTGCATAAAAATCCCACAAAAATAAAGTACTATTTTAAAATATAAATAAATAAAGATAAGGATAGAAAAAGGCTCAATTTAAGGTAACAAAAACACAATAATTCCTGCATATTCAGGTAAGTACACACTAATGAAAACCTGCCTTTCACACTGGCCCCTTTAAAACAAACTACTTTGACGACTTTTACTTTGAAACAAGGGATCTTATTGTGAAGTCCGGTGTGAGCGACCTCCTCCCGGAAGTGTCTGGTGTGATACCCACTGTGTGTGTGCGTGTGTGTGTGTGTGTGTGTGTGTGTGTGTGTGTGTTGGGGGAGTAATATCTTTGTATGGCAGGTCGATGTCAGACAGCCCCACAGAGACGATGCAGATCCTCACTCCTCATGTTTACTGGGCTCAGCGGCACCGAGACATCTACCTCCGGGTGGAGCTGAGCGATGCCAAGGTAGGTTCGAGTCCAGAGTCCAGATCCACAGCAACATCCGACCCGGGTTGCTTCCTCAGCCTTCAGCTTCCACACACAGATAATGATGTGTGTGTGTGTGTGTGGTTTTATTATTAAAGGGGCCTCGGAGTGTTTATTCCTCTTAATGCGGAGGGTGTAACGCTGGAGAGCTGCTCTGGGTTTTATTTCTGGTATAAACTGGTTGAACTGACCTCTAACCATTATTTGTAATGGCCGAAAGAGAAACACATGAGTGGAAAGTATATTTTTGTGTGTTTTTGCTGCCTAAATAACACTATTTGTGTATATATATATATTTATTTATCTTTCTTTAAAAACCCTTTTATTTATTCTAGCAATTTAATTCCCCATTGTGTATTTTCTTTTATTATTATTGGCTTTATTTAGCATAATGTAATTGTTTTAAATTATGTTATTAAATTTATGTATTTTCTTTTATTATTATTGGCTTTATTTAGCATAATGTAATTAATTAAATTTTGCAATATGTTTTACTATGAGGGGGGTCTTTTATTTATTAACTTCTATATCATTTTAATTCTAAGACCTTATTTCTGCCTTTAAATCCAGGTTCCGGCCATGTAAGGCTCTATGTAACTTTATTTTGAAAAGTTCTGTATAAATTAAGGTAAATTATTATTATTATTTAACAGGAATTGATGACCTTTTATTGTTTATTAAACCTAGAAAAACAACACTAACTGCCCCACTGATGATCTGTATGAGTGGAGAACAGCAGCTGAAAATGACAGCTTCCAGTTGGACTTCCTCTTTGTTTTGTCGCTGCACTCTTATCAACTCCAGCACTTGTGATTTTACGCACTTAAAACAAATATAGTTATCACAGGAAAGTGTCCAAGCAGCCGAGCAGAACTTGTATTCAGAGTATTTGTCTTCAGCTCTTCACCGAGCAGGCTGCTTGTTTGCATTAGTGACATGAAATACAGCTTCTCCTCCTCCTCCTCCTCCTTCACATTTCCAGGTTCCCTTCATCGTCATCCTGCATCTGTTAGACAAATGCCTGATAAAATATGCATGACTTTTAATGGTTGTTCTGGATCTTGTTTAGCCTCTTAGGAGAATTGCTTCGTGGTAACCGACGGGGGAAACACCTGTCATGTTGGGCCAATTCAAATCAATGAGCGCAGACTGAATCGTGTAATGCAAATAGGATTCATTAGTACCACATTACAGCCTCTGGAAGTCCCTGTGAAGTTGAGTAAACTCTGCAAAACAGCTTCAACCAAAGCTTATTGTAGGGCTTCATTAGACTCCATTACTGTTAGCTAGCTGTACCTAATAAACTGGCCACATCATCCTGAATGTGACTGTTCAAACTTTTATTTTACTAATTATGCATGATTGATATTCTTTAGATTAACATTTTTAAACAATATAATGAAGCCCCTGCAGTACTCCAAAGTACCCCTAGGGGCAGTAAGTACCCCCATTTGACGCTAGAGCAGCAAAATGTGTATTAATCCGCCACTGAAAGTAGTCCCCATCAAACGTGCTATTTACTCTTATTTGAGTAACATTTTCTAAAAGCTACAGTGTCCGACTTTATATTTATGTATGTTTGTAAAGGTTTACGTCTTCAGGAGGAACACAGGCAGAGTAGGAAGCATTGAGAGACGTATAGTTGCTTTTGGTCTTTTCATGGAATTTGTTTTACTATAAGAAAAAATAGGATATGACCAGATTCCTAATTTTATTTCTAAATAAAGCTTTACTTACATACTTACCTCAGAGTTTTGTCCGTTGTGACGGCTGCATTTGTGTTTTTTTTTGTTTTCAGAATCTCGACATCAGCCTGCAAGACAACAACACACTGCTGTTCAGAGGTTGGTATTTTACATTGGTGCATAAAGATAATGTTATACAGCAGCTACAGTGCAAAGTGATGTGTGTCTGTTATGGTTCTCAAGTAGTACATGAAACACAAAGTAAAGCTTTATATTAATGTGAAAATCTAATCTTAATATTGTTCCACAGCACAGGGCCACGGAGCTAAAGGAGATAATGAATACAGGTTCAGTTTGGAGTTCCTGGAACCTGTTAGACCCGAGGTATTGATCTTTCCATATATTAATGACTAATTATTGACATTGATGGTTATCTGGAAATGAACTGTTTTGCTTCAGTGTCATTCACTGTAATATGCAGTTATTGATTGTGATTGAGTGTCTGGTATTAACTATTAGACGCACTTGTTATCGTCCAGAGATTTTAAGACCAACCGGATTGTTTGTGTAGTTGTTAACATATTCTGACAAAACAATCTTAAACATAACTTAAGGTCCAGACTCCCGATGACTAAAATCCTTCATCCAGTTAAAATATAGTTACAACTGACCAGCGTATGGTAAAAATGTGGCTCATAACTGGATAAAAAGTCAGTGTATGACAGCTTCTGGCAGAATAAAATGACAGAATTCTCTGAGTTTGAACATTGTTGGAAACATTTGGGATAATGTAAGACTACAACTCATCAGTTCTGGGGTTTTTTAAGACATTTTCAGGCAGAAATGTTCCATATTATAGCTTTAAACTTTTTACACAACATTTACATTTCATATTATTTTGTCTTGCCTAAAAAAAATCCACAGTTTTATATCACAGCTGGAATCCATAAACGACTGCATGATAAAGTGTTAAGTCGTTGATTGAACGAGTGCAACACGTGATTAAAAAACATGGAGGCTTGAACTGGCAGACTTGTGATGTTACTGACCATCAACATGCTCTTACATGATCTTGTGTGAAGGCTACTCACATTATGTCATTGCCTTATGTGTGTCTCAGTTAAGTTTCATATTCTAATGCTGTGTTTTGCAGATCAGCCATAAGTCCACCCAGCGTCAGGTGGACATCAAGATCAAGAAGCAGGAGGAGCGCTGGTGGGGCCGGCTGACCCTGCAGGAGAAGAAGCCTCTGTTTTTGGCTCCTGACTTTGACCGCTGGCTGGACGAGTCCGACGCCGAGATGGAGCTTCAGGCTAAGGTAATACTAAATAAACCCGCTGTGAAGACCTCTAACTGCAACCTGCTGTTAGTCTGATATGTTGTGAAGGCAGATGATTACATTACACATAGTCTTTGTGGGGTGCGAACAGGTTGGTTGTTGTAGTGCAGCTGTCGGGGCCTGTGTGAAGCTTTGTTATTAGCCCCAGGTTGAGTCGGCCGAGACCACAGAGCTTTGCATCGCTCGTTGTGGTCTGGGTGTAATTTTAATTAAGCTGCTTGACAGTTCTCATCTTCACTGGGATGTTGTGGCTTCACAAAGTCACCTCCCACTGCGCTAGAATATAGCAACAGTTATGGGAATGCTAGAAGTTTTCCTAAATGATCCAATAAAATCTGATTAACCTCCTCAACCTTAGGTTTTACTGATTAGAAACCAGAAGAATACTTGCATGGGATCAATAAAGTTTGTCATTGCTTTTCTGTGTGTAGTTGTTTTCACTGAGTAAATATAAGCTTGTTAAAACACTGTTATAAGTTTAGATTCTTGTTTTTGTTTGTGTTTGTTTTCTGATTTATTTAATAAAAGAAATTAGGATCTAATGATACATTCATATTCACCATATGAGATGATTTCTTTCAGGAGGAGAAGATAAACAGGATAAGTGTGGAGTCGAGAGTTCGTAAAGACCGTGAGTCGAGCTGAGCTCTTCACCTGCAAACAGAAACGTTTCTAATTGGATGTCATTAACGTTGTCTTAGACATTTACCGTCCCGTTCACCGTTCATTTTAATTCTCCTGTTTCCTCAGCCTACCTCGGGCTGAAGAAAGGATACTTGTTCATGTACAACCTGGTGCAGTTTCTGGGATTCTCCTGGATCTTCGTCAACATGACTGTCCGACTCTTCATCCTCGGTCAAGGTTTGTAGGAAACTGTCAGATGATGAAGTGAAGCTGATGAGTGTAAAGAATAATTATGACTGGCTGAAGTAAATATTCCAATCTGCAGCATTAATGGAGGGTTTATTAAAGTTTGTGCAACCAGTTTAACAGCTAGTTCCTTTGCTCTGAATAAACAGTACCTGCATTTTTCCGACTGCCAAAAAGTGTCATCACTGAAGTAAACCTGTAGGTAAAGCTTGGACCATTAGACCCAGAGTGCAGTCAGTTGTTTACCTGTTTATGATCAGTCTCGCTGCACAAACCGTAGAAATTTTACAGCTTTTTTTTTATTTTCATAATTTTGGTCATTTCTATCAGCCATAGTAGCATTTTACTCACTAAGTTAAGAGCTGAAATCTGCCGCAATGAAGTCCGAAAGGGAAAGAAACATGACGGCCAGACAGTCAGATTGTAAATAAACAGACAATTTAGCCAGATTAACTAAACTAGGGCTTCATTGTCAGTTAAACTGTGGATCATTTTCTCAATTAATCGATTAGTTGTTTGGTTTCAGAAAATGGTGAAAACTGTTTGGTCACTGTTTCCCACAGTGACGTCCTCAAATGTCTTGTTCTGTCCACAACCCAAAGACAGTCAGTTTAGTGTCATAGAGGACAAAAAAACCCTGAAAATATTCACATTTCAGAATCAAAAAAATGACTCCAAACTATTAATGTGATGTTTGACAACTAATCAATGAATCGACTAGCGTTGCAGCTCTGATATAAACCCCTTTATGAGCAGTTTAAACGTGAAGACAACTACTCACATATGGCAGGTTAAAGTGGAAGCAGGAAGTCTGCGTGCGAACGGTGGCGTTTACGGATGTTTACAGCGGTAATAATTTTACTGTTCACATTTGTTTGCTTTTCCAAATAAGTCTGGCTGACCTGCAGGTTTGTTAACAACCTGTCTGAACGTCTGAGCGCTCATGTTTTCTTTCCCTGTGTGACTTTTTATGGATGTCTCCATGTTCGCAGATATTATATAAGGTCCACAATGGTTTTCATTTTGAGCTTTTTCTTTAAAAGGAGCATAAGTGTGTTTTAGTCTTTAGCCTACAAAGTGTTTAAACTTCATGTTTTAGGACAGATTTTCAGGCAGTATGACATAAAAATCTGCTTGCAGATAGGCTATTTATCAGAGTTTATATTTATAGTCACCTTAATGTCAGTTACATTGTTCTTGTGCTTTATTCAGTACATCACACAAATGTAGATAAAAGTGAAAACAAAGACACTCAACGTGAAACAGTTGAGTAAAAAGCAGAATTGGCAGCCCGTAGAGGGATGGACTAAATAAAGATAATAAAAAAACAGGTATCAAACTAAAACAATTGTACTCCTTAATAGCTTTTGAATTTTATGGACTAAATAATTAATTTTTGAGTGAGTGTTTATGCAACACAAAAACAGAAAAGAGACCAACTCAATTAGCACCACTGGGCAGTGAAATAAAACAAACGGGAGGTCCAGAGAACGCAGCGAGGGAGGTCTGTGTTTTTGTTTGTGAGGAGCTTTTCACAGATGAGCTCATTTGAATAGAAACAGGAACACGACCACACAGCTGGGATTTGTTTTGCAAATGACGAGGATTATGGATAGTGGCTCATGCAGCGTGCTCTTTAATTATGTCTGTTTGTTTTCTCTCTCTCTCTCTCTCTCGCCCCTACCACAGATTCGTTCTACGATACCTTCCACACCACGGCCGATATGATGTATTTCTGCCAGATGATGGCCGTGCTGGAGGTCATTAATCCCTTGTTGGGTCTGGTTAAGACTGGATTTTTACCTGCTATGATACAGGTAATACAGAGGGAGACAGTCACTACTCATTTTATTGTGATATCAACAATATGAAAACACTCTGTGGCCTCTGTAGTGTCGATATGTGGTTATGTTTTTGAGGTTTTCGTCAGCTCCTACAGCAGAGCTACAGGGATGATGTAGGTTAATCAGGATTCCCACACTTGGAAACTCGTTTTCCGGTCATGGAAGCACGTGGAAATGTATTTAAATGACAAAACAACCTGGAAATTATCTATGTTTTTAATAGTTTTGTAGCCTCTCAGATTACATAAACCTGGGTGTGTTTGAAACTCGACTGTCAGGAGGATAAACTGCTCTGTGTGACGATTCAAAGCGGGTTCACCAGATGCAAAGCGGAATGAATTTATTATTTCTGCTCCCACACCAGTCAATAGCTGTTCACACCGCTTGCAGCGAACTTTAGGCATCAATTATATTTTGGAAATGCTGCAGACGGTCACATCTATATGCGTCCAGTTAATAATTAATGATCAAATGTACTTTTGTTGTTGTGGTTAATAATTGTTAACACTTAAAATACTTTATTTTAAGCGGAGCATAAATAACAGTTCATCTTTGAACTGTCATTTATGCTCCGCTGAGGCCACACCCAGAAACTCAGCAGTGGTGAGGGCAGCCAGGAGTCCCATAAACGCTGACCAGCATTGTGAAAAAAGAGAGTGGGAACCCTGTTTATGTATTAGTATAGTATAAATTCAGCTTTACTGACTCCATATTTAGTCCTCAGTCAATCAGGGAGGAGGTACCCCAGCTGGTGCAGGGGAGATTGCCTCGATTATAGAAATAGTTCTGTGTAAAAGTAGAATAAATAGGAGGAATAAAATCTTCCTCCAAGCGGCCGTGGATAATCTGAGTTTTGCTCTGTGATGTTTCAGGTGGCTGGCAGGAACGTCATTCTGTTCGTTATCTTCGGCAGCCTGGAGGACATGCAGAACAAACCCGTCGTCTTCTTCGTGTTCTACCTGTGGAGCACCATCGAGATCTTCAGGTAAGGCTCACATTCCCCCTCCCCCCCCTCTCCTGTGACCATGTTCTTACACCAGCTCTCCCTCCTCTGCAGGTATCCCTTCTACATGCTGGCCTGCATCAGCACAGAGTGGAAGCTGTTGACGTGGCTCAGATACAGCCTGTGGATCCCTCTCTACCCGCTGGGGGTTGTGGCTGAAGGTGAGCTCACTAACTGAGAACATGTTCGCTGGCGGTCGTGTCGAGTGTTGACTGCTGACTCTTGTGTTTTCGTTTTCCAGCGGTGGCGGTGATCCAGTCCCTGCCGATCTTTGATGAGACGCGTCTGTTCAGCCTCCCCCTCCCTGCCGTGCTCGGACACTCTTTAAGCTTCTCCTTCACTCTGCAGCTCTACCTGGTCCTCATGTTCTTGGGTGAGACATCCACGAACACACCGCCATCCTCTCTGTCTCACCCTCTACTAACATCACACCCACAGGCCTTGAAGTCAGCTAATGGTTTTTTATGACTCTGACAGCTGGCAGGCCTGTTTTCATGGTTTGTCCCAGCTGGTTTGTTGCTGCCTCACTTTATTTATCAACTAAAAAACCAGCTGCATTTGATAACATTAAGATTAACAGTTAACAGTTACTGGTATTAATGAAAGCTAATTATTAGTGCAACAGTTTAATAAGTTCAACAAGAAATGTTTTATATTAAAAAAGTAATTTTCTTCATTAAATAAAAGTGTTTGTAGGTTGTTTACGATGGTTTTTATCAAGGAAAAAGGTATTTTTAGGAATATTTTTGTCATTATTTTCATTAAAAGACCATTATAGTGTGTTTTTTTTTTTACATTATTTCCTACACATTTTAAAATTTATATGATAAAGCTAACTACATAGTATCCTAATTTCTCAAAATATAAAGCATTTTTAAGTTACTTAACTTAGTAGTTATGTAATAGTAATAACTTAATAGTTGTACCTAAGTTTCTGCAAACCAAAAGCTGATGCCTGGTTGGTTTTAAAAGCAGAGCCTCGTTAATACTGACTGATCTTCGCTCTCCTCCGCAGGACTCTTCATCAATTTCCGACACCTGTACAAGCAGAGGAGGAGACGGTACCGCTTGAAGAAAAGGAAAGTCCACTAACTGATCAGCGCCTTTATCTTGCACACCCCCTGAACTCCCGTCCACTTAAAGATAATGCAGCTGTTTTATTGTCCTTTAATTGCCTTTTTCTCATACACACACACACTCACTCTGTCTCTCTCTCTCTCTCTCTCACACACCTGTTGGAGTACTGGTCACCTTATTCCTCCACTGGGTGAACTTTTAACCTTCTCCAGACCAAATCCTGTAAATGCTACTGTACCAGCTCATCGACTCACTGTTGAACAGACGTCACCTGAACCCTCTGTACAGGTCGACCCAGTGCTTTACTACTGTGAGTTTGAGTTGCTAACCATGTTTATTCTCTAATAATGTGTCCATATTTATCATGATTTCTGTCTGTGTGTGCCGTCACTGTTTAAACGTTTTGTTATTTCTCATCATTTCTGAAATATTTTTGCTTATTTTTCTGTTGATTTCCGTGTTTGGGGACATGAGAGAAGTGTTTACTTCATGAACACAGTAAACGATTTCTGTGTAGAAACTCACTGCAATAGAGCCACCATTTTATATATTTCACATTATTTATTAAATTAAGGTCCGTGTTGGTTCAGAAATAATACCTTCATCTCAAAACACGTGTTCATGTTTATGGTCTTTTAATCCACTAATTACAAATCGCAGATTTATCACAATCGACGTTTATTAACCGTTATATTGTTGTTACGTGTTGATGCAATTTAAAGCCAATACATTTTTGATACTCTCTCTGTTGTGGTGTGTTCAAGGATGCTTCACTGTGTGAGAATTTAGAATTTTCTGCGTTATTTTAGATACGAGAGACACGAAAATTCATGTGTTTGCTTGTTTTCTTCTGGGTTTTATTGTCTGAAAGAAGATTTAATTCTCAAACATCTGAATGCACTTAAACACACCATGAGAGATCTTAAATTGTTCCTGCTTTGCAACTGGGAGAAAACACAGCAATCTCACGTCAGTGTCAAGTCTCTGCAAGTTGATTTTGAACTTGTAGATTCTTCAGTCGGTTGTGATGTAAAAACTTTACACTAGTGGAAGTTTATAAGCTAAAATGCCACTTTTTATGGTTTCTTGAATCAATAGAGGAAATATTTTAAATGCCATTGCATGAAAACACTGCGGCTCTTAACTGTCGGTTTTAAATTTAGAGCTGTTTTTTTTTTCTAACACTGAGCCTTGGGTGAAGCCTTCAGAAGAAGCCTCATTCACTGCTTTGAATATTAACAAAGTCATGCAAAGTACTATAAAAGGAGATATTTATAACCGCTCTTCTGACACAACACGCAATCCTACCGACACACACACACGTTTGTGCTTTTACCTCACGACTCTTGTCCCGTGAAACACATGACACGCCTCAAAACGATGAGCCGTAAACTGTGAGTGAAAACCTAATGAAGTTTATGACCCTGAATTCTTGTTTTAAAAGACATGAAACAGAGGACAGGAAAGATTTCAAGTTGGTTAATATCAAACTTCGCAGCCCGTTCTTGTCTCTGAAGAAGGGCAGAGATGTATTTTTCTACATGTTTGACCCGTGAAGTTTCAGTCTGTACGACGTTCATTGGGGATAGATAGACAGACAGATATACTTTATTGATCCCTGGGTGCACCTTGAGCACTAAACAACCAAAAAGACACAAAATACAATAGTTCCCTTAAATCTTAACATAAATCAACATCCAACAACTAGAAACATTAAATCTGTGCTGATAATAACAATAAACAGCCACCGGTCTGTGGTTGTGTAACTGCAAACAGCAGAGTAGGAGAACATGTGAGGACAGGAATGGATATTTTTAACTTTGTGTAATGTTTTTAGCTCATTAATTCTGTAATTTTTGTTCATTTTCTGCTCATACTGGACAGCTTGAACCTCTAAAGTTCAGTTCTCTTGCTTGTTGCTTTAAAGTGTGTTTGTGTATAAAACACAATAAAAACGAAAGGCTAAACTTTGGCGCCTCTGGTGGTTGGGATTGAAAAATACAGCTCATGGATCCAAACTGTTTTTGGCAGTTTTTATGGCTTTTATCACAGTTCTTGATGTGGAAAGGGCATGGAAACTAAGTAACTAAGTACATTTACTCAAGTACTGCAGAATATAAATATATATGTCAAATATATATAAATAAATAGACCCACATTTACCAGCTGCAATATTAAAGTGATGTACACAGTAATATAATATACTATATAATATAATATAATATAATATAATATAGATTGTTTTGGAAAATTAGTACTTAAACTTTGGTACTTTAAGTATATTGTGATGCTAATCCTTTTGTACTTTTACTCAAGTAAAATTTAAAATACACAAAACAGTATTTCTGCAGTATAATATCTGAGTACTTCTTCCACCACTGGTCCCTTAATGAACTTTAAACACATTTTCAGTTATAAAACATCCTGTTCAGTAAATATCTTAGACACAATTCTTTTTATTGAACCAAATTTGAGGGATACTTATCAAAAATTATTGCTTATGTTACATATTTATGTTTCTTACTCTCAATTATCGATATAAGCATCAAATATTCAGTATTGTTTGTGCTTTAATTTGTTTAAACTTACTGCAGCTTTAAACCTAAATGTTTTATTTGTCTAATATTTTTGACTCTGACCATTTCTGTTTTTAATTTGTAACTTTTCTGAACTTTTATGAGTTTTATGAATACTTGATGTGATGGTTTTGTGTAATTTGGAGCCGCGATGTCTCCAGAGAACATTCACAATCTCGTGTCCACAGTTCTGACACAGTGAAATAAAGGAAGTCATTTCTTTAAAGATTCATCAGTGGAATAAAAGGAAATGTCCCGATGAGCCTCCTGTTCTTTGCTTTCTTTACCAATCTGTTCACCTTTTGAGCCTTTTTCTTTATTGGTTTTTATAATTGTTTACTGACTGTTGTTGCTTCTGATTGGTTTGTGTCAGATTTATTTGTGTAAGGGTGTCCATTATAGGAAGGATGTGCATAGGACATATGGCTTTAATTCAGACAATTTATTGCATTTCAGAAAGTCGTTAGGAAGCTAAATTCATTCTAATGTTTGATTGAAAGTCCCAATTATGGTTTCCTGACAAAAAATAAACATCAGAGTTCCTATTTTGGAGGTTGGAGTGTTTTTTTCCCCCCAGTTCCTGTTGTGAAGTCAAAAAACATGTTTAAAGAGGGTTTTTGTGTGCTCATTAGATATTTTACAGAGGAGATACAGACAGGATGTATGTGGGTAGAAGAAGGGATAAAACTTGTTGGTTTACAGTTATTTGATATGCATCTTAACCTCTAGACCTGCAGGTTGCTTCAGTTCCTTTTATAAGAATATACGCTGTCGTGGAGACCTTAACTGAATCGGTAGCTAAAAGTTTAGTTTGTGGTGTGAGTAGAGGAAGAAACATACCTAACGTCAAAGAAAGGAGGGTGAAACACTAAACCAAACCTTAACTAGCTTAAGTTTTGTTTTAAAACATCATTAGGAACATCTTTCTATCCCTGAGAAACAGTTTGGATGAAAATTAAATAATATGGAACGTCTAATTAGGTCTGTCTTAAAACAACAGTTTAATTACCTTCAAACTGGCCAATAAGCCAGTTTCTACTTCTTGTTGTGAGAGATGGGAACAAACAAAATCCACAGTCCAAAAGTTTCTAAATGAATCTGACACTAACACGAGGCTTCAGGAGTCTGAGTTAATCAAATCAAGTGGATATCTTTAAAATAAGTGAACACTGTTTCCAGATTTCAACATTGGATTGTTGCTCTATTACAAACAAAGTGAAGGATAAAGCAACTGGACTGTTTCTAGCTGTTTAGTTGTGTATTCTTTAAGTGAATCTAACAGTTATATTAATGTATGTATCAGTTTAAAGCCACCAGGTGATGCTGATGTGATAATAAGGGACTCTCTGACTCACACAGGTGTTTTCACTTCACCTGATTGGCCCTCTCCTGTGTGGTTGCACAGTTTGATTGATTGATTGATTGTCCCTCCTCCCTCCTCTTTCCCTCTCTCTCTCTCTCTCCATCACTGGTTCTGTAGTATCTGTTCGGGCGGGACAACTTCTGTCTTTATCCTCCCTTATTTGGACATTTCGTGTAATTTCTCAGCCCAACTTCAACCTCAGCAGAGCTCCAATCAATCAGCTGAGCAGCGACTCAGACTGAAGGTAAAAGGTTTAATATTTACATTTTTATGACCTTTTTGTTGAAGTTTTGGAAGCAGCTCTGATAATGTCATTTATTTTCTTATTGCTTACTTTTAGATATCTTATAAATTTAATCAATTAAGAATAATCTGGTCACATTTAACTTGATTTGTACTTTCTACCGTTCATTTAACCATCGATCCATCTTTACTCTAATTACAGTCCAAACTCTGAACCACGTGACAAAACTGGACATTAAAATTCCTCCTGTAATTAAAAAATAAAAGTTTTTAACACTCAATAATCATACACGTTAACTTTTGGACTCATTTTGTTCACATGTGAACATACACATTTACATTTACACCGTGATTCAATCAAATATCTCTCTGTTAAACCCCAAAAAACACTTATTTTTCACTTTGCATTGCATGTTTTGCTCTTCATTTGGGGAAATAAAGTCAATTCTCCTCACTCCTGATACGAGGTTACACCTGACCACACCCAAAATACCGACCAAACTCCTCCTGTCAGCCTCTGAACGTCTAATTATTCCCCATCCAACGGGCTCCGCGCTCAGAGCCGCCTCCGAGGTTTCCCCTCAAACCGGCGGCTGCGACCAGCACAACAGGTTGAATGTTGGTGTATTGATACAGCGTTATGTGTGAAAGGGAAGGTGAGAGGTGTTTGGCTCCTAATCCTCTTAACAGCATTATGCTGAGCCTCGTTCAAGCCCTGACATGCGGTGCGCCCTTGTAGCTCCCCAAAAGCCGGAGTCAGCATCTCTGCGTCCGTTACGCACAGCTGGAGGGACGGTCCGCAGCGGCGAGGGGTCGAGCAGCCGGCGGTACAGGTAGGACCCGCAGCACCACTCACTGCACACAGCTTTTAAACACATTTTAATGTCTCTTTCTTCATTATTTTTAGATGCTGAATGAATATTTAAAAGGTTTTGCGTCGACCTTGCGCGATATAATCCGCGCTGGCCTCAATTACTCCACAATTTAAACCTCAACACGCCCTTTTCAGTCAAAGATCTGCTCGCTTTTATTAACGTGGAGATCTTAATGTTCCTCCCGGGTTGATTAATGTCTCATTAATGATCGTTTACTGCACGCGCGCATTTTTTTAATTATTATTTTTTTTAAATCACGTTCTTTCCGTGCGCGCGCTCACGTCGCTAAAGCTAATTATAATCAGAGGCAATTTGAGAATTAATTGATTTATGTTGAGGCGAGTCCTCCCCGGTTTCCTGAACGTTTAAACATGTTTAACGTGTCTTTTTTTTTTTTTTTTTTAATGGACTCCTCTTCTGTGAGAAGCCAAAGCCCGTGTGATTATGTAGCCATAGTAACAGGTGGCTGTCTGCATCCCCATCACCCCCCCCCAAACACACACACACACACACACACACACACACACACACACACACACACACACACACACACACACACACACAGACTCTTCCCTTCAGTAGATCTGCCTCTGCAACTATGCAAGCAGAGAGGACATAAAAATACAAACATGTTCATGATGATTTTAATCTTTTTCTTTCTTCCAGTCCTTCCACAGGTTGAAGCTGCCGGCTGTAAAAGATGAAACACACTGTGTGTACGTGTGTGTGTCTCTTCCCTGTCAGCGGCGTCTTCTCGCCACGCATCGGTGCTGGAACTACCAAGGAATCGCAATGCATCTGACATAACTTCTGGTTGTTGTTTTTTCTTTGGGAGTCGAGACCACGAGGGCAATGAACGTGCACTCGCCTCCGAGGAAGAGACTCAGGCACAGCCGCGTCCTCTTCTTGATCTCAGGTGTGCTGCTGTGTTTCATCTACACGCTGACTCTGAAGGCCAGGCTGTCACAGCCGCGAGCCTCCGCCCAGACGGATGACGCTCTCCGAGCAGAGGCGGGTGGCGATGATGTTGTGGAGGTCAACATTCGGGAGGTGATGGCGTCCAATGAGACGGAGGAAGAGGTCGTCTCACCTGAGAGCACCACACCTCCTCCGGTGATAATCGTCAACAGGACAGATATCGAACAGTGTATCTATGTAGATCCTAAACCTCCCAAACCTCCTCCAACTCCATCTCCACCACCGACACCACCGCCGACCACCACACCTACCCCTCGTCCCCCACACCAGCCCCCTCGCAGGAAGGGTGACTATCCAGAGGACCTCTTCTCAGTGGAGCAGCGACAGCAGGGTTGGGTGGTCCTCCACGTCATAGGCATGATCTACATGTTTGTGGCCCTTGCCATCGTCTGCGATGAGTTCTTCGTTCCTGGGCTGGAGGTCATCACCAACAAGCTGCAGATCTCTGACGACGTGGCCGGGGCCACCTTCATGGCGGCCGGAGGCTCTGCCCCCGAGCTCTTCACCTCCCTGATCGGCGTCTTCATCTCCCACAGCAACGTGGGCATCGGCACCATCGTGGGCTCGGCCGTCTTCAACATCCTGTTCGTGATCGGCATGTGCGCCATCTTCTCCCGCGAGATGCTGCACCTGACCTGGTGGCCGCTCTTCAGGGATGTGAGCTTCTACATCCTGGACCTCATGATGCTCATCGTCTTCTTCCTGGACAACACGATCCTGTGGTGGGAGAGCATGCTGCTGGTGCTGGGCTACATCAGCTACGTGAGCTTCATGAAGTTCAACAGTCAGATCGAGCAGGCGGTCAAGAGCCAGCTCAACAAGCACATGAGTATCGTCAAGGTGTGGACCGCAGAGGAGCCGGAGAAGGTCAGTCGGTGTCACGTCTGGATACCCATCTGGGTGGGGGGAGTAGCTTTTTTAAGATGCCTAGTAAGAAAACAACCCTCTACCAGTGTTTCTATCATATGTGTCCATCACAGTTGATTTAATAGATGCAAACTGCTGCCTCAGGGTCAAATCAGCTCTATTATTCAACAATCAGCTCTCCATTCAACATTGGAAACTCCAGATAACTGATTACAGCCACAATTTGGCTCCTTCACTGATTTGCAACATCAAATCAAACTCATGCTACTGTGTGATGATAGTGTTGATTTCACAGTGAGTTTGTCTGTTTGCCTCTGTGGCGTCTTTATTGTCGATTACTGTAGAGAGACAACAATTAGTTGATTAAACCATTAGTCAATCAACAGATAGTTCGTCGAGTAGTTGATAATACATTAATCGTACATTAAAACAGGGTTTTAAATGTGAATATTTCCTGTTTTTCTTTGTCTGTGACAGTAAACTGAATATCTTTTGGGTTTTTGGTTGGATAAAACAACACAGTTTAATATGTGAACTTGTGCTCCGGGAACTCTTAATTTTAAAACCAACCGATCGATTTTATTTTAGAAAGTAATGGGCAGGAATCTAATTGTTTATTTGATATTCAGTGCAAGTTATTCTAACTATTAATAATAATAATAATAATAATAATAATAATAATAATAATAATAATCTTCTTCTTGGCTTAAAACTGCAGTTTAGACAGAGTTTTAACAATAAATCCATCAAATGGAGAATAAAGTGACATATTGTGGCAGTGTGGAATCGGAGACAAGAAAGCAGCTCTCAGCAGCAGTGAAAATAGCCTAAATCTTAAGTAGTTGTTCTGCAATCAGGGGAGGGGGAGGGGGGGGTTGTGGACACCCGACTCTAAAAGGTTGAGAACACCATCCCTAGAGCATCAAATGTGGATTAATCTGCCGTAGAAAATTGTCCTCAACAAATGCACGATTTACTCCTGTTTGAGTAACGTTTGCTTAAAACTACAGTGAGCACCTTGTTTTAGGAAATTAGCCTTTTTTGATAAATGAAACTGTATGTGAGAGCCTATTTTAAAGATTTACGTCTCTGAGCTTGGAAGGGACGTATTCAGAGACGCACTAAATGACCGAAAGTGTTGCTTTAACTCCAACAGGTGTTGATTTTAGACAATTTCACTGTGCAGAAAGGGAAAAAAAACAAAGCAATCAGACACAACAAAAGCTGGATACAAGCAAAAACCGATGTCTGTGCAGAGCAGTTGTTCCCACGCCGACTTCTATCTATACGCGATTTATTTTCTATGCTTTCATCTCCTCACAGTTGGGACTGTTGCCTGCTCAGATACAGTGAAAGAGGGACAGTGATTTGTGGGTCTGAGCAGGTGACAGCCTGTATTTGTGTAAAATCCTTTGATGGTGCTGAACAGAAAGGGACTCCAGGTGTCACAGATGGCGCGTCACAGTGATGAAGTGATTCAAATGTCACTCAGTTTCTTGTCACGGCCCTGAAATACCAGTGTGTGTCTAGAGCCGTCATTTCATTTAAAAGAAGCAAATTATGTGTTTTTAAAACTGCTTATTTTCTGCAGAACGCCTGCAGACTAAACGGCCTTCTGCAGCTGACAGAGCAGGAAATGTCTGAGCCTGTAATTAACATGCAGAGCCGTGTTTCAGTATTTCAAGTATCACCAGCACATTCTGCAATTAGCCTGAAGCACGTCTGCAGTCAGTGTGCGCCCCTTCAGTCACAACCCTGAGCATGCTGCCACATTAATGAATCACTGAAATTCAAAAATCCCTCCTCCAGGAATTCCAATCATCAGTTTTTAATCATCAGTTTTCCATAAATGCAATACTTTTTGAGTGTTTAGTCTCCTGAATGTGTTAGAGAATATAACCTGTTGAATCTACAGGAATACACACAGGGCTTTAAGGATCATGTTGCAGAGACAATTAACTCCCTCGTATGAACAAATCTGTTCATTTTAGAGAATTGTGAGCAAGTTTCTCTTAAGAACAAAATTCCCTCGCGGTCGGCCCTCCCACCTTTCTCCACAGGTGGAAAATACCGCAGGTGGCCATTCTTTCTTTTAGATGCTAGAGCATTAATTCGTCACATGTCACGTTACGTGTAGAACGTGGTGAGGATGCAGAGTGGCGGCTTCTGGCGTCCCTTGTGGACAAAAAAAATCCGACCCGGTAGTAGGCGTTAACAATAATTATATAGGAACAACCAGTTTAAAATCTACTTGTACGTTTAATGTCAAATTAATGTTCTGATCACATCCTGCCAGTTTACTGAGAACAATAAAGATTTGATTTGACTTGACAATTTTATCAGTGCAGCAACTTCCTCGGGGTCCTTTTTTATATAAGTCGATATCTAGAGGGAACATTTATCTATCATAGTAACACCTGATAAATTCCTAACATCACCTGCTATGACAGCTGTAGTCATATTTTCCTGTTCAATCTGACGTCCCTTAAAGCTCCAGTGTGTAACATTCAGGAGGATCTATTGGCAGAAATGGGATATAATATTCACATTTATGTTTTCTTTAGTGTATAATCACCTGAAAAAGAGCTGTTTTTATCTACAGAGGGAGCGAGTCCTTCTGTGGAGTCCGCCATGTCGCTACAGTAGCCCAGAACACTTGGTTTTAGGGCCTTTTGTGTTTTGTGGCCACCGTAGTTTCACCGATAGATGAACTATTAATCCTACACACTGATCCTTGTTAATACAACATAAAGGTTTTCTTTTTAGGCATTTAATTTGAGCAGACCGGGTTGCCTTATGTAGCATTTTGTGCAAGAAATGTGTCATGATGTGGTGATGTTCATCAGGTTTGTGCCGCTAGGAGAGTTTGGTTGTATCTCACTTGGGAGACTCGTACCAACAAGTCTCATAAGGAGAAAAAAAAAGCGAAAATATTCTGGTAGGTGTGCACGTAAGCGTGTCTGTTTTTACAATAAAGTGGCTAATCAACAACAGATCAGGTTTTAAATGCGACTGAGTGAGACACAGATCTTCCTTCCTACTCAGGTCCCTATTTGTGTTAATGTGAAACATATTAGTTAAGCAATATGCACCATATACAGTGAGCGCAGAAATAATGAAGGTGTCAGGATGAGGTAATAAAGCAAGATCTACTTTAAAGCTTAAGGGTCGTGACATGCTCTTTTGCTGATGGAGAGAAACTCCATACCAGTGTTAATTCCATAGCAAGTAGATTGGATTACTGTATAGCCTTTCGTCCACCCATCAACCCCCAGCGATTACATCCTCCACAGTCAGCATCTTGGTTGAGGCGGAGCTCCAGAGCAGATAAATCAATGTTTGATTTTTGGAGGTAAAAATAGAGTAAATACGTCTGCAATCTGTCACTGACTGTGTGAAACTGTTCACTCTTTCGCAATGAAATAAAACTGCATGTGACTAACTGATTCAAGTTGTGACTGACTTTACAGGAGAGTGAAGCTCCAGCAGCTCCTCCACCTCCTCCTGCCGCTGCTCCTCCTGCACCAAAAGCTGAAGATAAATCCAAACAAGAACCTGCACCTCCGAGCAGCCCTCAGTGCAACAAACCGCCATCGGATTCACAAGAGGACCGGACGAGACTCCGGGTATGAAAAGTTACATTGACGGTGAATCAATAACAAGTTATTTTCTATTTAGTTGTTATGTTAGAAAATGAATTCCTCACATAAAGGCAGATATTTTATCACAGACATTCTTTCACCTTTGGACTCTAATGAAAAATAACTTCTGCATTATGTAAGTTATTCTACCTTCAAGGCTCTAAAAGTTCTTGTTTACAGTTTATTGCAGCATTTTAAGTCTTAAATTCACACTTAGAAGTCTTAAAACCAGGTGTACAGCCTGTTATCGTGACTGTTGAGCCCCGCCCCTCTTTAATTATTGTTGCTGTGCTAGTTTGCTTTCTCTTCTCACACGGCACATACGTTAAAATAACGGTGGCCGATTTGCCCTCACAGTTCTGAGTAATTCAGACAAAAGTTGTTTTCTTGTTTCTAGCCAGCGACTGTAGATTTCACACAGTCACTAGAAGATTTTATTAGCTCTAGCTAGCTAGGCAATTAAGCCAACGTTACTTTCCTCAGTTCTCTCCAGCTGACTTTTTTTAATGTTTAAAATACAAATTTACTATTGAGTGGTTGGCAGATGTTTGATTTTTAAGTTATTTTCCAACCCTGTTTCCATCTGACATGTATTAAAATGAAAACCCTGTAAAAGTGGTCTTAAATATGCACTTAATGCCTTTATAAGCTAAAGCTAACAGGTCACTTAACAGTCACTTTTTAGGGAAGGTTTCTGCAAACATTAGTTTTCTTTTCTAATTTTTTTTAGTGTTGAAGTTGGTCATTTTATATTTAAGTGGGTCTTTATAATTAAAATTGTAGATTGCAAATGGTTTAAATGCTGTTTTTTTTTAACCCAAGATATGAAATGAGTATCTGGTACAGATAATCATCATCATCAGATTAAACTGTGTAACTTTATTTAAAAATAAGTAAGTAAGTAAATAGTTCTGCTCTGAAGCTGTAAATAGTTTTCTAATAAATACAGCAATTTCTGATCAGTCCAGATCACTTTCAGGCTTAAATGAGCAACTTCTGCTCAATCCCGCCCACTCTGAGAGCAGATATGAACACAGATCATTTAATTGGCTGCAGTTTACTCGCTCTTCCTGCTTTAGTCCCTCACAGTTTTCCACTGATTTCTGTCTGCTTTGTCTGTAGGTGCGTCCCGTCCTGCAGCGGGGCGGCAGCTCGGCCTCCCTCCACAACACCTCGCTGAGGAGCACCATCTTCCAGCTGATGATCCACACGCTGGACCCTCTGGGAGAAGGTAAGAACCAGAATCAGAACCAACGGAGGTTCGGATCTGCAGACGGGTTCTCGAAGTGCAGGCTGCAGAAATATAAAAGGAGACAAACTACTAAATTTACCCCTAAAGAGGTTTTTACATCAGGTTGTGAGTCACACATAAAAGGTAAAGCTGCCCCCACCCCGGGACTATTGTTGGGATTTGAAGGAGGCAGCTGTGGTGTGAGGGAGTTTTCATAAATAAATCAAATAAGACGTATTTCAGAAAACAAATGAACAAAAGAAAAATGTTGTTTAAGAAGAGGGTTTGATATTTTCTGAAATATTGTGTTTTGTGTCTCAAGGCCACTTTTATAAAACAAATACTGTCTGCTCCTAAAATTAAGAATATGAAGGCAAAAAAAGCCCTTTTTAAGAGAAAATGTATAATCCCTTTTATATTTTCCTCCAAATAAACACAACTCTTCACTTTTTAGAGGAAATTTTGAGACTTCAGATGATATTTGGTCACAAAAATGGGAAAATAATTTTAATTTCTACTCTAATTTTATAAAATCTAACGTAATACAGTTATTTCTGTACCACATCATCATACTATCTATATAACACTGTGCTGTTGGATGCAATAAGGCTGCAACCAATCATCACTTTCATTATCAAGTATTCTGCTTTCTACAAATTAATGGAACTCAATGTTATTATTATTATCATCATATGAGGAAAAAGCATCAAATCTTCCCAACCGGAGTTCATTTTTGGTGTTTTTAATTGAAAAATCACTGAAACAATCACTCGATTAATTTTCTGTCGACCAACTAATCAATTAAATGTTCCGGTGACTCAGCTCCGTCCGTTCTGTCTACTTCCTGCACGTCAGGGTTGCGCGATGAACCGCGTCGACCTTCAGCCCGTCCTCGAACTCACCGGGCCGCTGTTCCTCGCTCTCGCAGCACTTGGCCACCGCTGATCCTTAATCAGCTTTTCAATACAGGCTAATAAAAGCTGGATAAGAGCCAGCGTGCTAGCAGACCAAGCTCTTTATCTCTGTGGAACGAGTGCAGAGCAGAGGGACCGGAGCCCAGAGCGGCTCTGTGCAGCTGGATTGTATCTCATTACAGTGGTAAACTGTCAGCATCTGAAACCTGAACCTGAGGAGATTTAACTTCCTGATAACTAAATCAGGTTTCTGATCAGTTACCAAAATTCATCTGTGGAGCAACGGACGGTGGTAGAAGCATTCAGACCTTTTTTTTATTGAAGGAAAAATACTCTAAAGTACTTCAAGCATTAAAAGTAAAAGTATTGATGGAGGAAAAATGTCCCCTGTGGTTGCTCTACTGTTGTATATGATGTTATTAGATTATTAGGAGTCATGCATTAATGTAAAAGCAGGATTTTACTGTTGATGGTTGATGTTGAGCTCAGTTTTCTTTGTGGATTAATCTGCTGATTATTTTCTCCATTAATCGACTGATTGTTTGCTTTGTAAGAATTGTGAAACTAGTGAGAAATGTCGTCACAATTGCCAACCGACAGCCCCATCCTCAATTATTCAGAATAATTCAAAGGAAAAAGCCCCATAAAATGTTTCTACATGATTAAAAATAATGAAAATAGTTAAAATTCTGTCAATCTACAAATTGATTAATCAACTGATGGTTTCAGCTGTATCTGTATAAACTGTATAACATATAAATATCATGATCTTCATTTGTAAAGTAAAGCTGTCAGATGAATGTAGTGAAGTAAAAAAGTACAAACTGAACTGTAGCTGAGTAGAAAGTCAAAGTTGTACTTAAAGCCTCTACAATCAGTTCCTGTGGCTGGCAGGGAGAACGTTATTGATCCCTGGGGAGAAATAAAGGCACACAAGGTTCACATCTCAAAAAACAGCAAAAATAAGGTGACGTCAAAAAGTAACAACAAAGATATGGTGACAATTAGAGAATAAATAGAGGTCTGACACCGTTAAGAGTAAGAGCAGAGTTTAGTGTTTTTATTGACTGATATCATGAAAACAACTGGCACCACTTACTAATACAGGATTGTAATTTAATGAATGTATTAATGCTTAAAAGATAATTTAATAATGCTTTATAAATCAGCTCGAACTTATAAGATATCCTTTATCTTCCTGCAGAGAAATTTGTCTTGGAGCCATCATGCACGCATTAAACATGGATCATAGATACCTACACTCCACATAAACGTGCTTAAATTTACATGTTGGGGGTGAGACAGTAGTTCTTTAAGATAATTAAAGATGAGAAAAGACATTAGTTTCAAGTAAATATCAGGTTTTGAAGTTGGTCTGTTAAAGTAGAAAGTAGAAATAAGACAAAGGTTGAAGGGAAGTGGCTCCAGTTGCTGATATTTCTGTCAGTTTGAGTGGTCACAAGGTGCAGGATGATGGACCATAAGAAGTTAAAATTGTTGCTGTGGGTTTCCATCCTAGAGGCGACACTTAGAGGGGCCGTTAAAACCCCCCGTCTGAGGAAAGCCAGACGAGGTAAGAGCGACAACAAGCTGTTGTTTCCTGTCGTGTTGTGTTGTGTTGTGTCGTGTCGTGTTGTGTTGTGGTGATTGTAGTTGTCGTGTTCTTTCTTGCATTCACATGTAATGTCACATGTTAGTAACTCAAAGCCAAAAACACATCCGTTGACAAAGTTTCCCAGCAGTTATCGTTGAGACTGTTGCACCACTTTGATTAAAAATAATTAAAACTACAGGATTTTCCAGCTTCATCGTCTGACCTTGAACAGCATTAAAGAAGGAAGTTCTTATTTCATAATAAGGGTGTCTCAATATATTGATATATCGATATTTAAAATGAATGCCATGAATTATTTTTTTTCTGTGTCCACTTTGCACTTCACATTCCAGCATACAGTAGAAGTTGGCAGAAATTCACCTTTTTAAAGCAACATTATGGAAGATTTTATATATGAAACAGCACACCAGTTAATATTACTTGCTCGTCCAACAAGAAGGCGGCCTGCTCGCCGTCTGTCTGCAGCGTTTTATTTCACAAAGCTCTCGACAGTGACTGGTGTCGTCGCCTCTGTCGTTAGCCACAGGAGTAGGTGAGCCCGGTTACATTGTTCGCTCACACCGATCCTCCTTGTCCCAGGCCTGAAAACTTCTCCTCCGGTAGCTCAAAGCTCCTGAGCTAGTAATGTAACACTCCCCCGGTGCTCTGAGCACCTGGCCCCGGGGCCGTACGGGCTAAGCGAACCATCAGAGAGTTAAGGCGGGGCAGCCGGAGGACATCAGAGGGACAACGGCCCTGTTTCATATATTTTTCTCATATTGTATCTGCATGAAATTGAAGTGTCACATGTCTCAGAGGAGGCTGATGAAGTTTGGTATTTAGTCTGTTTATTTCTGCCAATCAGAGACATCCTTTAATGGCGATGTCAGAGGGGAGGGGTCAGTACAGAGGAAAGGTAAGACCTGAGACATTTGTGTCTGTTGTTGTTGTTGTTGTTGTTGTTGGCCTGGTGTGCTTCTGTCCCAGCAGTGATTCTGATCTGGTTTTAAATGGTCGTTATGTTTGTTATTGGATGGTTGTTTGTGTTGGATGTTTGCATGTTGCATCCAGTTGTTTCTGTGTTGTTGTGAGGACCGCTGACCGTTTTCACACACTGGCTCTTTGTTGCTGTTTGCAACCTTCTCAATATGAATGTGTTTTTGTTTCTTAAAAATCTGAAATATAGACAGAATAAAGGCAACATATGAACATTTTACTTGGAAACAGTTACGCCTGCATCATCACAACTAGAAACAAGGAAGTGACTTTGGTGCCATGTGGCAGGAAACTACAATGATTGGTCAAATTTGCAGAAACATTGCAGTGATTGGACGTAGTTTGCTTTTAATTGTTGCGATCACAACTTCCTGGAGGTTCTGTGCTCAGTTCAAGCGTCCTCAAAGAGGTTTTATGGAGGTTTGTTATGCTCTACCAGTCTTTTTACAAAATGTCCAGTGTGTGAATATAAGGTCAAAGGCATGCTGACGAATTCTTTCTCAGTGGATATGAAGAGGACTCGTGTTGTTTGAGCGATTTTTATTCTCTTAATTTTCAGCAAAGAACAAAATAAAGCCTCTGAACGTCCCGGTGTCGGGCAAATTACAGAGCAAGTCTCGTCACCGGCGCTCTGAAGGTGAGTTGTGCGTTTAAGGTAGGATCTGATGTTCTGATAAAAGCCCACTGTGAGATGAGAACACCGATACCTCAGAGATATTAGCCTAGCTTAGCACAAAGACTGGAAGTGGGTGGAAACTGCTAGCCTAGCTCTGTCAAAATTAAATAGATCTCATTATACCACACAAAATAACTTACCATTCAAGGGACAAAATATCTGAAGTTATGTCTGTGTGTCAGCAGAGGAAAAGATTCACCTTCATAAAAACGGTTTCTTGTCTTTGGAAGCCATTTTCTTTTAAGCAGCAGGTCAAACTCCAGTTTTAACTCCCCAAAATAGCATTTTATCATTTATACTATTGATAGAATTCTTCATATAAAATGTGTCTTTGTGTTAAATCGCTCTTTATAACATCTCATTTGTTGGGACTTAAGCAGCCTAAGCTAGAGGCTATTTATGTTAATGTAGGTTTTTTAGTTTTCAAGTCAACATGCTAATATTAGCATTATATGGATTACAACCATGTAACTGCCTCTAAAACCACAATGTCTACTTTAAAATGTCTTTGTTTATTGAACAGATGCATTTTTAGAAGTTGTTTTAGCTTAATTGTTTTACTTACTTGCTTTCTTTTGTCCAACAAACTGTCCAAAAGCCAAAGAGTCTTTGTCTAGGATGATAAAAATGACAAAGAAACGTCACATTTAAGAAGCTGGAACCAGCAAATGTTCGACATTTTTGCTTGAAAAATCTAAATAGGGGCGGCTGTGACTCAGGAGGTAGAGCAGGCCGTCCACTGGAAGGTTGTAGGTTCGATCCCCAGCTCCTCCCGCTGCATGTTGGAGTGTGTATGTTATGTTATAAATGTCTGGGGGGTCTGTAAGAGACTACAGTTCTGTACCACCTTTTAATATTAATATTTTGATTGTTTGTTTGGTATTTTCTTGCGATTAAATTGTAAAGTTTTTTTCATTTAGAGGTTTCTGTGCTGGCGGTTGGTTGTGTATCGATCATCAGAGACGGTTTTGGGGTTGAAGGACTTTGTTCTCCACAATCAGCGGAGCCTCTCAGTCAGTGTGTTTGTGCGTCACAGTGTGGAGTAATGAGGTGCTTCAGAGTCTGAGGTGCAGAGTAAAGTGGGGCGGCAGGGAGTCTGGAGAGGCCTCAACAAGCCCGAATCAATCAGCCCGAGGATTAACATGCAGATGGGACTCTGTGTGTGTGAATCCCTCTGCCTCCATTAGTAGACCATGTTTATCTCCAAACACTACAATCACTCCCACTGGCACTTCTTACTGGCCCACACAGCATGATCATTTTGTCAGCTTAACCTTAAGAATATGATTTTGTATTGTCTCAAAGTGTGAAATAAACTTCCTGTTTTGAAATTTTACGAAATACAAACAACTTGAGATTGTTTTTGAAGTTAAGACATATATAATCTTCATGGGTTATTCTGTGAATTCTTCTTTCTCCAGATGGCGATCTGACGCCAAACACTGAGCAGGCCGGTGCTTCTGCCGCTCCCGGTGCACCAGGGGGCGCTGAAGCCGAGCCGTCCACCTCACAGCCTCCAAAGACGGAAGAGACGAGCGAGAAGGCGGCCGAACAGCCAGACGAGTCGAAGGTACACAGACATTAATATTGGAGGAAATTACTCACAAAGATCTGTTTCAGTTGTTATTTTCTCAGTTATTTTAGTAATCTAATAAATAACTGCATTGGGTACTTTTAATACTTGAAGCCTCATTTTAGCTTTAGATAAACTTTTTAGTGGATTTTGTCGATCATCTCTTTTATATTAGAATCACATTAGGAAGGGATCTCTTAATGGCCATTATAGGCGACTGAAAGACCTGAAAAAGTGCAAACCTATCCTTTAAAGGTCCAGTGTGTAACATTTAAGAGGATTTGCTGGCAGAAATTGAAGTATGTTTTCATTTGTGTATAATCACCTGAATATAGGAATTATTGTGTTTCTGTTATCCTAGAATGAGACGTTTTTTATCTGCTGGTCACCATTGACTACTACTGCCATGTTTCTATAGTGGCCCAGAACAGACAAACCAAACGCTGGCTCTAGGAAGGGCCTTTTCAGTTCCTCCTACACACTTGGAACAGGAGGGTGTGGCAAGGGTGCTGCAATCAGCAACTACACTGCAAAATGCCTCTAAAACCTACACACTGGGCCTTTTAAGTAAAAGTACTAATGATGTAGTTGCAGATTACAACCCCCTTGCCTCACCGTCCCATTCCAAGTGTGTAGGAGAAACTACACAAAAGGTCCTACACTTGTGCCAGTGATTATCCATTCTGGGCTACTGTAGAAACATGGTGGTAAAAGTCAATGGAAGAGGTTTCTAAGGTAAATAAAAACATCCCTATAAGAATATTATATTCCATTTATACCAATACATCCTAAATGTTACACACTGTAATATGTAACTAAAGTATTAAAAGTACTCAATGCAGAAAAATCTCCCCTGTGATGATTGTGCTACTAGATGTTATATCTTTTGATAATTATTACTCATACAGTAATGTCTTTTTTGGGGGGATTTTACTGTTGTATGACAGAAAAAGTACCACTGTGTCAGAACAAACTCTCGCTGTCTCTTTCTGCTCCTGCAGGCGGCAGCGGGGGGATCAGAGGGCGCAGAGGGCGGCGCCAAGGATGAGAACGGTGATGAGGGGAGTAGCGACTCCGGTGAGGGTGAAGATGATGATGATGACGACGACGATGATGATGACGACGACGACGACGACGGCGATGACAATGACGAAAACAAGGAGGAAGAGGAAAAGGGGGAAGAAGAAGAAGAGGAGGAGAATGAGCCGCTGTCTTTAGGGTGGCCTGAAACCAGACGCAAGCAGGCCACATATCTGTTGCTGCTGCCCATCGTGTTCCCGCTGTGGCTTACGCTGCCTGACGTCCGCAACCTGGTGAGGATTTTAAGAGCGCAGACAGTTCTGTGAAGATCTATTTATCAAAGATCTATAGGAAAAATTTAGATTCATCTGGATTCAAATTCCAGATGTTTACAAGTCGTCATAATGTTGCTGCAGCTGTTTCTCTGAACACCAGACCTGAAATGTGTTTTTGTATTTTGCAGGCTTCCAGGAAGTATTTTGTCATGACGTTTATCGGCTCCATCCTGTGGATCGGAGTCTTCTCCTACCTGATGGTGTGGTGGGCTCATCAGGTTGGTTGGAACTTCACAAAAGTTTACATCCATTGTGACACTAGTGTGTGACAAAGATAGGTTCATATCTAATAGTTTAAAGGTCCAGTGTGTAAGGATCTATTGGCAAAAATGGAATTTCCAGGTCTTCAAAAGATGCCACTAAATCCTACACGCTGGTGCTTTAAACAATTACTCGTAGACAGTAACTTGTAGACAGTTCTGATAAGGGAACTAGGAAAACATATTTTCTCTCAATAGATATGTGTTGTCAAAAGTGATGTGAGTAATTGACGCACTACAACAGTGTTTGTTTGTATTGTTGTAGGTGTGTTTTACCAATCACATCACATAGAAGTTGCACCAAGATTTTGCAGATTTATTGGGGATTGTTGAGGCCTAAAATTCAGCAGCTTTTCAAAGAAATTGTGATGTTTTTAGGTAATTTTCAAGAGTGAAAATTGTAAAAACTAGATTGGAAAAAATGTTTTTCCTTGTTTAATTAAGGCAACTTGTTCCAGCTGAAATAAAATTACCAGTAGGTGTCCCGTTTTGCCAGTTGGGGCCAACAGTTGTGGTGATCAGATGAAATTGCAAGGTTGTGCAGATTTCACAAGTATTGGTTGAATTTACATTAATTATTGTGATTGCAACTCCAGCACTTAATGGAAAAGTTCAACATTTTGGGATATTCACTTATTTGCTTTCTTGCCAAATGTGAGATAACAAAATCGATACCACTCATGTATGAGCGGTAAATATGAAGCTGCAGCCGCTTAGCTTAGCATAAGGTATGGTTACAGGGGGAAACCGCTAGTCTGGCTTTGTCCAAGAGTAACATAGTCTGCCTACCAGCACCTCTAAATGTCATGGATTAAGTTATATCTTGCAATCTGCAATTACATGTTTAAATGTAAACATGTAACAACATGTAACAATCCATTGTAGTTTATGGAGGACTTTCTGGAGTCTCTGATAGTTGTCTGGCAAACTCACAGTAACAACAAGATGATCTATGGACTATCTGATTTTATCTCATGTATGAATATTCAAAATAAATACCAATAAGCCCCAGGATTATTTTTTGTACAAAGAAAATGGAGACACATGTACATACCTATATACAGGCTAATAGTGTACATGCTATGTTGTAGTGGGAACAACAAAACTTCCTCAGTTTAACTGTTTTCTTTCTTTTCTTGTGTACAGGTGGGTGAGACTGTGGGCATCTCAGAGGAAATCATGGGCCTGACCATCCTGGCTGCCGGAACGTCCATCCCTGACCTGATCACCAGTGTGATTGTGGCCCGGAAAGGTCTGGGGGACATGGCCGTGTCCAGCTCAGTAGGCAGTAACATCTTCGACATCACCATCGGGTGAGTGACCAAAATCATTTTTTTAACTTAAAGATCATTTTACAATTTTTGGTCATTTCTTAGTTGAAGAAAACATTACTGAACCACATTATTTGTACTTTGAGCCAAATATGGCATTAAGAGGCGAAGCACCAACATTTGGTTTAACTACCAGATACAGTTGAGTATCATCTGCATAGAAATTTAACAAAATATATTTTTACGTTATTCTGTAACTATCCCAAAGCATGTACAAAGTAAAAAGGTATAGGACCTAAAATCAAACCCTGAGGAACATCCACTGCTGTCTAAATGGCAGTGATCCATATTATGCACGGTTCATCACATATGTGAACAGCAGACCCAATTCAACTTTACACTTTTACTGCCGCTGTTACTTTTTAACGTAATAATTCCATAAATCTCAATGCGGAGTTGCAGTTAAATGATAGATGTGTGCTGTGCCTTACTCTGAAGTGCAATGATTGGGTTAAGGAAGAGTGATTGATTTAAAAGCCATCACTTTCACCTCCACTGAGTAAAAGTGTTGATAAACCATTAAACCAAAAACCATGATATGACCCAAACCTTGATACGATCCGAACCTTGAGTTTTGTGATCTGTTGCACCCCTAATATTCCCATTCCTAAGATGTGAGATAAACTATGTAAACCTGACAGAAACACATCTGTCCTCTCTGGTTTTAGTCTCCCGGTCCCGTGGCTCATTTACACTCTGTTACACAATGGCGAGCCGGTAGCCGTCAGCTCCAACGGCCTGTTCTGCGCCATCGTGCTGCTCTTCCTCATGCTGCTCTTCGTTATCATCTCCATTGCCGCCTGTCGCTGGAAGATGAGCCGAATGTTGGGCCTCACCATGTTCGCACTGTACTTTGTGTTCCTCGTCCTCAGCGTCATGCTGGAGGATCGCATCCTCACCTGTCCTGTTTCCATCTGAGCTGTACGGGCCCGAGGCAGAGAGCAAACACCACTGCTGCACATACTGTACGTAGGATATGTTAGTAGAGGAACCAAGCCTGATGTCAAAAGGCTGACCTGACGCACAGTAGAAACAGGATAGAAACACCAAACTAAACTAGCAGTGATGTTAAAGGAAAAATCCACCCTCAAGAGTCTGAACATTTTCCAGCAGCTACTTTGTGAAAACTGTCCGGTAACTGAATTTAATCTGTGTCCAAAATCACTCCACATTTACTACATAGTGCACTGTACTTACCTTCCACCATTTTGTATGTTTCAATTGCAGTGTTGGGCAGTAAGGAATAACTAGTAATAATATTACTTTCACCAGTAACTAGTAGTAGCGTTATGAATTAGTAATACATTTTAGTAAGAATATTAGTCACCCCCCCAAAAAAAAGTTAGTTACAACCACTGAACATCCATACAGCATGATGTTCATATAGTAAATTATGGTCTAATTTAGAGTAAAATAGACAATAAAGCAGGGTATGCTTTAGCCGGGGCTACATTATTTATTTTATAATTTCAAATTATGCATAAGTGATTGGACACTTTAAATGAGGTGGGTGCCGTCACAGGGGTCTGTTTTCAGTAACCAGGCTTCATTCAGCCCACCTCAGCTCCACCCTCTGCTTATTTGCAAATTTTTTAAATTTAACGGAAGCCGGCAGTCAGGGCTGCCAAGATGGCGACGACCAGAGCCAACAAAGAGCTTCACAACAACTGACGTCACAGAGACTACATTGTTAATGATAATGTGACCTGTGACCTGTGACTGCTTAGTTATCTATTATCAAAAACAGTACAAACACTACATCACCACCAGGTCTGCAACTTACTGTCTAATTTCCTCAATTAATCGATTATTTGTTTGTCCAGAAAATGTTGATCACTGTCACCGAATGTGACGTCTTCAAATGTCTTAATTTGTCTTTAACCAAAAGATATTCAGTTTGCTGTCATAGAGGAAAAAATAAACAAAAAATATTCACATTTTAATGCTGAAATCAGAATTTGGACATTTTCTTTTTATTAACTAATTATCAAAGTAGTTAGTGATATATTTAATAGTTAAACTAATCAGAATCTGGTTTATTGCAAAGTAGGTTTACACATACAAGGAATTTGCCTTGGTAAGTTGGTGCACAACAGTTAAACATAGAAACATACAAATAGAGACGATATATATACAAATAGAAAAAGAGAGACAATATGTGCAATATGGCCGAATGCTTAAATAAATGAGTGAAGAGCTGTACAGGAATCTGCAAGTTAGCAGTGTGACGTATGTTTGCAATGTGCAAAGATAGATTAATCATTGAATAGGCCAATTGTTGCAGCTCTAATCACCACTGACTGTTTTAGTTGAGCGTGTAAGTGTTTTGGGGTGGAGTTTTCCTTTTTAACACTGTGAGCGTAATGCTTCTGAAACCTGAGGTGACTTTAATAGGTAAATTATTAAATACTTTATGTCCATTACAGCAGTGGAGGTTCAGATTTCACTGTGCAGCAAAACCACTGGATGCAACTTCAGTTTTATATGTTCACTATTTTCTCAACTGTATTCCTAAAACTCTGTTCTGTATTCAACCAAACTAGTGTTTGTTAGAATGTTCTTCTGGTTTTTTTTTTTTTTTTGTGAACAAAATATTTCATTTTGTCAACATAACTGTGGTGGAGAGAAACAGTGGTTGTTTGTGTGTCAGGTAAATGTGTATCAGACTGTGTTATTAGCTGTGAGAAAAAAACCTGAGAGGTGTCCCGTTGTCAGATGTTACCGTCTTGTTAAATGCTCTTGTTGGATTGAAGTGGATGCAAACATGTATTATTGATAGGAAAACTATCAATATTTCAAATTAAAATTCCATGCTGCAATAAATTATTTTTTTAACAGTGAACTAGAGCTCTGTGTGCCGTGTTATTGGGAAGAGAGACTTTAGTGCTCACATCAGAAAACAGGTTTCTTTAAAAAGGCTTTATTGGTCCATTGGATAGTCAGATAATTATTATGGAGTCCATTTGAGCGACCTACTGACGTGTTCTTCACAAGTAGTGTGACACTGGCTAATCTACAGAAGCATAACTTGGCCTCCTCCATTTAAAACCATCTAAAAAAAAAATTCCGCAAAACATTTGCTAAGTTGATACTTTAAAAAAATATGTAAAATCTTGCAGTGTTTACAACCATGTTTTCTATCTTGCATTCTTCTTTTTTCACTGCTTTTTGTGGGTGTGTTGGTACGTTTCCTGGAATGTTAATGCTACGATTGATCATTGTTAATATGAAAGTAGCTACGAAAATGCCTGTTGTTCCTCCCCCTACTAATTTAAAATTCAACAATCCACATATAATCGTTGAGGAAACTAGTTGGAGAATGGAAACAAACTGGAAATATTCACATTGCTTTGATTTTGGGGAGTAGCAGAAAAGTAATATAGCTAGTAATCCAACACCGTAGTTTACAACTCCACGGGGTAAGATTTGACCCTTCCTAAACCCCGCCCCTTTTTACTCTGTGCTCCAATGACAGTTGACCAAGCTTCAATCAACTTTCTCCTTTACTGTACTTAGATATGCTACATCGAAATTTGTTTGTTTTTTCAGCATAGACAAGGCTAGCACGTAGCATATCTAAGAACAGGATGCCAATTCCTTTTTTGTTTTCCCAGTATGGCGAAGTCTACTCTATCCTACTCAGTCTCTGACTGGCTTGTTCTTTTTGCCTTCACTGGTTTGGCTGGTTGGGTTTAGGTATGAGGAGTTAAGACTGGTTAGGGTCAAGCCTTCGCCATCCTGGGAGAAAAAAAATACATACAGGAAAGGAGGAAGTCGACAGAAGTTCTGTTCTGACGAAGACTTGCTCAAATGTTATTAAAGCACAGAGCAACAGAGACGTAGCCAGATGTAGCATTAGTTAGTACTTTTCTAAAGAGAATAAAAAACGCCAGCGACGAGAGTGTAAGTGATTTTTATTTACAGTTAAACAGCCCTGTAGATCTGGTCGCTGTACAGAACCTTCACCACATCTAAAAAGGACCTTTTTGCACACGTGTGAATAAACTGTTATAAAATGTGATTTCTACAAAGGGCGAGTTAAAATGTACATGGCCCCCAGATTCTGCAAAATCATTCATTTGTACAACTTTTTAACACAACAGAAATCCACAGATGAATGGCAGCTTCCTCCAGCCGCTGACGTCGTAGTCGATGCGTCCTCTTCTTCGCCGGCTCGATTATAATTTTTTAGGAGCAAAGTGCAACTTACTGACCACGAATCGCACCCATGGTTGACGTTCATGAGACCTTCATGAGTTTAGGGTCCTCCTTCAACCATGGTGTTGGCCGATTTAACACACACAAACGAAAACAATGAGTAATTACAGTTCATATCCAGTTGGATCCAGAATCTATTTGGTCAGAATCTCATACGGTCGTCTCAACGTTGAATAACCCTGTGACAAATATATGTAAATAAAATCAGAACTTTAGCTTTAAAAATGCAGAAATAGACAGATTTTGTACATGTAAATATGAACATTTACAAAAAGTTAAAGTTCTGATTTACTTTCTGTACTTTTACAAACACTAGTGCATTTGAAATATGTTTATATATGACTTCAGAACAGATGTCCATCCCCTATTTTAACATTTTAATACAGAATATGAATTCTCTTCTACTTTTCAGCGACTCCATAATCTTTTTCATTGTTTTACAGACAAGAAACTGCTTGTGAACACTGATTTGATTCTAATTTCACTTTTCTGCATTCATGGTGCATTTAAATGTAGAATAACTGGAGGTAACTCTACAGGAGACGTTCTGTAGTTGATCTAACTTGTTGAAAAGTGCTGAAACAGTAAACTATAAAATACACAATCCTCCGTCTGTTACTGCATCATTAGTATTTCCCGTGGGCACTGAAATCCCTTTTTGGTTTTAATTTAAATGGCAGAGATAAAACCGGTGTATGACTTTCATACACCGGATGTTACCTCGGAGGAGATTTAAAGCATTTTCTCCTCCTCTGCTGCCCTCTGGGCTTTTTACAGAACATCCAAATGTGTATCCACCAATATCTGATAGTAAAAACAACACAACAACAATCATAAAATCTCAGTAATGCCCCTCAGAGAAATTACAGAAGCCACCTAAAAATAATTAAGAGTTTGTACCCTTCATTTGATCTGAGATTGAAGTCATTCATTACAGTCACAGAGGCAGATTTAACTCTTTGTACCACAGATGTTAAAACAAAAGCAAAAACAGACATTTACATGTTTATCTGAATAATTAGTGACAGCCTGGGTAAAGCTTTCATTTTCCTACAGTTTTCCTCTGTGATGGATGATTATTACCAATAAATCATGATTTACCTCCAAATAAAGGTTTTATTTTAGATAATCTGGATAAACACATTCATCGTCTGACCCGTCGGACTTCATCGTAGCGGTGTCAGCTATTTCTTTTTGGTGAGTACAATGATATACTGACATAAATTATGGTAAAAACTACAAACATACATTTTCCTTTTACAGTTTTTGTGAATTAAACCAACATGGCTGCCAAAACGTGTTACATTACCTGACAGTATTTATCAGAAAAGTACTGGAATCTTATTTTGTATTTATTTCAGAACAGCTTTTGTATATTTAGGACAAACCGCTCGTATTGAAGTGAGTTTTCTCCCGACCTTAAGTTCATCTTTCAACTCATAAAACCAAAGAAATCCACGTAAACTACATATTTATAATCACAAGTGTGTGTGTTTGTCAGCCGGCCTCCCTTCATCCCAGCAGTCGACGATCAACAGTAACACTGACGTTTGCTTCATTAATGAACTGGTGCAGAGAACTTAAACATATGATGGATGAAATATTTAAATAGCAAAAAAATGTTTGGTAAACTAACTTAAAATGAAATGTAAAGCGCTATTGTAACTGGTTGTGGCAGCACAGCGGACACTTATGTTCAGATAGTGGACTAACATTAAAGGCAGCTTAAACAGTGGTTTTTAAACATTTAAATTAGGGCTGCAATTGAACATTATTTTCCTTATTGATTAATGAAAAGGTCCAGTGTGGAACATTTAAGAGGATCTATTGACAGAAATGAAATATGATATTCATAGATGTGTTTTTATTAGTGTTTGGTTTGTCCGTTCTGGGCTACTGTAAAAACATGATGTAGAAATAAACGTCTCATTCTAAGTTAACAAAAAAACACAGCAACTCTCATATTCAGGTGATTAGGCTGTAGAAAGGAAGCCTTTCACGTTTTCTCCTACACATTTCACAGTTTATCTCATTCCCAGGTGGTCAAACACAGACACGAGGGGTGTTCAGTTAGCTGCAATCTGCAACTTCGCCACTGGATTACTGGACTAAATCCTTCACACTGGTTCTGTTTTAAATGTTTCATCTGTGAAATGTTAATGAGAAAATCTACTTGTTTTTTGTCAGACAAAACAAGTCCAAAATCTGAATATATTTAATTATTCAATCATACTGACAGAAAACAGCAAATCCTCACATTTGAGAAGCTGGAGCCAGTTGAATAACAAGTATCGACTGATCCTTGCAGCTCTAATTTAAATATGTTTTTTTTTTTTTTTGGATGCCCCAACTCATACAGCACAGAAACACTTAGTCATCACTTACAACAGACACTAAATCCGTACTGCAACATCTCTTCCAGTCTGCTGGAAACGAGCAACGAGTGTTCAGGACGCACTGGTTTAAACTGCGAGACAACAGCGAACACGGGACAAGACACTACAATAAATAAAGCTTACTTTGTATAAATAGAGTTCAAGTTAAAATATTGCTAGTATTAGTCTTCATATGCTGTATGACTATACAAAATAAATGTTGCATTTTAAAAAAAATCCTCTACTTGCGGTGTGTTTACAGAATATTTGTATAATTGTTCACAGGGTTTCCAGAGAAACCAGGTGAGCGTCACTCAACAACACTGGATGAAGTTGTGTTTATGAGTGATGTGAGTGTGTTTCCATCTTCACTTAGCTGAGATAAAGTCTGTAAAACTTTGTTGTTGTTGTTGTTTTGGGCTACAATATCGCTGACCGCCGTCAACTTTTTTTTTTCTTCTTTTTTTTCACCTCCAAACGTTACTGTAGTGCACATTCACAGTCTTCCAACAGGTTTCCTGAGCTCGTCTTAAAGCAATATGACGTGTGTGATGAAGAGTTACTCCAGGTGTGTGAAGGTGAGTGTTTTACAGGTAAGGCTCTCCAAACGTCCTGCGGCACTCCATCACCCCCGTGCTGGGAGGACGGTCACAGTTATGGGTCAGCTTCACCAGGCTCGGCACGAGGCGGTCGTACGCCAGCTTGTACTCGCGATCGAAGGCGTCTGAGGGAAGAAGAGAGGACTTTTTCTCAGTTTTTACAGATTTCTAATAAATGTTTTTCTATCGTCAATAGACCAAATGACAAATACTGCAATTCCCCCTCAGCTCTTCGGAGCGTTTTAGTGTCTTTTCGCTCATTGTTTTGGTCTTTCCTGTCGCAACAGGCAGCTGTTTCTGCCCAGAAGCTCCAAAAAAGTCCACAGTACATTTTCTTCTCAGCAACCAAATCGTAGACGACGTACATAGTGGAGCATTTAGGAGCTAAAGTGGCAGATATTTCACTTCAGAAGTTTAAAAACAGCTAAAAGTAGCGTGAATATTGGACTTTCTCACAAATGCTTCATAACCGCTGGATGTGTAAATAAACTGTATGTCAACGTTCTTATATTCTTATAGAAATCAGTGAATGCAGGTTTTAAATTAAATTCTTAAATTTACTCAGAGCAACTTGGAAATATTTACATCTCAGAGCTCAACAAAAGTGAAACCCCTGAGCTGATGTAAAATTATAAAAACATACATAAACGTGATCAATGAATTAATTCAAACCATAAAAGTGTGACTCACCAATGTCAATGTTATCTTTTCCCAGAGCCACCAGGGAGAGGAAGAGGATGTCCCTGTACAAACTCCTGAGGAGGAAGAGAGAGTGGAGGTCGAAACAAATTCAAACATTTTCATCATCATCATTCCTCTCTGAACAGAAATTCAATTTATGTTTTTACTCTTTCAATACAACCAAATAACAACATTAGTTAAATCTGTTAGAACATTATTATTATTATTATTATATTTATATTTATTTATTTATACTCATTATGCAGAATGGCTCATTTCAGAATAATGTATATTATTGGTTGATAATCACTGATGTATCATTTTAATTACTTTATATACTGTTTTGTAGCTGAATCTATAATATAATTGATTTGTTATGTTTGTAAGAATCTGTAAAGTATCTAACTAAATATATCAAATAAGTGTAGTGGGGTAAAAAGTAAAGTAAAGGTACTTTAAAGTAATTTTCTGAATAAAGACGCGACAGAGCAGATCACAGTGGCAGGAAGTCAGTCACAGAAACAGAGAGAATCTGGTCAATTTTCAAAATAAAATACAGTGTGCAGACTCCAAATCAAATTTCACATTAGATCAACATTATGACACCAAGGCCAGAAGTAATCACTGAGAGGCAGGTTAGAGGAGATTTTAAAAGGGAGAAACACATTGTTTTATCCTTTTTAAGGATCTACGAGTAAACAACGTTGGGATGGCAACACGCTCTGAAGGCGCTCTGCTTCTGAAGAGCTCTCGGTGACGTTTAAAGCAGCAGATAAAGCCCGCTGGGTTTTTGGGTTAAGTAAACACACGCTGACTGATGTGAGCCGACACACATGGAAGAACCTCTGCATAACGGCGACCACTCTGGAGCTGAATAAAGGAAATAATCCTGATACGACATGTCAGTGCTGACCTTTGCCTCTTGACCCCGAGCGTCTGGCCCAGCAGCTGCAGCAGCTGAGCCATCGGCCGGCTGACGTCGTTCCTCTGGATGCTCTTCACCACGCTCTGCAGTAAGTCCTCGCTGAACGGCTTCTCCTCCTCCGAGACCGGCCGGGACAGAGGGTAACCGACGTCTACCAAAAGACACACACACACACAGTTCAGCTCTGGAGTCGTTATATTAGTGCTTAAGACATAAAACAGTAACGGCAAATGAGGATGGTTTAATCATCAAACAGGTTTCCACTCAGATGAAAAGTACTTGGGGGGGCTGGGTATCTATACTGGAGAATAAAGAACCAGTACTGGTAAAATACACTAATTAGAAGTTCAGTGTGAGGTATAAATAACATTGTTTAATCACTTTATACAGGTTTTAACATTACGTTGTGGACAATTTTATTATTTTAGGATAGGAATTTTTTTAAATGAAATAAAATAAGTTTGTTTTTATTAAAGTTTAGAATAAAAAAATAATTATCCGACTATTTAATAATTACAATTCACAAAATGCATCTAAAATATACCAATACGTTAGTTATAAGATATTTCCCACTCATTTTAATGCATACACTGAAACACATTTTCACACTATATCAACAAATGTTTTTGATACAGATGTTCTTTAAGAAATCTACACAATAAAACATTTCTTAAGTTTAATGGTGCAACCTGGTTTAGTAAATAGCAATAGTTAGTATGAATTAATAAGAACTTTTACACATAAACTTGGATCTACGAGCTCAGTAGGTTAATGAGATATTGTGAGTTGTATTCATATTAATAGTTCCACATTGTATTTATATGATTAATCCTGGTGACTGAAAGGTGATGGATAGTTAAGGTATTCAGGAGCACCAGCAGGATGTGGCTGCTGTTCAGTACCCAGCCCTTTAAGTACGACAACAACGTCCATCTTATAAAGTTGCTGAATTTAAAAAAAAACAAAAGAAACAGTCAGCGAGTGGAGAAACATTCAAATACAGAGCGGGGCTGTATTTGAAACAAACACGTTCCATGTTAACAGTGTGAAAACCGCACAGAGACACTGAAACCATGAAGAGTTGAAGGCTGACTTTCCACAGACGACACTGCAATGCATCAAGCAAAGTAAAACACAACAGAGGGAAGACAGCGGGCCTCAGACAGTCACGGGACACAAACAACAGGACTCATCTGTGGGAGTCTGCAGCAGAGACGAACACTCACTCTCTAACAACAGAGTACAATTAAGCCCTGGAAGACAGAGAGCAGACAGAGCCTGTTAGGACAAGGATTAGCTGGCTGCCTCCCCGCCTCCTTCAGACATCATTCAAAGAGCTCTAACAGTGGAGAACAATGTTACATGTATTTGTTTTGAGGAATGTTTTATTCTCCTCGTGGCTCCACGCAGATTGGATGTTTTTATCATTGTTTCCTGCTACGGACGAATCGAAGCTGCGCAGTACGTCACCGCCGCTGGCTGCAAAAAACCAACATGGTGACAGCGATAATGCAGACTTGAGTCTTCAAAGTGTTACTCCACGCACCAATGGGTGACAAAAGGTTTACACTTGATGTAAACACTCAATGATACCATAATAATGGTGGAATTCCTGCATATTTGTCTTCATTAGTCAAGTTTCAATCCAAATTAAGTGCAAATTTTAAACAAATTTCCAAATATCTACAGAAAGAAAATGACAATTACTGCTTGTTTCCATCCACTACTGTTATTTTAATATTAGGAGTTGTGCACATCAGGATAAACAGCAGGTGGAGCTAATCCTCCAGTCGCGTGTGATTACTCTATAACAGAACTTGCCTCACGTACGTCATGATTTATCCACTAAGCCTGTTTCATAACCCGTTCATAGAAAGGGTTTTGTCACATCGTCCCCTGACCTCTCTAAAACAACACACACACATATGTATACAACCAATTTTATAATTACTCATACACAACATACATAATGTTGAAGTCACATAGTGACACATAAACTAAAATAAAATTAAGTAAAAGAATATGAGTCTATTCTCAATCACTCACAATAAAGGACAACAAAACCACACATTTATTATTTTCTGACTGTTCACTTCTTCTGTATCCACACATCCCCTGCCTGATGGACTTTAAACTGGACTTTAAACTGGTCTGTTCTGGTCCGCAGAGAGAGCGAGGTGACTCACTGTATGTGTTCCAGAGGATGTAGAGAGGTTGGATGGGGTCCTGGTGCAGCTTCAGGTTGTCCCACAGGATCTGGATCAGCACGTGTTTACTGTCCTCCGACATCCAGTGACGAGGGACCTGAGGGACAAGGTGAAGAGAGAGACAGTCCGACAGTCGTTACAAAAACGGATTCAATTTGATTTCAACAATAACACAATACAAATACAGGTCAAAATCTGATTTTTAAAATACTATTTGCACTACAAGACTGTATTTTAACAGTTATTTGACATAATCATTATCTCATTTGCTCCACTTTCTTTTTTCTGTAAACTGGTGATTGAGTTGCTTTTTGCACAGGGACACAAAAAACAGATAAAATGGTTTAAACAAATCTGTGTTTTTCATGGAAATCTGGAAAACAATTACAGGTACATGTACATACAGTATAGGTTTGAGTTTGGTTTCCAGTTTGAAATGTATTGCCTTGTACTGATGATCTATATGACCTACATAAACAAACAAAACCATGAGCAAGAAGATTTGCTATTTCTTTATAGCTATTCTTAATGCGTGCTGCAGGTAGACACATACGTATAACAGAACTTTCTAACTTTGTTTAGAAAACTGCTACGGAAACCCTTATTATAATTATCATTAAGTGTTGTATGTTTAGTGTGTGAGAGAGACCTGGGAGTCTCTGTTGCAGTGCTCAGAGGTGAGGATGAGACCGGGCAGGTTGCTGGGCAGGTCCAGCCGTCTGAAGTACCAGACCAGGTTCCAGTAGATGATGGGATGATGGTCCACCATGTCGGCCTCCGTGATCACCGCGTCGCCCTCGTTCTCCAGCAGACTCTCCAGCTCCTTCCACAGCACCAGCGGGCTCAGGTAGGGAACCGTCACCGGCTCGGGGTTGTGCAGCCGCCACTCCATACTCAGCGGGTCCTGGGCGGGACAAGAATGACAGGAGGTAACATTTGTAACTGCCATGAGTAAAGTATGTGCAGCCCTTTTTAACAAATGCTGATTGATTTAAAAACATCAGTGATTTGTGTTGAGACACACCGTGGCTTCATTGAGGCGGCTGGGAAGGCTACCCGATGTCGGCACACAGCGGTTGAGTCGAGATCCTTCGTCCAGAGGACCGAAGGCACTGACACTGCGGGCCATGGGAGCTCCGGGGGAGGACGCCCCCTTCCGGCGGTCTGAGGGGATATTGATACCTTGAACCCTGGTTGATCGAGTCCTGTGAAGACACAGCAAGGAGGATCAGCTCATAACACACATCTCAACTCACAACATTTAACAAGATGATTGTTGTTAAGTGTCTTAAGTCACACAAACAAAACAGAATCCAGATTTAAATCAGCAAAAACACTAAAAATCACATTTCAGCCTCCTGATATCTCGGCACCAGGGTATCAGGCGCTGTTCGTCCCTGTTGCTCACACATTTAATAACCTCATGAGGGTTTCACAAGCACGTGGTCTCTGTGTTACACACACAGACACAGAAAGCTTTGTTTGGACCAGGTGCTGCAGATCATCTCATATCGCTCTTTTACAATGCAGATGGGGCATGTGGATGAAGCTACTGTAGGTTCCTACTTCAAAAGCATTGTTTAATCAGACAAACTGGAAGCTGAATGAAGATGAGCTGTAAAAAACAAAATCATACAGCACATCTGAGAATGAACCACAAGGACAAAAAAAAAGTGTTTCAGGCCTCATGTCAGCTGCTTTCTGGTTGTATTTAATCCTCCCGGCCGTCCTCCCATCAAACAAAACTAGTAACATCAGTATCAATCAGTCACTTGCTTGACACTACAATGTGATTATGAAGGATGTTTTCATTTGTCTTGAAGGTCCTTTACAGGAGAACATGTAGAAGACAGATATTTAATTCTATATGTAAAGGATGTAATATTCAGACTTTGTGGCTCCAAACTCAGATTTCTACATGCGGTATATTGTTATACACGTGGATGAATTAAATGAGATGCAGGTCCCTTTTTTTTGAAAAACAGTCACCAGTAAGAATTTGATAAAGTGAGCACCACAAAATACATTGCTCTAAACTACAGTGTGTGCATGCCGTTATATGTGGCATGAATTAAAACATTTTTCTGAGAACAAAGTAGGTATTTGGTGGATAAAAAGACATTTAGTTACTCTACATTACTCTCATATAACAGATATCATCTTTTTTACTCCATACATCAAAATCTGGCGCCTACATTACCCATAATGCAACCAAACCGCTAATGACTGGTCGGAAATTCACATGTTTTATCAATGTAGGATCAGTGTGTAGATAACTGGAGAATGTGGTTTACCTTCCACTGCCCAAGCACTCCTGGACAGCAATCACAGGGGAGGGAGGGAAGACAGCTGTTGTAGGACAGGGAGTGGACAAGGTGGACGTCCCTGTGTCGAAACCTGTGGAGGCCGAGTATGATGAGGTCATTGCCTCATCCACCGATGGGCTTCCCTTCAGGAAAAGCCTGTGAAGAGGAGAGGGCGCACAAAGAGAGGACATTCAGGAAAGTCGAGTCAGGTTTCTTTTCTGATTAATTAGTGGTTATAAAATCCCTGTAGCATTTCATCCTGTTCACAATATATCATTTTGTTGATTTGTTTTTTGGCACTGAAAATGTCTTACTATGAGGAACATGAACACACTAATGTCTGCCAAAGTTAAAACAGATCTGGGTATTTTACTTCAGAGATTTCTGTTTTCATTTGTGGTATTCTCAATGGTTTGAAGCAGGTTTTTCTAATGTTTCCAGGCCAATGTCGATCAAATTTTTTGGGTTTTTGTTAAACTCTTAACTTTGGTTTGTTGCCTATTTAGTCATAAATTTATTAAAAATATAAAAATCAGGCCTGAACAGTGGATAGTTCAATCAATAAGCAATCACAGTAATCAACTAATATTAGTAAAAACCAAAAAGTAGCTCCATCTAGAAGAGTCTAAATGCTACAGATCGTGTGATAATCTGACGATAAAAACAACAAATACAAGACAACTACAAAATTCCTCTAAAGTTATCTAACAGTTATATTTTCACTGTTTCAGCAGTTCAGTATTAAGGTGTTATCGTCTACCTGCCGGGCCCTCGCATGTCCCTGATCTCCACGTTGAGGAAGGGCAGGAAGGGGTTTCCGCAAAAGGGGCAAGTGGTGTTCAGGTTGGAGTCGTCTGCTGTCCAGCCGGCCATGATCTCCTCGTCATACACCAGGCAGTCACACGTCTTACAGCGAGAACAGCTGGAGATCAGCAGCTGGAAACACACACACACAACACACACACACACACACACACACACACACACACACACACACACACACACAGGTTACCTTACTGACCAAAGATGATCAAGATTTTAAAGAACCATCGACCCTTAACCACTAATTCTCAGTTATAATCTACAACACTGACCACCTCCTCACTGCGGAATAACACTCCACTACTCTCCATCTTGTAGTTTTTACCTCCATGGCGTAGTTGTTGAAGATGCTGGTGTTGCTGGTGTAGCGCGAAGAGCCGAGGTCCGACTTGTCTGGCAGAGGGAAGCCAGGAGGCGAGAGGACGCATCCTGCAGGAGTACGAAGGGATGATCAGAATATGTCATAGGAGAAGATACGACCTGACTTCTCCGCTAAATATTGTTTCTATATATTTTATTGAAAAGTGGGAGATATGTTTTATACATTTTGTTTATTGCTTTCTCAATTAATTTTTAACAGACAGTGATATTTTCTGTCTGTGTCTCATTGTTTGTCGTTAAGCAGAATGAAAATATAACAATGAAGTATCAATACTGAATGGAGAGAGAGAGAACGTTCAAATTCAATCAATCAAACTCTGGATTTCTGGAAGATTTTTGTTTGGTTGTTTTTATTGATTGTAATTTATAGTGAACCCATTTTGATCACTGATTGACTATGAAGACTTCATAATCTTAAAACCTAAAAATAAATAAAGATTAGAGGGATCCTTAAGACAAAATCCTCAAACTTGGGGTCAACTGGTCTAATGTGCATCTATTGTGGGGTTTCTTGACATTAAAACGTTTGGGAACCACTGGCTTTAACTGTCACACGAGCGAGGGTTGCTCTTACCTGGCTGCAGAGATGTGGGTCTCCCGAGGCTGGAGCCTGCAGTGGGGCTGTCCAGTCTGCTGCGGAGGGGGCTGCGTCTGGGGCTTCTGCGGGGCCCCATGGGGCCGTTCCTCTGTGGAGAAACCACGGAGCTCTCCAACTCCCCACAGTCCTCCTCATCCAGCAGAGAGGAGCCGTCTGGATCTCCACCGAGGGAGGACACGCTGAGGCGGTCGCTGTGACCGTCCTGAATGAGCAGGAGAGAGCCGGGCAGGTTAATGTCGTCCTGGACTTCAATACTCACAGCAACAGTAGATCAAGTTCAGCACTGACTAACAACCAAGACTGCTCACATGAGGTACAAATAAGACATTTTGTAAAGACACCCCCACTCAAATGCATCTTCCCTATGACTTTAACCTCACAAATCAATCTAGAATTATTTAATAAAAGCACTAGAAAGGTACAGTACTTCGCTATTTAAGCTTTTAACATTCAGCAAACCCACAAACTTTGCTGCTGATGAAGAAAACAGAAGCTACAGTGAAGATCAGCCTACATGAAGAAAAAAAACATCCCCAAAGATGTTGCAATGATTTCAATAATTCAGTAATTTGGCTGCAAATTACTGAATTATTGAAATTACAGCTAAAGCAACAGCTTTTATTCAATAAAAGCTGTTGCTTTAGCTGTAACTATGGAAGATGCATGCTGTGTCCACAGCAAGAATGCTGTCAGACCCTCAAAGGCCACAAGATGGCAGCAGCCATCCAACTTTAGGCTCAGCTTAATACTCTCTGCCACAGATTTATCCATTTTGCCCATTTGCTACAAATCATATCTGCATTGCTTTACTGAACACTAATAGACTGAGATGTGTTTGATCAAATGTTCACCTGTATCATCACACAACAATCAGTTAACTTTGACAACAAGTACCTTGGTAGGTGTGGTGTACGTGGCCAGACGGGAATACCAGCGGCTGGCCTTCTCTGCCACACCCTTCCCAGCAGAGAACACACTGGTCTTGAATACATCAAGCGTTGGTGTGAGCAGAGTGTCCAGAGCGAAAGAGGAGGACGAAGGTGAAGGTGACGCCTGGCCCATCCTGTCCGTCCTGTCCCTGTATGGGCTGGGTCTGGGGCTGGGGCTGGGGGTGGTGCTAGAACTACGACAGGGAGGCGACGACCATAGGCGTTGGCGTGAGATGGTTTGGGAAGGCGAGGGTGGGTGGAAGGTGCAGGAGCGCGGCACTCCAGCAGGCCTGAGGGGGGAGCTGTGGGGCAGACTGGCTCTGCGGGGAGCAGAGAGTGAGGAAGGGTGGAGGAGGAGGGGGCTGGCCGGGTCTTGCAAGTCCAGACTGGGAGTACGGCTTCTCAGCGGGCTGCCCATGTGGTTCATGTAGAGCTCGATCTCCCTGGCCAAGTGCCTGCGGGCGCTTGGCGTGCTGGCCTCGTCCCCCTCTGGGTACTGATCGTCATTTTCCTGTTCCGTCTGTGACTGTGCTGCCAGCAGGGACAGAGGGTCGTATCCCGTCTCAATGCCTGTGCGCTTGACGGTCCCTCTGGACGCCTCAGTGCTCATGCCACCATAGCTGGCGCTGCGTTCAACAAGTTTCTTATGAGATTTGTTGGTTTTATGAGAGCCGATGCCAGCCCTCGTGGCAGGCTTGTCTAAATCCAGATCCTCCAAATCAAAAATAGCTTCTGTATTACTTCGGTCCTCATCACTGGAGTCCTGTCCCTCCGTCTCCTCTTCCTCCTCCATGTGATCGTGACTTCTGGCAGCCCCTGCCTTAGCAGCCGTCCCCTCTAGACCTCCCAGAGCCAGTGAGCGAGGCCTTTTATTCTTACTGAAGTTGGCCCCGGAGAGAATTTTGACATCTGCGCCCAGCTGTCCTGCGATCTTATCTGGGTCCGTTTCACCCTGGCTCATACCCAGGCCAAGGACAGTGGTGCCGCTGCCGCTGCTGCCCACCGTGTCGCCGCTCAGCCGGCGGCTCCTCACGCCCTGCCAGTCGAGGGCCGAGCCGCTGCTGGCGCTGCCCACCACCTCCTCCAGAGCGCTCTTATGTCTCCTGAGCAAACTGTTGGTGTGGACCTCGCCGATCTCATCCAGAGAGGAAGTGAAGAGGAGACCTGCAACATGACCTGAGAGAGAGGAAGGGGAATTATTTGCATTTATATTAGGAAGTGACATGAGTGAGTTACAAAGCGAGTTATTTTGGGCGTACAGGGTTCCAGACATCCCATTCATTTTCTGCATAGATGATGTGAGATGATGCTGCACTACAAGGCTTGACTGGACTTGATTGAATCATTAATATAAACCAACAGCATTAGATTTGATAAACGGTACAAGCCTGAAGAAACACGCAATCACTAAGTCTACAATTCTGCTAGAATGGGCTGCTAACAATGAGCGGAAGATTACACTTTGAGGAGATAACACAATCAGCAGTGAAAATGATATCACTTTCAGATTCTGAAAACAACGTCTTTTAATGCGTCTCTCATTCTTTCCTCTGACTTCCTCGCCATAGCAACAGCAGCTGAGGCTCATGGGTATTGAAATAATTAAAACTGAGGGTCTGTGTTTCTATGTTGAGGAACATTGAGGATATCATTAAAAGAAAACTTTGAAATGGAAATATACAGTGAGGAAAAACATTTCAGTTTCCCCCCCACTATTCAAAACTACTTTAATCTTTTTAAGTTTTCTTCCCTACCTGCGCTGGCGGAGCTCTTGGGTTTACAGGATGAATCATCATACGGACAACTGCTGCGAACAATGCCACGGGATTTGAAGGAGGAATGGACCTCCATGTCCAGCTGAGGGAGGCAGTCTTTACTTCCCTTAGCACTCTCAGTCTCTGACACTACAAACACAGAAATTACAATTTAAAATCAGTCTCTTTTAGTATTTGCACAGCTTGAAAAAAATTGCATTTCTCTTAAAAAAAAGAACAGCACATGACTGAAATGCTTTGATGCTGAGAAACCAAAATGAATGAATCATCTCTGGAGGAGACAGACGGAAAGATCAAGGCAGAGGAAGGGGAAATCCCATGTGGCTACGAAGCTGCCAAGCTATCATTTTTAGAAGGTACAGTAGACAGAAATATCAGGTGATATCAGATCAGACAGACTACTGACAGGAGCTGCAGTCGCTCTCCTTCTTGTCATCTTTGTCGGGGACGGCTTCCTGGGCACTGGGGTCTCCTCTCCGAACCTCCTCTTTGGACAGTGAGTTATAACCCAAGTCTGACTGATCTCCTAGAGGACAGAGACAAAGATGAAATTAGATAAGAGGGACAATAGAAGTACTGAACTCTCTCTGATATTAAACCACAAAATCAACAGAAATATGCAACACAACGCATGGAAAATTTATGCAGAGGAACGATTCAAGTATAAGAGAAATACTTCAACAACACTGTATGTGTGCCACCCCTCGTATTACTGAACAAACCACCAAATCCTTTATTTACCTTCATTTAAAAAGCTTTTTGGTGTTTAAAAAAAAGTGCATCTCTTGCAGCTTTACACTGTGGTAGAAGAGATTTATGAAACATACATAAAAAACAAAAAAAAAAACTTAGTGAGGCATTTCTTCCCTTTCATCTCCTCAGTTCTGGGAGGCACTGCACTGTTGCAGGGAGAGAAGAGAAAAAAGCAGCTAAGCTGTGCTGAATAAAAGAATCCTCCTCAGGGCATGCAGAGATCTACAGTGACTGCGTGAAAGCCAAGTTCAGTTTCACAGCTGCTAATGAATTTAACTGTTAAGACTTGACGAAAAAAAAAAAACCCTGCTGTCACTCCAGGCTGACTCTTCCATCTGCCTCTAAAACTTCCCTGGGTCTCCAGGCAACCAGCTGTCTGATGATTTGTTCTCCTCTTTCATCTTTCCCGTGAAACTCTCTGGTCGGCATCTCTAAATAAAACATGAGGCTGCACAGCTCGGCAGTAATACAGTATGGAGCGACTCGCAACTGATGGCAAGTGACAAAACTCATTCCAGGACTGTAATAATCAATGAACTGCACATCGAGGTCCTTCCCTCCTGCTGTGCTGTGAGCTGCGGTTCCCTCCCAGACTTTGTGCGCACTAGCCGAAGTCTCCTGCCAGGTTGCCATCTCCATGATTAAAATTATTTCCGTAATCAAAAAGAATGTGCCTCTGGGTAATTACTCGCCATAATTGACAATGACAAATCACTCTGTGGTGATGCGAGGAGAGAGAAATGCAAAAGAGAGATGAGAAAGAGAGGAGCAGCAGACTGGGATGTGCCGGAGAGAGAGAGAGAGAGAGAGAGAGATGAGGCAAAGATCACAGAGACAAAGAGAAACCGAAAAAGTGTGTTGATGGAAGGGCTGAGTAAGTCAGAAAATAAAACAGTTGCAAGATGATAGAAAAATGCAACCAGAGAGAGAGACAGACAGGCAGGCTGACAGAGAGGTTTACCTGGGTGGAGGGTGGCTTCTCTGAGCTCACAGCCCCCCCAGTGTGAGTTGGCCACCAGGGCCCTGGCGCCCACGCTGCCGCCCCCACGGCCGGCTGCATGCAAGGGCAACACAGGCAGGGCCAGAGTGAAGGGCAGGGTTAGAGCAGAGCAGAAACCACAGCCGCAAAACCAGGGAGAGACATTGATGGACAACAGGGACGAAAGGAAGGTGGAAAAACAGGCAGCAGAGGTTAGGAGGTGTAAGAGGAAGAGGGGGAACGAGGAAGAGGCCGGTCGGTGAGCGGGACAAATGAGGAAGGAGGATAAAAAATAAAAAATATATGTCATTGAGAGAGAAGAAAAAGATGTAGAACAAAGATGGCTGCCTGTGAAAGATTGAGTCAAGCAGCAGCCATGTTGAGTGTACCTGTGCTAGATCTATCATCAGTGGGGTCTACTTTGACGGAGTCAGTGGCGTAGGGGCCCTGCTCGGCCAGGTTAGTGTCTGCAGAGCTATCCAGGCTGCCGTGACTCACAGCGTCCAGGTCGCTGCCATCTGCCCAAAGACAACAAGGCGTTAAAGGAAGCCGGGCGCCATTTCTGCTCCACAGGGGATCAACTGTTCTTCTTTTTAATATATCTTTAAGTGTTGGATAAGTGGGTGAAAGGAAGTGTCTATCTTCTATAGAGCTTATGAAGAATCAGTATGGTACTGGTGTATTGCTTCTGTAATTTAATAGAAATCCAGATGAACCAGAATATTAATAACATAAGCTTAAAAATACTTTATATATAATGTTTAGCCACCAGGATAAAACAGTATATTTATTTATGGGTCCCATAGTTTACTAGAGCTGATTGCTGTAAATGTTTAAATGTAAATTTGTACTAATTATAGAGAAAACAAAGACTGACTCAGTTGTTATACTTCCAATTAAAAAATGACTTGAAAAATATATAATTTAATGATGAATATGGAGAATTAAGTTTCCAAAAATAAATATTTAATTGAGTTTAAAAAGATCCAAATTTCATCACTTCTTTCAAGGAAATCCCTCTAGAAATCAACAAATGCTTATAAACTCCAAGTAACTGTTGCAGAGCAATGCCTCTATTCACCCTCTAATAAGCATCAAACTACAAAGTTATTTCTAGGAAACTTCATAGAAAATTATTAGAAAATAACACATAAAAAAGAAGCATTTAGGCCAGTTGTTTTTCACCTCTTGTGTCACAGTAAAAGTTTATTATATATGAGTGTAGGACGGGAGTGGAGCGATGTATTATAAGTTACATCATCAGTAACATTGTGAGAAATGAAATCCAACTGTGTCTCTCACTGGTGTGTACAGATGAGTGTGTGTGTGTGTGTGTGTGTGTGTGTGTGTGTGTGTGTGTGTGTGTGTGTGTGTGTGTGTGTGTGTGAACCTTTGGCTCTTTCAAACTGAACTCAGGAGGAGAGTTTAAGAACACAATGCTTACGCCAGTAACAGGGAGTATCTTAAAAAAGCAGGGATTAGCAGGCCGGGGATTAGCATGTACTGGGTGTGCAGGTGTTCACTGGCATGCAGGGGGGGGGGTTAAATCACACAGTTGTGTTTTATAGTTTTACCTTTAAACTCTGCTGGTCGTTAATTACGACTGACAAATGTAATTTCGAAATGGTGGTTGGATTGATTTTCCTTTCTGAGCTTCAGATACATGGGTTTGAGACTGCAGTAGGAACAAGTGTTGTTTATAAAGTGTTTTATCCTTCAGATTGTTCTGTAAATCTTTGATCATCATCTTTTTAGATTATATTTAATGAGTAATTATCATTAGCTACTAGCCTGATTTATTTAATTTATTGTCCATGTGTAACGCTTCCAAAAAATGACTGAAATTACCTTCTTGTATAAGGACTCTTTTCTTGTATAAGGATTCTTCTATGCAGTCTTTTTTGGTGATGTCGTACACAAGCTTTAACACATCTGAGTGCAAACTTGTAAGAAATGATGGCTATAATTACAGATATTGGTCAGCCAGTAGTCCTTAAGGCTTAACCAGAAAAAAACAAATAAACTGAAAACAAACAACAGTCTGGACTGATATTCAGCATTACCCTAAAGCTAAACAGATTTGTTTACGTGTTTGAGGCAGTATGAACGTTAACAATCCAAACTTAAACACTAAATCTCCTTTTTTGCGAGTGTAAATGATAAGTTCAGTCTCTTTTTTATACTATTAACTGATTCTGATACCAGTCTGTAGTGTTCATGGTTGCTCTTGGTTTGAATGCATGGACAACAACAACATTCCTCTTGTGAGGCATGCAGAGGGTTGTTGATCTCAGTTTACCTGACAGAGGGCTCTGGGTGAGGGGAGCGTGGCGTCGTAGCGCCCGTTTGAACTGCGCCACGCCCAGAACGACATTTCTCAGCTTCATCCACAGGAAGTATCCTCCTCTGGTGCTGGAGGGCCACGTGCTCTCCAACACCGCCTGGACGCCGGGGGGGAGGGAGAGAGACCAGAGAGAGAGATGTGAAGGAGAAGATGAATGACGTTGAAGTTACTTTTAAAAGTTTCTGATCACATTTTCTTGAAGCAGTTTCTATTTCAAGTATCTTCCACCATGAAATGTTCTTATATTCTTCTACTAAATAACTGAACATTAAGAGCCTGAATATTGTGAGAATATTGAGCTCCAACTTCAGTTTCAACTCAACATTTTTTAAAGAGAGCAAACTAAAACTGACCCAATCCCGTTCGATATAAAATCACCCTGAATGAATTTTTCATCAAAGGCATTAACTTCAGCGTTATTAGATCCAGAGACACACTCGACATCAGGAAAGGAAAGGAAAGGAACCGCAGCTGTTGGTGGCCAAGTCACGTTCGACAGTCTCTGTCTGCTCCTAAAATACACTTCAGAAGCCCCCTGAGAAAAACACGATTGGTATGCCACTGAGCAGAACCGGGTTTATTACGCTGGCTGCTCCTGTGCAAAGCCTCTCAGGACTGGGCGAGGTGGCAGGAGGCTGCCCTCCTGCAGATGTTGTCAGCAATGTTAAGACGACTTAACGACAGCGATCTGGCCAAAGTTCCACTTACTGATATTCCAAAATAACTCTGTAGTCTTTGTAAAGCGTCTGTAAGAGAGCTACCTGGGAATGGACCTTCCTAGCAACAGGATCTGAGATACTGTGATTGTTTATAAGGCGGAAATCCATAAAATCTTAGACAAGTGACTGATGGTTGATATCTTGAGCCGATCAATCAATGTCTTTAAAGGAATAGTTTGGCATTTTTGGGAGATTTACATAAGAAGATTGATATCACTCTCATATCTGTTGGTTAGCTTAGCTTAGCATAAAGATTGTCTACCAACACCTCTACAGCTCAGTTGCTCAAGTGCCAAAACAAAAAGCTGTGGTTTGACGGGAAGCTGGAACTATTTCTTTGAACAGGACCAAGATAGCTGTTTCTCCTCACTAAGCTAAGCTAATCGCTCACTGCCAACCTCATGGTGAAAGACTGAGAATGACATATTATGTGTTAATGAGTGAGTTTTAAAGGTATTGCTACATGTTTTTTTGCTTCTTTGACAGAGCCAGGCTGTCTCGAGGCTGTAGCGTCATATTTAATTAACAGATCTGAAAAAGGTATCGGTCTTCTAGCGACAAGAAAGCAAATCAGCACAGCTTCTAATTGACTGTTACAGGAGAAAAGGTTGTCATCGACCTGACTTCTTGCTCAACCAATACTCAGGTCTCACCATTAGTCTCCAATTGTGTTTTTATTTACACAGAAAAAGTGCATAAAGGGATGCTGATGATGGAGAAGTGTGAGTCATCCACAGCGCTGTTGTTATAGAGTCTAACCCACCGAGGCCAAAACCCAATGTAGAAGAACAGTTCAAAGTTTCCTGCTGTGATGCGAAAACCCAGAAAGTCTGTCTTGACTTAATGATGTTGACACTTCTCCGGTTGTTATTGTTGTTTTTCTAAAAGACTCGGTATAAGAAATGTGAGATAAATTGTGTTTGAAGTTCCTCGATTCTCCCAGAATGGATTTACACCTTTCCGAAACTCTGATACAGAAAATTGTACGACTCTCACCGGTGGAAATGTGAAACCATGTTTTGGTTTTTCTAACATTTCTCGAGCTGCAAATAATAATCAGATATTTGGTTTGGTGTTATTTCTCAAGGGTACAGGAATAAGAAACTTAGTACAGTTGTTGGAACCTAATTTGAATTGAACTGTGCTATCGTGTGGTGCTTTGCCTCGAGTGCTGTTCTGCAGGGAACAGGTATATTTAAACTGCAAATGACGGGGGGCACTGTAGATAGAGAACAGCAAACAGTGGTAACTTTGGCACAGAGATCCATTTACGGGGGAGCATCAAGGTTATTCTACTTCCACTCTCAGAAGTTAGTTTTATGTTCTCAACTATTTCAAGGAGGAATTTTCTTTTCAGTTTAGCTTCAGGTGAGTTTTTAGTTCAGTTTAATTTTATATTCTGCATTTTAAAAACTCTGTGCTAAAGCATCTGTATTTAAAGGGGAATAAATGCCAGACTTAATAAATGAGCTCTTACACAAACAAAACCTCTTTTCTATCCTTGGACTTCGAAAACCTAAAGAAGCATGAAGGTGAGAAAAAATACCAACAACTGTCGGACGCAGCAGCTGCAGCAGATACTAATTGTGTCAGTGGAGGGATCAGCCACCTTTTCCCTTCAAGCCGTCCATTTCTAAGATGAAACAAGACCCTCTGAAGCCTAAAAACACACGGACGTAACCTGTACTGTGGCCTTGTCTCCCAACAGCCAACTCCCACATCAGCCAATTTACTTTTTTCACTCCCTGGGTTGCCAGACCAGGGACAGGTTGCAGTAATAACAGAGCCACGATTCATCCTGACACCTGTGTGTGATCACACACGACACCGTACAACCTTGGCGGGAAACTGCAAATGTCACCGATGTTTCTTTTTATGTGCAAGCCGAGTGTCTGCAGAGGCATTACTGTGATGAAGTGTCTCTCTGCCTCGTGAGTACCAACCGGAGAGGAATGAATTTAAGTGATGGAGCAACAGTGGGGTAATAGTTTGGATGCAATTATTTATGCGCCTATTGTAAATCATGAATAAACAATCAGCATCTAGGCTGCAATCAGTCAGCTTTATAATATATCGCAGTTTTCTAACGAACTTTTATGCAGAGTATGGCTTAACTTGTACAGAAACTGCATATTATTAGCATGTTTACTTAAAGTCATTGTAGTTATTTTATGTCATGATATTTCTCTGCATCTTAAAATCAAATTGAGTTTATAATATTTCCTCATATAGCCCGTCCCTTCGATATGAGCATAACGACTGTTTGATTTGAACAGTAGCCAATTCTCCTGACTTTAATTGTGTTTTATTGCTCCGACTCAGTCCGTGTCTTCATCCATTACATCTGATGGAAAAGGGGACTATCCCACTGGAAAAGTCTTCCCAGAGATTAGTTTGACATTTCGGCTGTCATGGGCGTGTTCACACATTAGTCCAACTTGCAGCAGAATCAGCAGAATATTCTTAACACACCCACATCAGGAACACCACACCCAGGGCAGGGAGTCCCAGTGCTAATATATTTTTATTAGCACTTGTGTAAGACACTGCACAGGGTAGGTACTGGTGAGTTGCACCCTTTATTCCCATTTGAATCCAAGCGCAATGTTTTATGACATAAATAAAAAAACCTCCGTCTTTACTGGCAGATTTAGATCACATCACTTTATCAACCATACATGACAACTGTATGTATTGTTTATCTGTATCTGTTTATTTTTATCTGCCAAAAAGGGTTGAATTTTGTGTAGCAAAAATGGCTTGACAGCGTCTGTTCACGAACGTGCTTTGTCCCTATCAAATAAATAAATAAAATAAAATATATATACAATAATTTTTGGCTTTGTACCTTGTTGTAGTAGCCGTAAGTGATGGCATTGGGGTGGACTCCGGCCTTCTTCATCTCAAAAAGGACCCTGACTGCCAGGACAGGTTGGCCATACTGTCCACACAGCTGCATCAGCACCCGGTAGCAGACCTGTATAGTACATGTGTGATTGTTCAGATAGAAACTCTTAAAATAGAGCTCAGTGTGAGACAACAAACATTGGAAACATTGTTGTCTAGTTGAATAAATGTCAAACAGGTATTTTTGGGAATGGTTAACGTACCTCGTCGGGGGGCTGCAGTTTCTTTGCCTGCATCTTCCTGAGGACGTCGTAGGCGGTGCGAAGTGCCCGCACCTTGGAGTGGCACACCTTCACGTATGCTGGCAGACAGATGAACCACAGGCCGTAGCAGTGACGGAGCAGGCACTTGGACCACAGCTGGGGGATGGACGAGTACTTCTTGGCTATCTTCTGGGCTGATTTGATCTCCTGTGGAAGTTGAGGTGAGGGTGAGGAAAAGGAAATTCTTTAATGCACAAATCAGGCTCATGGATGTGTGATTTCACTCAAAATCTTTAGGCTGAAATCTCATCTTTTAGAATACATTCCCACTAAAGTGAGATCTTGCTCATAATTTAGTAAAAAACTGTAATAATTAAAAAATAAAAATAAATACAAAGTTAAATGCAAGTTTAATAGTTTAAAGCCTTGTCACTTTGGCTCATACTGAGCAAAGAATATAAGTTAAAAACTTCCTTACTTACTATCAATAAGCAGGAATTAGGACGTTATTAAGGGAAGACTCTTTGAATATAGACATAAATATGTGCTTTATAATACTAATAAATAGCCAATATGCTACTAAAATGGTAGCTAATAAGCAACTAGTTAATGGTGAATATGTGTATCTTAATATAAAGTGTTACCAAACTTCAATATCCTTCATTCCTTGTCATTTTTCTTTTATGTAGGCCTATCTATTGCTTAAGGCAGTTTGGGCAGATATGCTGAATTGCCAGTTATAAAACTGACTGACCCTCTTGGCTCTCATATATTTAGGGAGTCATTTTTTCTTCGAAGATCATCTGATTATTTAAATTGTTGGATGTAGATTTTGGCTGCAAGTTTGACAATTTTAGAAAAACAACCTTTCACTGTTGCTCTCATTTCAGGTTAAGTCTGGAAAAATACCATCCGCTCAGCACTAAAAACAGATAAATCAATAAATCATTGTGTGACAACAGTGAGTTACTGCTATGCTGACCTGCTTGGTGCGTCTAAACATGGGGGCAGGGCTGGTGGGACAGCTGTGCCTGGCAGCGAGGCGGGAGGAGGGGGTCCGCAGGCCCTCCACAGGGTCGAACAGGTCAAGACTTAACACTGGGAAACCGTCGTACCTGATGAAGAACAGAAACACATTATTTCTCTCAGCACTCTGCTGTCTTTTGGCAATATCTAACGTGAGGTGATTCCTTCCAAGGTTATAATGATCATAAATAACACTTTGCTTGTAATTATCTACGAGGAGAGCTGATGATAAATTCTGGGAGTCTGTTGGTCATTATGGATTATTAGGGGAGCTTAACAAAAGTGCCTCTGAAATATCTCTTGGCATTAATTATTTAGAGCGAAACATGACTGCAGAATACAAATAGCGCATATTCAGAGCCACACAGTCCAGCAGCAGTGTTCAGTCTTTGGTCCCAGTAAGGGAGCCGGACACCTGCTGGTCCTCAAACAGCTAATCCAGGAATTAATTAAACAACTTTAAACTCAATTTATTATTCAGATTTTCCATTTTTCTTCCTGCTGTTTGGTCCTCAGTTAGTCTCGTGGAGGATGTCAAGTAGGGAAAGCAAAGTAGTACATCCTTACCCATTTACAAATAACATGTGAAATGTGTTTGCAGTCTGGTGGAGTGATTAAAGCACTTGGCACATGATTCATGTTACTGGCAGCAAAAAATACACACATTCTTTACTCAGAAGCACAGATGATTCTGTAGGGAAAAGTACTGATTCAACTTCTTTAGTAGGTAAAAGCATAAGAGCATACAGTATTTCTTGGTTTCTGAAGGACAATTCTACCGGCCGTTTCTGTGCAAAGCTAACTGAAACCTCCAATAGGGTTTGAGTCTCCCGCTCTCGTGTTTCCTCTTGTTACGTCATTTCCGACATGTTGTGTCTATTAACCATCTGACGTTGGAACTAAGAAGAATAATAACTGATAATTCCCCTAAAATGCCTTAAAATTTAAGTGACGAGCCTGTTTTGAAAATGTAAAGAGCAGAAAGTTCATATATTTGTGTAAAAATGCAGATGCATCGAAAAAACTACTTGATAACAGTGATGAAATATTTGTATTTCGTTACTTCCCACCTCTAGTTACTGGCCAATAATAATCTAAAATGGGTTTTGTAGTTTCTGGTGTGAAAGCTCGGTTACAATAACTCAACTGCAAAATGTTATCCAAACATGAAAACACGCCAAGAATAAAACAAGAAAAGTTACAAATATTCGTATTTATTCTCCCATTTGAGAGGGAATGTCAGCTGCATAAGCTCAGTTTTTACCTGTAGCACAGTGGATGTTCCTCCCCCTCAGGCAGAGGAGGCAGCTCTGGAGGTGTGATAAAGACTGTGTGCTCACTCCGCTGGGATTCATCAATCTCTATCAGCCTGGTCTCCTCCGGCCTGTCACTGTCCACCTGCACAACAGAACACACAAATGTGGACAGAGAGATGTTTCGGTGGTCGTACCGGGACCCGTCATCTACCACAGCTGATGGGAATAAGGAGTATCCCGTTAGACAGGTGAGAACTAAAAACCCAGATCTTGACTTTAAGCCCTGTAATAAATCCGTCAGTGTTTGCATAGGAGGGTTTTGACCTGACGTTTTTTTTTCTTTTACTGAAGCATCATTTCAAACCAGCTTTGTAGCTGCCACCCTGTCGTGTCGGAGAGAGCTGAGGGAGGATGACAGCAGGTGACCTAGATTTCCCGGGTGAACATGCTTTCCTATTTCTTTCTTTTTCCTCATTGTTTTATACTCTACCTCTCGGCAGCCGCCCTCTGTCACCACGCACACAAACAAAGCTCAAAACTACAGTACTCCATATTCCTCCGCTTCCCTCCTACAGTGCAATATTTAGCTGTTTACCATTATGTGCTGTATAAAGATGTGTGTACACATAAACCACCTACTTTCTATTAGGTCTATTATATTACTCATACAAAATTTATGACAGTTTCTATCCCTGTTTGCAGATACAGAAACAGTTTGATGTGCATATAGACACTGTATGGTGTTTATAAATATATTAGTATAGATTTATATAGATGATAGAAATCATCTTCCTGAACATTTGTTCTTGGAACTGTGTGAAAGCAGATGGAGAGCTATTAGAAACTGGAGTGAAATTCTTTGTATGCACAAACATACTTGGCCACCGAAGCTGATTCTGATATCTGGTCGCTTACAAAATAAGCTTTTTTCTTCTCTTTTCTCAAGATAGTTCATTAAAAGAGATTCTGTATTGCACTTTTAGTCCCTAATATGGGCCAAAGTCCTAAGACACTGGATCTGGGTTTTCATTAGACCTTCAACAGGTGGTAAACATTTGTGTCTTTTTACCTCTACACCCACAAACCCAAATTGATGCCCAAGATATCACTACTCTTCCAGAGTCACAGAAGAAATTATTCTGTTTTAACAGGCGTAGCAGTCCTCCTCATCATTATTAGTCAAACAAAATAAGTAAATGTGAAATTGGTGCAGTGCCCCTTAAGGATTAATGGTCCTGCTGTGATCTGTGAGTGTATGTTTGCACATGTGGGAGAAAATGACAGGCTTTGACTGAGCAGAAATTAGACAGAAGTGTCAGAAACTGTGAGAATCTAAACAGCCCAGAGAGGATTTATAGAGTCAAAACAGAGATCAATAGGTCACTTCTCCAGTCAGACTGTCTGGAGATCTGCAGAGTGTGAGCAGATATGCTGCTATTGTGTGAACAATTAAACCCATTTTTATATGGAGGGTTCATTATCTTGTGGTCACATGCTGTGATGTATTCACCACTTCCATATATTCTGTGGATTTTAGAAAGTTAATAATAATCATTACCAATCAAATGAATCAAGGTCAGCCAGTCGTCATACAACATCATTATATCAGTGTAAAGCAGTAGCAGAGATTCTTGTGTGTCCTCTGCAGTCAGTCCTGTGTGTGTTTGATACACGACGGGCAAGAGCCTGCAATCAACTCAGCGAGAGCATTAAATGACTGTAAAGCTGAGTGTCTACCAGCATGTCTCCAGCCATAACCCCTTATCCAGATAATAACAGGCTATGGCTGCTCAACGCTGGGGAAAGCGCTCCGATTTTAATAAAAAAGGTGGCAAAAAAATACATCTAGGTGACACAATGAAATGCGGTGAGCACAGTGGACGACACCTATCATTTTCAGAACTTGGATCTCGAGTTACTGCACATATTTTTACTACTGCCACTGACAGATAAGACTTCCAGTTTTCAGAGTGAATCTGAAGCTTTATGGTGGATATAAAAAATGAAGGGTCACAGAGGGAAGCATCATAAATTGAGAAGTGCTTAATGACAGGCTTTAGCACTACAAGCAATGATTCTACTCGTGGCGGACGGGAGGGAAGTGAAGCACTTGCTCTAAGTTCATAATTTAGTCTAGTTAGTCTGATAGTGGTTAAAGTTTGATAACCAAAGCAGTAAAGTAAGGGAGACTTTTGTTCTTTGGTTCAGTCTAAAGCCTTTTTAAGCTAAGAAATCTTTCATGAATCCTCGTGTCTAATACAGCACATCAAAAGCTAATATAATGTTCTGTGATGTGTCTCTGAGAACAGTTTAAACCACAACACTAGAAGTGCATTAGCTCAGATATCTAAAAAGAGATCAGAGTAGAATCACTGCTCTTTTGCACTGGAAGGAACCAGCTGATGCCTCAGATACGCAGGATCTGTCCACCGGGGAAGAGACCCCGGGGCAGAACCAGAACACACCCGCTGGACTACAAATCCCAATGTAGTCAGGAAACCAGCAGGAAGTGCTAAACGACATCTGGCCAGATAAATGTTTAATACAATGTTGGCTTGATGCTGCAAAACATCTTAACTATGTTTTCAGGATTTAAAAACTAATGTTTCAGTCAAGTTAGGTTAAATTATTGATCACAGGAAACTGTTGGAATCTCACCATCTTTGATAAAGTGTGGGTGTTTTACAATTTAATTTACGTTAAAGTGATGTTATTAATGATGTTGTGGGTATTTATAGGTATGTTTTTTTTTGTAGGGTTGCATTGAAACATTATTAAAATCATAATATGGCCATATCTGACCAGAGGATCTGTAACCTCTGTATAAATTATAGAGAAAGATACCTGCCAACGCATTACTTAAACTGCTCAGTTATGTTTAAATTAATGTTGTTATTACAATCATATCAACCTAAAGTTATTTGAACATTTAGATTTTAGTTAGATTTGTAGTTATTTGTATCTTCAGAGATGCCCTGACCTACAAATCTTGTTCTCCAGATGCAGGAAAACATGTTTGTTTGGTACAGATCCCAACAAACGTCACATCATCGAGATTTTTTATATTTTTTTTCACTACAGACAAAAAAAGATTCCACCCATCTATTTTATGAGACTGTAGCACACTGTCTAACTTGCAATATAACATTTATTTGCAATCTATACAAGGATAACAATGAAAATAAGTCTTTATTTATTCTTATTAAGTCTTTATTGTGTCTTGTGGCTGTGTGTAATTCAATTCCAATATAGAGATTAGCATTTGGATCCATTTTAATATATTTTAAGATTTCTGCAACCCCCCCCCCAACACTTACACATATAATGTAATTTATACCTGTTTATATTTGAGTGTAGGAGTTTTTTTGTTTTTTATTGCGAGACAACCCACACTACTCCACAGAGACTGGAGACAGCTGAAGCAATCTGTCTGACAAGCTGCTTCTACAGTTCAGACATCAGAATGAAAACACAGACAGGTGAGACAAGAACATCTTGTCTGTGTCTCTCAGAGAACATTCAGTTCATCTGGATCAGACTGGGAGCTTTCCAAGAAGCTGAGTGCACAAGAGTTCTCTCTTCAGCATCTGCTGAATTCAATTCAATTTTATTTGTATAGCGCCAATTCATAACAGAAGTTATCTCAGGACACTTTTCAAATAGAGCAGGTCTAGACCGAACTCTTTATAACATTATTTACAGAGACCCAACAGTTCCACCATGAGCAAGCACTTGGCGACGGGGGCAAGGAAAAGACCCCTCGGCTCTAGGTGGGTGGTCGTCTGCCTCGAATGACTGCAGATCAACTGGTAAAGGTAGTTTAATACAGAAACAAGTGTTTCATCTATACTTTTAAGTTACCCGCACTCCTCCCTAATATATCCAGCCAAAACATCTACTGACTGAAGGTGTGAGCATCTATTGGAATACATTGAATATAACGCTCATAAGTAGGTTTTTATTAGTGTGTAATCACTTGAAAATAAGAGTTATTGTGGTTTTTGTTACCTTAGGATGAGCTGGTTTTATCTACAGAGAGAGCAGGTCCTTTTATACAGAGTCGGCCACGTTGAACCGCCATGTTTCAACAGCCCAGAGCGGACAAACCAAACACTGGATGTAGATAGGCCATCTCACGTTTTTCATGATGTATTCAAATGGTTTAAATCTGCAATTCCACCACTAGATGCCACTAACTCCTACACACTGGTCCTTTAGGGAATAGTTAGACCAACCATCCACAAACCAACACCTCGATAGCTGCAGGACTTCGTTGTTCCCAGCCAAGGAAGATTCCAGCACATAACCCCCAATGTACAGCCAGAATGTGTCGTTTTTGGGGGAAGATAAAACAAAAGAGATTTTGTTCCGTTTGCAAAGAGCCAGGATAGGTGTTTCCAGTCTTTATGCTAAGCTAAGCTACCCAGCTGCAGCTACATATTTACCCTAGAGACATGAGAATGGTATCATTTTCATGAAAACTACGACTCCCTTTAATGTACACTCCCTAACTCCAATTTCCAATTAGTGGATCCCAAAATATGGCTAAATATACCTGTAATTTATATGTTAAAGAAATTACCAATTGACCCTTGACACTGTGGGTTTGATTTACTTCCCACAATTGTTTCTATTTCATTTGTTTCAATTTTCCCTTTACAGTTTGTTTTTATGCAGCTTTTAATTGTAAAAATGTAATTATATCTAATTTGTATGATTAGTTTGTCTTTTGTCTTGTTCCCCTGCATGATTTAATTAGTTTTGTTGCTGCACTGAACTACTTTCCCTCAGGGATCAATACATTTTAACCTTATCTTTCTGTATGTGACTGCTGCGCGTGTGTGTTTGTGTGTGGTAGAGTGTAATGTACGTGTGTGGTCTGAGTGGAGCGGTGCGCTTTCTCTCCTAGAGAGTAGATAATGTAATCCAGTCACAGAGCAGAAAGACAGTCGGAGGATTTAATCGCCCGTGGAGCTGACACACAGGAAGGACGAGGAGACCTGGGCCCCATGCAGTGGGCCTGGGAGCACAGGGAGGGGAGGCTGTGGATGCTGGCCTCTGGATCCACTTCCAGTATGTCTCCATTACCGACAGAACACACACATACAAGTAAATCCAAGGACAAGTCTATTTCAGAGTCCGTTACAAATATCACCTACAAAAACCAGTGACCCACAGACGTGAGCGGGGAAGCGAGTGACTGCCTGGACACAAAATTTAACCTTCAACATACAAACACAGTTTGATAGAGTAACAAGACTGCTGGCACACGGGTCAGACTACTCCAAAACGCTCCCAGTGGAGCTCAGAAGATACACTTTCAGCCTCTTCAACGCTCTTCATATTGTCACACTGAAGAATATGAGCCCAGTGGATGTAAAAAAAATAAAAATAAAACCTTCAAGCTCTGTTAGTGCTTCAGAAATCACTGAGGCACTAAAAGCCCTTACTCACTTGAGTCATGAAAAATTTAGGGTAGAAATCTTTTCAGAAAACTGTACATGTGGACATTGAATATTCCAATATTCACTAATATAATGGAAATATTCTAAGAAGGTGACAGAGTTTGGATTATAAGGAAGTCATTTAAATTACACATGCGGGAAAATAACATGAAAGCTCAAACTAAAGCTGCAGCTACTTGCTTCTGTGAGTCTAGCAGACAAATATTGTTCGCTGTGTTGTTTGCCGGGACCATGCACCATGCACAAATCCCCCATCTGAAAACACAATGTACCCAGAACCAGTAGGAATTGAGACCAAATACTATTAGACTTACCTTGCCTCCTTTGTCTGCACCCCGCTCTGAATTGTAGAGCTGCTCGCACACAGAGGCAGAAAGGGAAAGATAAAAGACAAACTCAAGAAATTAGAAGAGGAAAGGAGAGACGCAGGTATGATTGAAGACAGGTGAAGTAATACAGGAGACTGTAAACTACTGATACTAGTATGAGTGGAGCACAAAGAGGCCTTGGAGAGAAATATATTCCTGTACTATGATGTGTGTAAAGATTTAAAGAAGATTTTTATGTAGATTTTTTGTGAGAGGCTTAATTCCACTGCATCAAATACATACCTTAATACACTGTATGTTTTTATATTGATAAAATACAACACTTACTTTGTCCACGCAGTCGTCAAAGAAGGCCAGACTGGCGTCTTTATCGCTGACAAAGGAGCATTCCTCGATGAAGCGGATGAACATCTGGGTTTTGGTCATTAGTGAGTAGAACTTCTGGTGTGAGCGGTCGCGGCTCTTCAAGAACCCTGAGGACATAAATGTTTAAGTTAGTTTTTACAAATTATAATAATCTTAACTTGCTGAGACTCATTTTCTTGAGTAATGTGAGTAATGATGATTAAAATCATCCCGATTGGAAAGTTCTGGTCAATGTTTACATGGTATGAGATCTAATTCTGTGTGACAGTTTATTATTTTTATTGTATTCATTTCTAGCCGTGCAAAATTGTATTTATTGTTGTTCATTTTTGTTTTTATGAGTTTACGTGTGTTTATTTTACTTTTATTTTACCAGATAAGTCAATTGAGAACATGAGGCAGCAACAGGAGGCCAGCTGATACGCATACACACAGCTAATGCAAACAATAATACAGTTAAACAGAGTTAAAACAGCACAATATAAATACACTATGTACACAACAGAGATCTATGTACTGTGTGCCAGAGAAGTAGGTTTAAAAACAGGTGCAGTGATGAGAAAGTAACATACTGAGTTATTAAAGGAGGATAACGGAATAAGGGTGTGCAGTTTAAGTGACTTTTGCAACTGGTTCCAGTCACTGAGAAAAGAGTGGCAGCCCAAGTAGGTACGGACTTTAAGGTGTTCAAATAAATACATTTGCAAGAACTCAAGTTGTGTTTACTATTGGAAAGTTGGGAGTTAACTGATATCAGTAATTTGTTATAGTTTGCTGTTTGAATAGGTAATTCGTTTTTTTCATCCATGTGTCCAATAACGCTTTATTCTTACAGAGTTTGTATCAAAAATAAAACTCGCAACCAGAAAATATTCAGGTTACTCGTAAACTACCCATCTGCAACCTACTGAAATTATATAAATATCAGTTTTTACAAGAGCAATTTACGGTCTTCCTCCAAAAGGTGTGTGACTTTGTGGTTAAAAAATCCATTATCCCATCTCTCTATGTACACACACACACACACACACACACACATCTTCCATTTGTCTTGGTTTGGATAATGCAAGCCAACACAATGTTATTAGTGTAATGGCCAGTTTGGGCTGTACAACAATGTGGTGGATAGCTTTCTTAATAGATGCTGAAAGCAGCTTAACTGACTAATAAGCCACTGCTGTTGTGAGACTGGCAGCAGGATGGATGGCCACTGGCTCACAGCACAGAGGTGGAAGCAAAACACTTCCTACAGATGATAAATATTTTAATCTCAACACTGGCTGCTTGCAACCTGGACCATCAATTGATTCTGAACCAGAACTCCTCTCAGCAGCTTCACTGTGTATAGTAGAGTCATCTAAAGGCCTCTGGACACTCCTGCTGATTAATGATTAGCTGATTACTCATTCAACAATCAAATACTCATCAAGATTCAAGACATTTCTCCTACATTTGTTGGTTGGCTTTTCTTTACATCAGAGACAGTCTATTCATCTTACAGTGATATAAAACAGTCAATATGTGCGACAATTTGTACCAGATTTTGTGACTAACTCAGGGTTTCTGCAGGTTTCAACAGTTTAAATTTAAGACTTTATAAGACCTTTTTAAGACCTTTATGAATGTAATTTATGACATATTTTATGTCCATACTGGCAAAAAAAAAAAGTACAAAGGATATGAAGGAAAGTCGGTTCAATGTTTCGTTTTGTAGTTGTTACATTGAGATCAATACATTTTTTTCCCAAAAACATATTTATAAGCGAGACTGAAAAAAGCAACTTTATACAAGTAACCTTAACTTCATTCAGCTGTAATCCAATCCACTTTTAAGACCTGAAATCATTTCATTTTAAGGCATAAAATTCTGATTATAGACCCCTCAGACACTATTTCATGAAAATATGAAGAAGAAAAAAACATTAAAACCTCCGAACATCAACCCAAAAGGACCCGATGCATGTTTTTTAAAACAGTTACACGGACTGTAATGAAGCAAGTAGAAGAAATTGACATTAATATGGAATAAAGTACGATGGTAAAACATGTAAGAAAAACACAAGAGCACTGACGAGTACAAATTATTACCAATTGACAAAACCATCTCACCTCAAGGTCCATTTAGTAGCTGTTCTGGAGCTTTTTATCATATGATATAATCACCAGAGGGAGTTTACCCAGCGCACATGACTCCAGAACAGCTACTAAATGGACCTTGAAGTGAAATTGTTTTCTCAGCCGTTAAAAAATCAAGATTGAACTGTGAAACTCAACTTTTAAGCCAATATTGACAATAAGTCTGTAAATTGCTGAATGCATGTGCAAGGTTTAAACTGTCCAACAGACATATTAAGATACGTTTGTTTGATCATCTGTCTTCAAAACTGATATTCTGAGGAAAAGGAAATGCAGATGCAGTCTGTATGAAATAATGTAGAAGTCACAGATGTTGGACTGAAAGCGCTGTAATGAAATAATGAAAATATAACGGAAATTGTTATTTTTAGGAGACAGCAGGGTAACATAAAATACAGTCCATACATGCAAAATTTTTTTTGTTGTTATGGATATTACGTCTGAAAACGTTCAGGAGTTCATACACATGATACACGAGTTGTAACATCTTTCCTCGAGTCATTATGTAATGTACTGCAGCCATTCCCATTCGCCATATCATATAACTCACACTGGACATGACCTTGGCTACAGCGGAGCAACAATGATTTCACCCTAACTCATTTCAGCTGTGATGTGAACCAGCTTTTATGGGCTCCGATCCAGAGGCCACACTCAAGCCTCCGGACCATTTAGCAGCTGTGCTGCTAACTGACTGACCTTCGGCCTGCAAACAGCCTTGAACCTTCAACCCCAGCATCCTCTCAAACCCCACCCTAACAGTTTTGGTGTGTATTTACTCAAGAGGTGGAGATGGACACTTATGAAAGCTCATGTATTAAACAACGCCATCTGTTTTTGAGGCTGGCCAGCTGTATAGAGGAAGGTGCTACAGATGACGCAGTGTTAGTTTATATATTCACAGACTCATTAGCGCTAATCATACACTGTAACTGTACAACTGTGACTCAAACTGGCTTCACATTCTTAGCTGAAGGCTGAATAATGATGGAAAGGTGGAGCAAACTCAACTTTTTTGGATGACAGACATTCTGATCCGACCGTACAGCTCCAACCAACAGTTTACAACTGATGGTCAATGTGCTCAAACATGCAGTTCTCATTTGGTTCTCAGTCACACAGAACTCAATCTGTCTCTCTCTCAACGTTTTATTGATTAAATCAGTCCCTCATTGGATGATTTAAATAAATATCAGCACGGTTCTGGTCCCACGGACCTTGGCGGAGACATGGTCTAAGGAACTGACTGCACATGTAGTGTCGCCCCTAAGTGATTTCCAGATGTTTGCAGAAAAGGCTGGAAGCAATGACTTCAGGGTATTTTTCAAAGCTCTCGGGCTGGGTTGGAAACTCAGTAATAACCAGAAAAATTGCTCCATCAGAGTAAAAAATGGCCAATTTAAAGAATAAATCAAAAAGAAATCTCATTCCATTTGGCTTCAACGTTTTACAATCCTTGAAGATGAAAGTATATTCTTGACCTTGGAAATAATAGTCTGACAAAATAATCATAACTCAAGATTCATTTACTAGCTTTTATAATATTAATAACAATCTGCTCATCCAAAGGATACCTGTCAAAACATGCCAAAACTCCTTCTGATTATATTCTGTTGAAATGACTATATACAAAAGTGTCTATGAGCTTCTAAATCATGGTGGGTGACTTGCCTGCCCTCTAAAAAGTCCAGTAATTATGTGCTTTCTAGTGTTTACTCACAAGAAAGCACAGTAAAAGCAATAATTCTACCAAACGCACAAGCTGCTCCATCTTTGTTAGGAGTTCGTGGTGGACTAGCTGGTCTTGCGCATTATGGAAACCTTATTTCAGATTACTGGAATTAAGACAACTAAGCTTAAACCATCTGTGATCAGTAAACACTTTGGTGGGAACCATCAGATACATTTCTTTCAGAGAGAAAAAAAACTGGCTCATGATACTGTCGATAGTTCTGTGTAATTGTTTTGTGTGTTTTCGTGTGAGGAGTTTGAGAAGGCTGCCGGGGAGAAGGACAGCTGGGGTTCATCCGTTCACCCTGTTTCCTCTGTGACCTGGCGGCTCTAAAACTCTGCACATGGATAAATGGTTTCAGGCTTTTGGCTTGAAGTGGTCAGGGTGATTATTCCAGATACCTTGCAAGTCAAAAAGTGAGCTGGCGTCTGTGGCTTTCTCAGAGGGTGCCTGGGTGATGGGTCGCAGGAACGAACGGTAGCCTTTCAAAATAGCTGCCATGAAGCGCAGGAAGGCTTCCTGGATCTCCAGCTCCAGCATGTGGAGGCTCTTCCCACAGCTCAGCTCCGACGAATCACTCATGCTTAGCTCCAGCAGCCCATCAGGCCGGAACTGACCTGAAGGCAAACAAAAAACTGTCACTAAATACTTGTATTAGAACCTCTATGTTCATGTCAAGGTTGAATCATCACTTTGAAAACGTTGCACAGTTTGTATTCTGATGAAGTTGTTATGATCAAAGAATATATTTTTAAAGGTCTCATGCCAGCGTACTGGTTCAAGTCTTTAAGCGCGTATTCTTATTGCAAATAAGGATTAGGCTTACATAATTAGGGAAAAATAGACTCAAGTTGATATCAGCATTTCTGAAGGTCCGGGAGGCCTAAATGTCTCAACTAAAACCTCTGGCAGGCGTATCAATATTCAGCAATTCTGGCAGAAACTGGGCAGATTTTCAACTTCACTGAATCAGAAAATTCATTAATTCAATTTCTACAGCTCAATAAGCAGCAGGTTTCATGGTCTCTCAGTGAGCATGCTCCACGATAAGCAGAGAAAAGTTGACAATAATACAATGAGAACCACAGCAGGACAGATGGCTAATTAGGAAATTATGCAATAATGGGATTATTGCTGGCTTTCAGTTAGTTGAATGGAGAGCAGAACTGTATACACTGAATGGAGAACAAGTTCTTAAGACAACAGAATCCAAAGCTAAAGATGATGAATGGAGCATAAAACACTCTGTGAGGACCTTAATTAGCCACAGATTTTCTTTTATTTTTGATTTCTGAAGGTACTAACATAGTGCAAGAAGATTAAATACCCTATATGGGTTTGAATGAATTATATTATTTTTGAAACTGAGAAACTTTCAACTGAACACAAAATGAAAAGAACCACCAAAGGGAAAAGTTTGCTGAAAGTGTACTTTGCGATACATGCAGGGTTGAAATTAATACAACCAAATCAAACAACTGACACATTTTTACAATAATTTGTTCGACCAGATCATTCATCAGCTCAGTACTCACCGTCAACCAGCTGCTGGTAGAGATTACTCAGCACATTCATTAGGTTTTTACAGGCTTTCTTTGGCAGGATCTTCCATGTGAGGGCTCGCTTATCTTCATTGCTGGAAAAGCAGAAGCATACATACACTGAGCTCTGGGGAGGCTGAGAGGCCAAAACCAACATCGACAGCGGTCCAGACCACCCTAACGCCGTCTGACGGGTAATGAGGCCAGAGATGATGTGAACCATTACCGACCTTACCTGAAAAATGCATTCTCTTCATATTAAAATGAGTTTGACACTACAAAAATAACCATTTCCACCCAGGCTCCAGGAAAATGGCCTGGTCTCTAAACTTAGAACTCATGACCTGGCAGTTATGTGGTCTGGGAAAAACAGATGCAGCAAAGGAAACAATGTTGGGCTCTCTAACGTGTGGCTTCCTGCGCTATGGTTAATCCTACACACAATGCCGTACAACATTCATCATGAGAAGGCAACAGAGATGTGAAGAGAGATCAATGGGAAGGTTTCTGGGTACTGTGCTTACTGGAAGATGGTGTTTGTGTCCAGGTCCACGCAGCTCACATCTGGTGGGGGGTCATAAAGATCAAAGTAGCGGGAGTCCACTCCTACAATGAATGGACAGGGGGCGCTCAACACGTCAGCCAACGCCAGGGGGCACAGAGGAATATACGGGCAGGGCCAGTGGAACGGGAAAATCATCTGAGGAGGAGGATGAGAACGATAAAGCCAGATCAGAAGGAAGATAGGGTTCCCTCGTTATATGTTGCAGGTTTATTAGAAATGTTTCCAAGGTGTAAAAACAAGTACAGGTGAGCTTAATATAAAAAGAAATCTCCTACCTCTATAAATGAGACTGGTTAAATATACTGTACTGTATTCTCTCACAATTTATACTTTCCACATTTGCTCTCTGTCTCTACAACTGATGATAACCATCACAACCATATTTCACATGAAATACTATTAGTGATAAGAGAAAAAGAAACATATTTGCAAAAGCAAAGCGGGCAGGAGCATGAAGAGCTTGAAGTCATCATCTATGTGCAGCTAAAGGCAGCAACTTACAGACACCAGAGCTTCAGTGACGCTGGTGAGTACGGCGGGTCGTAACGAGTGGACCAGGATCTTATGTTCAGTGACAGCAAACACAAGCAAGGTGACGGCGTTCTCTGGTCCGAGGTTCTGGAGCAGCGTGGAAAATCGACCACCACTGCGAAAAACACACAAATGGGCAAAATTCAATAACAATGCACAATATTGCCAATTCTTCTGGAAGAAACTACAACCTGGTCTCTCAACCTCCTCTGGGATTGAACACATTTTGGGTTGTTTTTATGTGAGTCTGATATTCTGAATCTGGCTTTCTCTGTATTTCTATTTTCAAGGGATAATATAGAAAATATGATAAACAGTACCGAATGATGTTTTCTCATTAAAAATGTATCAAAGAAACGTCAACATACTAGTCTTACAACTTATCAGACGCTCTCTAGGTTGAAAGAAATCCGGTATCTGAACCGTGTCGTTCTGCGCATACATACACTGCATCTTTGGGGCCAATCAGCAACAAAATGTGTTTTAGCACAAAGTCAGACGTCACCAGAAAAGCTTGCAAGCAGCTGCTCTTACCTGAGTGGCAAAGGAGAAGACACTGGCTGGCTCAGCATCAAACTGTCGTGAGGGGAAAGCTGTAGAAAAGCTGGAAAGTGAGATAAAACCAACCGAGCAAAAAAACGCCTGCACTGAATCATTCAAATATTCATCCATAATGGAGGACTTAAAGTACTGCAGCCCACAGGCAATCCTACAGAAAACAACACCACTGTCTGCAAAATAATAATTATCCATTTATACCATGTGCCATATGCAAGCAAACATCAGAGGGGACTGTTATACTCTTGTGACCTAAACTTAAACTTACCTGCACCAGGATGCGAGGCCTCTGAGAGGAAGGGAAGGGAACTTTGTGCATAAAATGAGAGATGTGCCTGGGAAGAAGAAGAAGAAGAATTAGGGGGGTTGTGAGGCCAAAAATAACAGCAGTTGGAGGCTGACTAATCAGTCAATGCACCCCGCTCAGATGGGTGAGAGTTATGAGCAGCAGTAAAACATGAAAAGCATGAATCACCTGTCTGGGGGAATGTAAATATCCAACCTGAAGGAACTGTATTTTGTATTTCTGAACCCACTGTTGTTGGGGATAACTTCTCAAACATCAGGATGTTTCTGGTGTACAGATGGAAAACATTCTGACTACAGCATGGACTTTAAACATCAGGTTTTTGCTGTCAGCCCCACAGACGCACATCGCATACTGATGATATCGCCTTTGATTTACTAGGTTGAAACCATACAGTAAATTTGCATTTCTGTCAACGAGAAACTACTATATCTGTCTTAAGCTCCCTTCTGACTGGATTTATTTCTGTAGGGGAGGTGTGGTGATGTTAACATAACCTGCACTGGTCAGTGATTTTAATCCTGTCAAGAGTAATAATTACACAATTACCAGGTAAGTAGCACCATTAAAGGTACGCCAAATTAGCTATTAGTAGTTCCTGTTTGCATTGTACCCATGGATGTACAGATAACTATCACTGCGTTACTTTGTTATTTAAGGAAAACTTAAGAAAGTCATGAGTCTCAAGGAAGTTCTGTAGAGTCTCTGTTCTATGATTTCTATGCAGATTTATGGAGGTTTATTCACAATAGATGTCGACATTTTGACTCATAGTCACCTAGCGCAGCCACGAGTCCGTCTTTACAACACACCTCTACCTTCCGCACCCCCTTAAGGAAGCTTTTGACTTTCTCTTTTGAGTTTTCCCTGCAGAGTGTCCATGTCTATGACAGACCATATCCTGTAATGCCCCAGTGGTTAAATCGCGTCCGAAAAACAATGACTTCAATTACAGAGGAGCACAGTGAAAACTTCATTCCCCACCTACCCATGTAAAGATAACCTCATCCAAATTAGGCGTTAGAGAAATCTTTGAACATTATTAGCTAACTATCAGGCAGTATTTTAACAGAACAGAGGAAATATAACATATTGTAGTATTTAGAATAATTAAAGGTAAAGTCCTGTAAGTTTAAAGAAAAAATGGAAATGAGAATAGAGAATTTGGGAAAAACACCTGGGGAACCAGTGACTTTTCCCACTTTGGGACTTTGCTCAAAGAATGATGTGAAATTAACAATTAGGAAGATTTGTTTTTAAAACTGGTGAAATTAAGAGATAAAAAATAGTTGGCTCACTTCTCGATGGGCAGGGCGTGAGGGCCGGAGATGGAGTAGCGATAGAGGAATGTGAGGAACTTGCGGAAAGCGTCAAAGAAGGGCCAGTGGGAAAGCAGACAGATACACTTGTTGGTGTAGACCAAGCGTGGGGTTGCGGTGCTGTTAGTGGGGCTGTTGGTGGCCGTCGGCGTAGTGTTGGAGGAGGAGGAGGAGGAGGAGGAGGAGGAGGAGGAGGGTTTGAGTGGATCCGGGTTCAGGAGACCCAGCTGGGAACGCTGCTGATCAGTCAGACACTCCGGCGGGTAGGTCTCGTAGAACTGAATGGCAGCACCGTACACCTGAAACAGGGGAGACGTCAGCACATACAGTAACTGCACTGACTAGTCCTTTCTAAAAACATGTTCCTCTCACTACATCTATTACATCTCTGTATTCGTTAGCCTTAAGGCTGCTACCAACGATTGTTTTCCTTATCAAATGATCTGCCGAGTTGACTCCTTTAAATTCAGATAACTCCAAAACCCATATAGATAAGATATTAAATTTACAATGATGCAAGATAAAGAAAAGCAGTAAATATTCACATTTGAGCAGCTGGAACCAACAAATGTTTTTCACTTTTGCTTTAATTATCAAAAAAGTTGCAAATTCTTTTCTGTTGATTTACAAATCAATTAATACATAAACTAAAACAGTTTCAGCTCTATTTAGCCAATTTCATTATCCACAAAAATGTCTCTCTCTCACACACATAAAACATACACCGATCAGCCATAACATTATGAGCACTGACAGTGCATAACACTGATTATCTGGTTATCATGGCTCCTGTCAGTGGGGGGGATATATCAGGCAGCAGGTGAACATTTGGCCTCACAGTTGATGTGTGAGAAGCAGGAAAAATGGGCAGCGTGAGGATTTGAGCGACTATTACAAGGGCCAAATTGTGATGGCTAGACGACTGGGTCGGAGCATCTCCAAACCTGCAGCTCTCGTGGGGTGTTCCCGGCCTGCAGAGGTCAGTACCTATCAAAAGTACTCCAAGGGGGGGGGCAAGGCTCATTGATGTACGTGGGGAGTGAAGGCTGGCCCGTGTGGTCCAACAGACGAGCTACTGTAGCTCAAACTGCTGAAACAGTTGTGGTTCTGTTGCGTATGGGGCTGCATAACGTGTCTGATCAACGTATGTTCCTCTACATATATGAGGAGTCTTACTGGCATGATACATTCGCTAGCACATAACGGTAAACTTATCCATTGTAAGTGTTATTTAAACCTCTTGTCATTATTTAACAATGATTTCAAGGGGAAAAAGTCCAACAGATGAACGGGCCAGCTAATAATGAAAAGGAGTCAGACAGTTTAGAAACCTCTATGCAGTCGTCTGAATCATCCCTGCACTCTTAAATAAATGAAAACATCAATAAGCATAGAAATAAAAGTAAGTATAATGCACCGCTGTCTAACCTTTATTGAACATCAATACACGGTTAATACCATGAGTGCCATCTGTGGCCAAACAAACAGCGGTTAGCTGAGCCAGAGGCAGCATTAGTCCAAATAAATCCCCTCTGCTTCCTGGATATATGAGACTTTCTCAATACGCGCACACATCAAAGCTAACTGGCTTATCTGCTGGCTGCCAGTGTGGGTCAGTTTTTAACATTTTCCCCAGAAAGGGGCCGCGGTGGACCCACGTTTTTGTTTGCTGATGACTGAACTGAGGTCGCCTGCGTGTGTGTGTGCATGTGTTCAGAAACCAGCCTTATTTGTTGAACAGCACTGTATTTCTATTCCATGAATATAGATGAATGGCAATGGGACCAGCGTATTTAAAAAGGCTTGTGTGTTACAAACAAAACTTCTTTGTGGTTGTTGTTTGGTCTTTCAAGGTTAAGACATTTAACTAAAACAAAAAAAAGCTACAACAAAGAAAATAATATGAACAATGTAATGATGATCAAGTGAAAGTAAAGTAAGTCTTTCACCTGTAATGGAGAGGATACATTGATTATCTTTCATGTCCTCCATTAATGGTAAATCCAATACTGAGCAATCTTTGAATATACATTAGATTAATTCTGTTGTAACACACTAAACCAATCAACAGGACTGAATATCACACACCAATACAGTGTGAATCAGCATGAATGATAATGCAGACACTTCAGGAACCATCAAATATCCATTTATAACCCACTATCCACCATGTTTAATAGACTGAGCCTCTAAAGCTGGAGGTATTCGGAGATACAGGTAAATGTCTTTGCAAACATATGCAGAGAAGGGTGTTATAGGTAACTGCCAAATCTCAGCAATATGTAGTGTTGACCTGCGCGTCAAGCAATTGATTGAAGCTGATTGGTTGATCCAACATCCTGTTGGGAACTTTTCCTTCTAGCTGAGGAAACTAAATTCCTCTTCAAGGCATTTATATCGTTAACCATCTCATCATTGGCCCGCCCATTTGTTTCATGGATGAAGTGGTTTGTTTTCACTGTCACCTGACTGAAATTGATTTCTTTTACATTTCCTGGAGTTTGAAACATGACACCGCGGTTTGACTCGGCGCCCAAGCCCAGCGTGGTAGGAATATGCACCACCATTACAACAGGGCTACTCGCTTGGAGGTGTGTCTTTAAAGGCAGCACAGAGGAGCATACTTCCATCTTAAGACATCACAGCCACACACAAACAGATACACACACACACACACACACACACACACACACACACACACACACATTGTTGGTTTCCAAATCTAAACACAAGCCCCTTCCCACTGTGCTGGTCTGTGGGTTTGGAAAGTGGTCCGGTTGGGATGAGGCTCATGTTGACACTTATTAGTGAATTATGTGGTGAAACACAATCGTGATTGAAAACAAATAACATACAAAGCCTTCTGATGTTTAGATAGCAGCGGCTCTGTTGAACAAGGCCAGTTAGGGGTCAGCAGCCATCGCTGGTGCCAAACCCTCTGCAGGCTGCTGCTGCTGAGTCAAGTTTGTGTGTGTGTACAGGTGTGTGTGTGTGTGTGTGTGTGTGTTTGCATGAGTTGGGAAGGCTTGCTGGAGGACATGCAGGGAGATATTTGGTGAGGACAGTCCGTACGCTGACTTGTGTTTTACTGGCCAAGGTCAGAGACTCAGCAGGACTCTGGCAATCTGTATGCTCCATGTTTAACTGAGGACTCACCTGTTGACCCATGTGTACACACACACACACACACACACACACACACAGCACTGTGTTTCTATACTGATAAGGACCCCCCCCGTTGACTACAGTGATTACTTTAATCATAACACTCACTTCTGCATTCATAACTTCAACTTTTGCTCATTTTTACTTATTCCTAGTTTAAAGGTGTTGACACCAACACAGTTTTAGAAGCTCACCCACATCTGGTACATTGACATGTAACTATACCTGGCAGATAAATGTAAGCACTATATTTTTCTCTGAAATTGAGTTGAGTAGAATTATAATAAAGCAATACTCATTGTGCAAAGGTACTTGAAAACGGGTTAACTTCAAAACAGTTGTAAATGTACCACTGCCTAAACTAATCTAAACTCCTGCCATACCCTGACCCTAAACTATCCCAGATCCTATATTTAAAACACAATGCAAAACTTGTGCAAGACGCTATAAATTAGTTTTATTTCACGTTGTAGGTTGTTTATGAAAGAATAATCCCAACCTAGGCCAGAATGAGTCCCTTATAAGTGGGGGTTGGTTAAAAGACACTAAAAGCGTATCCAGGCCTCTGAAACCAGAATACAAGGGGCAGATTAAAGGGACACTAGTGTTCATGTAAACTCTATGTTGTTTGTTTTGTGCATGTGGGTGAGTAAGTGAGTGATTGAGAGAGACAGACAGTTGTTTTTTACGAGGTAAAAACCTCATAGCTCAATGTTCACTTTTCGGGACCAATAAAATAGGCCAACAAACCAGTCCTAAAAAAGAAACCCTAGATGTGAAGTTACATGGTTTTCACCTGACAAAGACAACATGCATGCCTGGCCCACTTTCCCTTCTGGTATGGCATTGTGGTTTTGTCATGCCCCCATTATAGTGCGTAAGTCTGTGGTCATGTCAGCTGTATAGATGGCAGTTACAGTCTGTCGATGAGGTCTAACAGTCACTGGCACCCTCTCATACCTAATGCTGCTTCTGAGATGTTTGTTAGTCGTCTGAGTGGGACAAAAAAAAAAAAGACATAAAAGTAGAAAAGAGTGAATTTATCCAATCATCCGTTTTACCTTCTCCCCAGAGGCTCCGGTGAGGACAAAGGTGGAAAAAACAGGGAGGGAGTATTTGGTGTTAGCTGGCCAGCACTCGATTGTGGCCCCCATGGGAAGGCAGAAGAGCGGGACAGACTCTGGCAGAGGGAATGACTCATAGTCCTCCTCTGGATATCTGCTGAATAGACCTAACGGGGGGAAAAGAAAAACACAAAACAAACAAACTGAGAACTCAATTTAGAGAGCAGAGACTAAACCCTCTGTGATTACCAATTGACAGCTAATGTAGATGCAAAACCGCCTTTCCAATAAGCTTAAAATGAAACCAAACAAGTTAAATTTATTATAATCACAATGATAACGTACGACTTTACCGGGCCAGTGTTTCACTAGAAACGGCTGGCTTTATAATAAGCAATCAGTGCTTGGTAATCAGGCCTATGGGTCATTAGTCACTGTCAGTGGACACAAACAAGATAATGAAGAACTGATTTTACTTTGTGCACTTTCTTAACTCTATGCTACATCTAACTTTGGCTGAATGACCATATTCTACAATAACTACCAACAGACACGAACTGTGCACAAAAACACCCACCAAGTAACAAAACCTTCACACCAGATTTCATCAAAGGTTCATTCCTTAAATGTTGGAGATTGTAATTGTAAACACACATTTTAAAAGTGCACACTTACATTCTTGGGGCCAATGATAAACTGCTGTACTACAGCACTTAAAATGCGGTATCATTAAACACTTCACTTCAAAAATCGGACACGATTATTCATCATGAAAACACCTGCAAGTGCACAGCTACATTATAGCCCCACGGAGGGAATAGATAAACATAACCTGCTGTGGCATGAAGGCTTGGTCAGCAACTCAAACTATGATAGTTTGTCCCACTGTAATAAGAATTGTTCCGACGTTAAAGAATATTTCATTTAAATATTGTTTAATGTGTCAAATAATTGGTAGTGTTTGCCACAACTGCAGTGCACTCTGCTGGAATATCAGATAACATATATTCACCGATACCTATAAAATATCAATATGTCAGCGGCCAATATCAGCCAATAATAACAGCTGACTGATATATCGACCGGGCTCGGAGGAAAACTGAATTCTTTACAACAGCTCTGTCCAAAGGTAACACAATCTGCCTAGGAACACATCTAAAGCTCATAAATTAACATTTTTATACCTCGCCAAGAAATAATCTGGCATATAAATCCCTGTACAACCACAACACTCTGGCTTCTGTATGGACAAAACAAATGAGATATATCCTCTGATTGCTTTTTAACCTATTTTGGAAAGCAGATATAGTATTGAGAAAAGGGGGCGACTCCCTGCTTTAGTTGGCCAAAAGACTGGAAACAAGTTTGTAAGCATCAGAATATTTAGAATTACAGTATACAGCCCAAATCTAACTCATATCTGGTTCTTTAACAGCTAGATGTTACACCTTCTTCACCAGCTAGTTGCTAGCTTTGTCTGCCATGAGGTGTTTGGCAGGTAGCAGACAGCTTTATCGGCTGAAATCAGGTAGCGGATGTTGCTGGAAATGGAGCTGATGAGAGCACTGAGACTGAACCAAAACTGTAAATGTGCTGTTAAAGCAAAACAATGAGCTAAAATAATAATAAGCTCCATAGACCTGCAGATGCACATGTACTGTAATCATTCGGTTTTACAATATGTTAATATATATATTATTAATGCAATTTTAGGAATTAATACAATACATTCCTGCCTGTTCTTCTCTGTAAACATGCTACTATATTGTATAATGTCTTGTATATGAACGGCTTGACAGCTAAATGTGCACATTTATAATATTTTATTCCAAATAAAAACCACGTATCCACCAACAAAACAAACCAAGCACGCTCAGTTTCGGATAAACTGTCGCATTAGTCTATAAATAAAGTCAGATGTTGCAAAACACATCCGTTTCCAGAACTTAAAGCTAGTTGCGTGCTGGAGTTCTCCTGGCCTGAAATGTTGAAAATAAACTTCATTTCTGTGAGCTGACTCATCCAAAGCGTTAGAGAGAAACAGATAGGATCGCTCCATTCACAGTCTGCTGCATATTCAAGACATGAACAACAAAACATCAGCCAGCCAATCTGAGGCTGAGCCAAACACAGCAGCACTGAGCCAACGGTGTTATCAGAAAATGACAATCTTCTGTCACCGCACTGGAAAGTCAGAAGGCTTTAATGTGAAAAGGGCACATTATCCCTTATGCTTGTATCACCATTAAATATATGGTATTTAAACCCTTTAACTTTATATTAGGACAATATTGGCTTGCAGAAGCTTATCTTATCACTCTGATTCGGAGGCATCAACATGCTTCAACAAGCCTGAACTTGCAAGCACAGCTGTAGCATAATGTCATCCTGCAGCCGGTTTACTCTGCAGCAGACCCTCCTCTCTACAACAACAAACAGCTGGAGCAAATAGAGAAACAGGCACCAGGTTCAATGCAGTACAGTTCTATCACTTCCAAATTAACCTAATTTCCTTCATCTTTAGTGCAAGTCCAATTTATTATTACAAGCAACTTTCCAAACAACACAGCGTATGAAATTATCCACCAAATTATCCAGTTTTGTTTTTCTCACACAAGACGCCGGTGATTAGGGGGAAGAACTGAGGAAGGAGGGAAAGTATTTACTCACAACATGGTTATTTGATATGTTTTATCACCAGGAACAGGAGGTACACATCAGCATTCGGATCTGCGTGCTCCAGTAGTTATGGGATTAGGAAGGCTTACCTGCTTTGTAGGCTATTGTGTTGGTTTTGGCCACAGACTTCTTATAACACAGGTAGACAGAGGAGCCCCACTGAAAACAAGATCAAAATGGGAAACGTTAGCATGTTGTTCTTTATGAAAGACACGGGCAACTAAATGCATACAGGGCTTAGAGCTGCAGACCAGTTACTCCCTCTCAAAGTTGAAATTATTACCTCATTTGATGAAATCATATAAAAGGCAGCTCAATGTTTTTAAAGAGCCATTTAAGTGGTTTTGCATGTTTTAGCCCATTGTGATCACCAATGACTCTCACAATGCTGCTATAATGATGCATGTGGAGCAGCAGACTAAGAATTTGAACCAGAAGAAGCGAGGTAAAGTAAGTCTTTTCAGCTACAAATTCTGAATATTTTACATTAGTGGTGGCGATCTGAATGGAAAAAAAGTCATATCACGATCTATTTAAGCTCAATCATGATCCATCATTTGGACAATTAAAACACAATATTACATTAAAGATACTACACAGGCTTCAAGGTGGTGACTAACACCTGAGTTTAAATCAATTAATTTGAAGCCAAAAGACAAAATAATCATAAGATCACACTTTAAGTACTCCATCAACTCAATTACAATATGTCACCCAAGGAAGAGCCACGAGGAGTAATTTGTCCAGTCTGCGTTGGCTACATCACTCTGTTGGTTTGTTCACATAATGTGGATCTGCTAGTCAATGAAGTTATGTGAAGAATAGAAGAACAAAGACATTAAAAACCACAGTTTTTATGATTATTCACCTGAAAATAATATTGCAGAGGGCTTAGATCACAATCTACAACCCAAACTTTATATTACAGAAAACCATTAGAGGCCTGAAACCTGCTGCAGATACAGAAGGTACTTTGTCACAGTTAACTTTTTATTTTTGTCCCAGTGATGTTATTAGTGTGTAACACAGTCACACAAGCACAGCCCCATTTAAAAACCCTCCTTTTTAGGTGCATTAAGGATGCGCCGACATACGAGATTAGAGTCAGCTGCTGAACACAAAAAACCTTTTAAATCCAGCAAACAACCATACATTTACAAAGTGTGTGTGTGAGTGTGTGTGGGAGTGAATGGGTGAATTAGAGGTAAATTGTAAAGCCTTTTTGTCCGCTGAAGCAGAAAAGTACACTGTAACTGAATTCTATTATCATTCATCATTTGGCCTTAATTAAAATGTCCCAATCAAGCCAGACAGTGTTTAATTATCAATAAACTGGAAAGTCCAGTACAAAGACGTTATTACCCCTCCAGCCAGAAGCGACAAACTAGACTCAGGCATCTAATAACCAAACCATTAGCAGAGAGCAAAGATTCATCTGATAAACACATCTTGTTTGGGATAATTAGTCACTGCGAGGGGAAGATGGTGTATGGCAACTAAAAATTGTAATATATCTTTAAATCTGGACATGAAGTACGCACCCGGAGCTGTGCGGAAATATAAAAAAATTATCTTCACAGCTCCTACATTAGTCAGATTGAAAAATGAGTGTAACTAAATCCCAATTCTTTTGTAGGAGCCTCAATTTCTCCTACATGCACCACAAGTCTCTGTAGATTTATATACACTCCCTGGCACACTTACTCTGCATGAAGAGATTTTTACGACACACGTGCAGTCACACACATGCACATAGTTTCTCAGCGGGGGTAGCCTGTTCTACAGTATGAAATGCCAAATGTAGACCAAGCTGACACAGCAAGGACTTTTACAGTATCCTACAGTGTGTGTGTGTGTGTGTGTGTGTGTGTGTGTGTGTGTGTGTGTGTGTGTGTGTGGCTGGGTGGGTGGAAGAGAGAGGGGCAGAGAGGCAGAGAGATATTAGCACAATATGACAGGAGAGTGGACAGGGAGAGATATTTGTCTACAGCACGAATACTGTGTGAGGAGGAAACCAAACAGAGGAGCAGAGGCCATGAAGCTCGAGGGACTCTGCATCCCTCTTCGAAAAGAAACAAGACTGGATCGGTATAAACACACACAGCATTAATAAACTTCCTGAGGTAATGTAGGAGTGTTTTACACAATTTTCCATAATTAGATGCACTACCAAGCTCCAGTGACTCACCTAGGGGCTGAAATCTCTCTCCTAACTACTGCAAAACAGCAATTAACTTGAAAAAGAGAATAAATAGGTAAGATTCAGTCTATTTCTCATTTTCTGTCCTTCACAACGCCAGCAATGTTCCAGCACAAATTCAAAGGCTGACATTTTTTGTCAACACAATCATTTCAAATTAAACTGCTGAACTCTACCTGAAGGAGAGTATGGGAGCTAAATATGTCGGTGTTTGTCAGGCTGACTCATAGTCATTGCAGTAAGGCTCAATGTCTTCTTGCATTGCTGAGTGCAGTACCGGAGCTCAAATCACCAATTTAAAACATGTGGAGAAGGTTTGGAGTAAAGTGAGTTGAGGATTCAAGACTCAAAACATCTTGACATTTTGAATTTCAGACAAGGCTCTGACAAGATGAGCACTAAAGCCTGCTGAACTCAAAATATCCTGCAGTAACTTCAGTAAAAAAACACACCCACCCTCATATATTATTATATCTTTTTATGACATTCATGAAGAATTTGATACAACTTTGGGGTGCCCACTTACCCTCAACCTACACCCTCTACCTCAAGTTACCCTTTATCTTGATTTTCAAGAATTATCATTAACAACTAAACCAGAAGGAGGATGAGCAATTCAACTCTTCTGCGATAGATTCCTCCCCGCATGACTGTTGAATGATTTTGCAAAAGGGTGGCAGAAAGAAAACCTTGCTTTTTGACCAAGAAACTCCTCACCAAACAAAATGTTAAAAGTACAAGATTTCTGTACACCAGCGTCTCTCTCACCATGCTGCTGTTGAGATTCTTCTCCACCTTGCAGAAGGTGTGCGGGGGTGCCTCTCCTTTGCTCGGGATGATGATGCAGATGTCGGTGACAGCCAGGGCGGTGTGCGGCTGGCTCTCGGGCGCCCGGCGGTACGTGGCGTAGATGCGCTGGGAGGAATTGCCGCTGATGTTGGCTGGGCGGCCGGAGGGCGTGGTCTGGATGAGGTGGCAGCCCTGTTTCAGTCTCTCCTTCCACTCATACAGCACGCTGCGAGGGGAGGCACGGCACAAGGAGTCAGCCAAACAAAACTCCACATCGATGTGTAGTTATTAGTGTGATTACCATGTAGAATTAATCAACACAATATGCCGTCGTGATCTCATTGGGCCAATTAGGTGGAGCTCCCAATTTAAGTCTAACATTGGGCATTTGTCCCAGTTTTCAGTGGCTGACAGAATGGAGTTGATTAAGCTTAATGTCTGCTTTGCACCTCATAACCAGCAAAGCAGGATTGATGCGATTCATAAAAAAAGAAAAAACGAGCAGAAGATCTATGGGCTTATAAAGTGGCAGTTAGTGTACAAATGTCTCCTCAACGTCAAGCTGAGGGCCACTTTTAAAGCCACACTCAAATGAGTCATTACCTCAACATATGAGGTAAAAAAAGCTGAGTGCCATCGAGGTTGTGTTCAGTTGTTGTTTCCAAAAAGCTGCAGATTCTCCTGCCATTTTAGTTTCTCATAATAACGATAGCAGCTGGTAAAAGACTGACAGTTTGGTCGTGCAAATGCCATTTTCCATGTCAGGTAACAAAAACATCTCACATAAACAGACATCACAGGACAATGTAGCCGAGTAAGGAGCTCCAGCTGCATTCGAACCCAAAATGACAAACAGTTCTGCTTGTGGAGGAGTAATCATGGAGTAAAAAATTACTTCATTTTCTTTTGTATGTGGGCTTTCTGTGGCAAGCAAGTGATGATCATAAAGTCGGGTGGGTGCATACTGTATGAGGCTGTATTTAGAAGCAGCATATCCACTCATTACTTACTGTCCCCTTCTTATCTATGGACCATGCTTTAAACTAGAGCATGCTTTGACCTAATTTTACATATTGTACGTTTGGTATTATTGTGCAAAATAGTTTAGAATAATTCCCACTCCTTTTTGATAACAGTTGAACAAGCCTCTGTCAGAACCTTGCTCTCCTTTCCTGTACTTAGATATGCTATGTGATCTGCTAGGCTTGTCTTGCGAGGCAGCTTGACTCACAAGATCACAAAATCCTGCGAGAATCCATCTTGCCAGGTTGCCTGTTTCTAAACAGTTTCCAACAACGCTTTCCCAGGTAGTCCTGTGTAACAAACCATCTGGAGCAGGTTAGCCTCATCTATGTTGAAAAGACAAATTAATTTGGAAGGATAAAAAATAAAAGTGACTCATACATTGTCATATTTTAAGTTAGTAACGACTGATGTAAATGATGTAGCTAGTAAGATATGAGGTATATATGTCACTTATCATATTTTAACGTTATTTGGTTGTATTTTCAACATAGACGAGCTTAACACAAAGTTTAACTAACTACAGGAAAGGAGAAGGTTGACTGAGGCTTGCTCGACTCTTATTGGAGCACAGAGCGAAAAGGGGCGGGGCTTAGGAAGGGTCAAGAGAGATTATTGTGGAGTTTTTATATAAAAATAAAGTTTTTGCCTTCTATCTATTTTAGCAAGAGTCTTAAAAGTAATAGTTTACAACCAACTAAGTTTTTTTAATGACAACAAGCAAACCTAAAGTGTGATTTTGTGTATCTGACAATCCCAACACAGTACCGCATGTAGGCTTATGTACTGTACACCGTCAGTCAAAGCATATTAACCCAATACAGCTTTACAATTAGGCACAAGAGGACACTCACACAAACCACTTAGAGGATGAGTACTCAGAGGTACGTAACAGTAGCAGTAATTTTAAACATCCCTCTTTGTGCTTCCATTATGCACTTATCCTCCATTACTGCTTCAAGTGGAACTCAACAGGCATTTTGAGGCACTATCTGAAAGCTGAAAAGAGAACAGAATTGAAAGTGGTCAGCTGTGGGATTTTTTTATTCTCGTCTATTTATCATTTCAGTATTCATTGCTGTGGTGATTCTGCTCTGCTCTGCTCTACCCTGTGTGCACATTTTTCTCTGCTGTTACATCAGACCTTCCCACCATCAGACCAGTGCAGTTGACATTCGTCCTTTATTGACAGAGCCACCAATTCTGTAGAATTTTAAACCGGCCTTTGTGTTTGCCAAATGAGACCTTGAATGCCTCTCCAAACAGCTGGAGTTGTGTGAGGAGGTCAGAGTTTAGTGCAGGATTTTTCTAAAGGGGCTGATCTTTACTTTAGGTGAGGTGGCCCACCACTCTGTGAGAAGATAAACCATTAAAGGTCCAGTGTGTAACATTTAGAAGGATCTATTGGCAGATATGGAATATAATGTGCATAACGATGTTTTCATTAGTGTATAATCACCTGAAAATAATAATCCTTGTGTTTTTACAACCTTAGAATAATCCTTTTATATCTACAGGCGCTGCAGGTCACCTTCCATAGAGGCCGCCGTTTTGAACCACCATGTAGGGCTGTAGTTTCTCCTTCATGCTTGAAAGGGGACGGTGCAACAATGTAATCTGCGTCTACACAATCCTACACACTGATCCTTTAAGAAATGTCTGAAATAAAGCATGAATATTCAGGGGAAAAGAGCAGAGGTGCTATTTCACACAGAAAATGTCACATATTTATTGATCGTGGCTTCTGTTTGGGCCGTCAGCTACTAAACTAAAGTGATCACATGCGTCAGTGTTTGGGTTGATAATAGCCTCTGCTTAACCCTCGAGGTGCCAGTGCTCATCAATTTCCTTTCTAGTCCTCAGTATTGAAGCCAAATTGATATTAATATGACCGCTGGTCACAGATAATAGTAATTATTCCCTCTGCATAAATAAAACTGCACATAAATAATGGCTACACCTGCACACACACACACACACACACACACACACACACTTCCCATTAGTCCCAACAATGTCTGGGAAGTGCAGCCCCTCTGAGCTATCAGCACACAAAAGCTGCTGATAGTGTCTGAGCAGAGCCTCTGTGTCAGTGCCTGATAAGCACTGCACTCTGTAGAGTCAGAGGCCAGTATGAGCCTCCTTAGCATTGTCACCACCTGCCTGTGTCAGCCAGAGGTGTGAGAGCACTGAACAAACAGTATTGACTTCCCCCCAGTTCAAAGGATGTTGCTGAGGAGGACACCTGTAACTGCGGTGCTTCGCGCTGCTGAGAAAATCACAATGGGGGAACGGCTGCAAGGCATACAGAAAGAGGCTGCTATGGAAAACTGCTGCACAGGAGGGAGTTTTTAGGCAGAGCGCTTTCCAAAGTCAGAGCACAGCTTTTCAGAACAGACATGATATGGACTGTACTTTTTTAAAATAGGGACTGTACTCCTCACTCACAATAGCAAGGAACAGCGGGGCAGAGTTTCATGGTAACTAGAAAGCTGACAGTTACAGAAATAACTGCAACCTCTGCAAACGTTTGCTGACAGTAGCAGCTAATCATTACCAGGAATGAGACAAATAATAAATACAGTGCTGCAATACATAAAGAACATTGCCGTGTGAGTTGGATAGATCAGACTGTGCACTTCATTACAGTGAGTCATTATTATAGATGTCTGGAAAACTCACACTCGTAACTTTAAAGCAAAAAAAGGTGAATCCGTTTCCATTAACCGCCCCTTGGATAATATATTCTACAGCAGTTGAAGCAGAAGCAGGAGCTGTAACATCAAGGTTCATCACACCTTCTGTGTCAGTATACCACACAACCACTCCGGCTTTTTGTAGAGGTGCCTTTATTGTGAAACCATCATCATTATCAGTGAAATAAGCTGGCTCAGCCTGTGACTGACTGTAGAGATAAAGGATGTTATTAGGATATATGGACTAACAGTCTAGACTCGGTGGTCACAATACCAATGCAGACTCTTTTCTGCAGAGCAGCCTGTCCATAGCTGGTTTTAAAGCGTGACTGCGGAGATGCAGAGGCAGACAATGTGTCATCCTTTACCTGTTATGCTATTAAGCATCTACATTTGGTTTTACAGTTGGTTGGATATCATTTATTCTTTACAATTTGGCTACATAGCTCTAGGCTGAGGCAATAGGAGCTATAACAGTCTTTACTTTGAAATAAAATCTTTTTTTATAAAAGTTTTTATAGTCCCTTTAAAATTATTTATTTATATTTACTAGCAGCATGGCTCAAGGATGGCACATTTCAGTCTGTCAGTCCACCAGACTGAAACCTCCCCTGACTTTTAATTCAGCACCACCATGATGTTGACATCTGTGTTTTTGGATTAACAGCAGGTCAATCTGAATTTGTTGATTAAAGTTGGGTTTATGGTTTACTAAATACCCTCAAAACGAACCACATTCCCATCGGACCCAGCTGTTATTTGTGCTTAATTAGCAACTGTTAGCACGTTAACATGCTAAACCAAGATGGTGAACAACATCAGCATACAGCAGGCTCATTGGGAGCCTGTTAACATACTGACTTCAGCATCTGTGTCTAAATACAGCCTCACATGGCCGTAGACTCCTTTCAATACCCACAATGTTTTGTGTTGTGTTGTTTTTAACACAGCAAAATACATCAGAAACAAAGATCAACTCTCCTTTGGAACTTACCCAAGGTCAGTGAGAGGCGGCTTGTCACGGCCCCGCCTGTAGCACAGGAAGATCTGGGGCGCCATGAGGCCGCCATTGTTAAGATCAGCTGAATGACCGCTTGGTGTTTCCTCTATGCATGTGAACCCTGGCGGCACCTCCTCGCCCATCGAGCGGATCACCACCGCCACATCCGTGATGGGCGCCTTGGGCTTGGCCGTCTTGTGGCAGACATCATCAAAGTGGATCTCCTGGTCCAACGGCTTGGACGGGTCCGTCAGACCGGCCACCACAAAGTAGTCGGCTACACGAGGGCCTTTGTCCTCCATCATCTCCCATCCCCGCCAACTGCCTGCACGGTTACAAAGGGGAAAGGAGTTAGACAGACATAGAGACACAGAGAGGGAGACAGAGAGAGAGGGGAGATTGATTTTCGTCATGGTAGCAGGTACAGACAGTTCTTGCGTCCTTGCTATGGCAGTGAAATAAAAAATCTGAGTCATAAATCTTACTGAGGAGAGGCCAGGAGAAGGGCAAATTAAAAAAAAAGGGTAAAAATGTGAGGAGGAGAGGGGCTACAATTAGGTAGCAGGTAGCCATTCACAGTTAAGGCCATTAGCTAAAGCTCTTTGACCAGATTGATTTTAGTTCACATGACCAGCTAAAGGTTCAGAGTCCTGGCTCAAGGACAAAACATTTGGCTCTGGAGAGAACAGAACATAGTTGGTGTAGAGGGTTTTAAACATTTCTCTAATTCTAAAAACTGAAACAGCACAATTAAAGCTTGGCTGGCTACACAGACCTGAGTGTGCATTTTAAAAAGGGAGCAGTGAGGTGTTTCTTCACACTTGACATTCTGCCTCAATTACAGGCCGGTCCCACATAAAAACCCGCTGATTAGAAGCCTTGTGATATCACAGAGCCCATTAAGCGGGCTGATAAACGCCAATAAACAGTAGTTTCCTTAATCTATCCTAAGAAGGGCATGTCCTGACTGCACATCATCATCTACACTTTATGAAGAAGCACAGACTGAAAGGTACACCGACATGGGCGAGTAAACAGGATAGCACCACGGCAAACACCTGAGAGGTCACTTCCCAATGATTGTGACTGTTTTTTCTACCAGGACATCATCACAAAACTTCACTACCACAATTATGTTCATATATTGTAGAAAATGCATGAGTTACAGCTGTGATCGTTTCAGTCAAGTAACGGTTCAATCTCCTAACAACGGGAGTGCACTTTCTGCTTCAGAAACACAGGGAGACTCAACAAACACTTTCACCACCCTCTGAGGACAGCCAGTGATTCCTGATGTTCTGTGTTACTTTGATCCAGCTCTGCAGTCGACCACTGATTGTTTGCAGTGTCATGATCACAGTGCCATTTCAAGAAAACAAGAGGAGTTTAAGACCACTGAGGTCAGAGTCTGAGACAAAACTCCTAAAACAATTTGGGCCAAAGACACAACTGAGAGGAAAATTAATGGTGTGAGGAGAGACTAAGACATATGTACAAAGAGCAGCTGCTGGAGGCTTTGCCAAAAATGTTGAAATTGTGTTGCTTGCTTCGTTTAAAAGGCACTTTTTGCCTCCTTGATTTGATTTTAGGAGGAGGAAATGACAAAACACATTTGCATCACATACTTATTAACCCCTTAATGACTAACAACTATATTTTGTATGTTAAGGAAAAAGCCCCACAGGTGTTTTTCTAGTTAGAGGTGGAAACCCAAAATCTGATTTCATATATTTATCATGCCTTAATTGGTAGACAAAGTTGCATCACAACTTTAACTTTGGTTTGACATTTTAAATTTCAGATCGACACTTGATTAGTTGTTGTTTTGAATGCAACGGCACTAAGCACTGGATGTAACAACGTGTAGCCATTAGTCATGAAGGGTTGCTCATTTTATCCTATAGGAATACTGAAATAAAACGTCCCTATGGTCTTATATAATTCCACTGTGGACTGTGGGTTTTTTTCCTGAACACTACATATAATACTCTATTGTATGTCATGGAAATAGAGTAACACCAGACTTTTGTAGCTGTTTCGGGCCGTGTGTTCTTACTGATCAAACTCTGTGAGTACAAAGATGAAAAATACATCAAGACAACCTGCAGTGACACACAAGGATACGTATATTTGATAAGAAATGGTTTTCCTTCTCACTGTAGACATTTCTTTTACCCAATTATTCTTCAGTCGACAATATTGCCATGAGCCCTCACTCTGATGTGACAGTATGTGGATAAAGAGAGGTTACATAATGTTCTTCTTACCTCTGCTTGACAACGCAGATCTACATTCTGCATAATAGTCTTAAAGAAGGCTAAATTGCTGAAGAACAAAATACTGTAAGCTAGTTTAGTGTAACAGTGGACTTTTTTTTCCCTTTGGCAGCGTCTCTCTGGGTGTGGTGTAAAGTCTTAGTCTGCCTCAGTGACCAGATTCATCACTCAACCTCTTGACACTCGAGCCTCCGGGACACAAGTTTGTCTCCGTGGGTTCAAATGAAACTTTACCCCTGCCGGTACGCTTGTTCCTCTCCAGGTCAGCCATGCAAATCCACAGGAACACATTGGGTTCATGACAACTGAAATCAGGAGGTATGAGAACTGTGTACCTGCATAGCAAGTACACAGATAAGAAACAGGATGCCATTCAAACAGGTCTCTCATATAAAACATCATTTTGTACAGATGGCAAACCGAGGATGGGAAAGCTGTGTGATTTCTTTAAAAACATTCCCAAGTTGCTGCACACAATCAGGGACCATTTCTCATCCAGAGAGCCATTTCATTGCAAGCAGATTTTGTAGCATTAAAGTTACTCTGAATAATTCAACTAGACACGGTCTGTGATTCCAAGCATATGCAGTAAGAGGGTGTGGGAAAAAGAGGTTCAATTAGCAGGGTGTGTAGCTAGTGCAAGTACGTTGGCCCAGAAGAAAGGTAAAAAAGCTGCCAACTCCAGTCTGTGTGATGATATGCTAACAAGACCTCAGCTGCCATCGCAGAGGCGTAAACCGCTGTTAGTTCATCCTTTTATTCCCCTCACCATCAGAGACGATCGCAAGTCACGAAGAGATCAAAGTGACAAACTCTTCCTCTATTCTGACCTCTACCAGTGAATCTCCTCCATCTGGACATCATCAGTTTCGGTCTTTGATCAGCAGCGGTGCTGAAAACATTTTAGGTGAATGTGTCCTTTTCACACATGTTGCCACACAGACTGTCAAGAAGCACAAACATAAAAGCAGCCATGTCATTTTCGATATAAGACCAAGCAGGCTGAATCCTGTCATCCAGGCTGCAGCAGCAGATGGAACAGAATCCCATTTGTTTCTGTATTTTCTTCATTAACAGGTTCAGGTTATTTTCAGTCTGTGACTCTGTCAACAGCTAGATTCTTTTAGACACAACATTTGGCAGAGAGAGAGAGAGGTTTGTTTACATAAATCTAACTGAAGCTGTTTATTGCTATAATTAAATTATCTTTGCAGGGTCAATGAGCCAAGCTTATGTCCAAATAAAGAGCGATTTATGTTTCTGTCTTTGCTGATCACTTCCAGCTATTGACAGATGGTGAGAAAACGCTGGTTCACTGTGTTCTGGCTCTTGCACTCGGATTACAAATACATCTCACCTCATCACTTCTTCACTGTGGTGAAGCTGATGAGAAGACAAGTCACAGCGAGCTAATTTTCTGTGCAAACTGATTCCTGGTCAGCCCTGATAAGGCAGAAGGAACAGAGGTGAGTTAGGTGGACCTAGGAGCTCTAAGGGCCGAACATCTGCACAGCATCCTGAGTCCGGGACCACAGTGTGTGTTCAGCTTCCTGTCCAACACACAGTGCAGACTCATAAATGTTCATGGGACACTCGCATTACACCACATTGGTGCAACACCCAGAGGACAGGATGTGGGACACGTGCTCACTTCTCTTTCAGAAATGTTTACTTGAGAATTGAACACAATAAAAAATTCATAATTTCAAAATAAAAACAGGTCCACTGCAGCAAGTGAAAACTCAGCCGGTGTAAATAGCTTCACTTATATTCGCTTATAATAACCCTTCCCTTCTTTTGGTGGCGTGACAGAACAGCTGAGGCACACGGAAAACAACAGCAAAAGTAAAATATAAAAAGATATGTGTGGGAAGCTCGCAGTGATGGGACAAACACACAGATTCCTATTGCACCTTCTCACGAGCTCCCAACACTCTCTGCCATTAAAAGCCTGCATGTCAGCGTGTGTGTGAAAAGGCTGACAGGCTGACAGACAGTCTGAAAGAGAGGTGAGACATTGATGAAGTTCTGTGTGTGTGCAAGCACAAGGTCCTGAGGTCACATTCTTGTATTTCACAGGCACGATGAAAGGCAGGAGATAACATGGCGAACATGTGTGGTTTTGTCAAGTGCAGGACAACCGCTTAAAACTTAAAGCCAATCCTAGTTCTGTTCTTCATTTAAAACCTATGCAAAGCATATGTAGTCCATATGATATATTAATGAAAGGAGGGGTGGAATTACCCAGGGTGACGGCCTGTACAGCGGCTATCTCGTTTCTTGCAAATGACTGCTGCTTTATTGACCCAGAGGGATTTTGCATGAGACTCAACCTGAGGGAAAACATGGGTATTGTTTCATGGAGCACACTGCAAGTACAGTTAACTCCTCACTTGGTACAGAACTGTAACAAAAAATATTGACCTAATTTATTGCTGTCCAATGGACGCAAGGCAGCGAAGAGCTCAGCAGTGTCACTCCCCCATCAGAGAGACTACACGGCCACATGACGGGCCAAAGAATGACACTCATCCATGCCATGCTGTCAGCCTGCTAAAAATACAATGCAAACCAAAGCAGAAGCACTGTGGCACACGTTACATAACGATTACATATATATACTGTATTATACTGCATAAGAGTATCAAACCGCCTCTATTGTCTTCAACCTGCTCTCTCTGCCTGCCCTACATTTCAAGAACAGAAGAAATCAACATTGCTGACTTCAGGATAGAGACGCAGGCGACAGAATGAAAAAATGTAATTCCAGATTTCACAGTTCCTATTTTTACTAAGCCGTCATCAGTCAGTCTTCTTGTTAAAAGGTAACTACGAGGATTTATGGGTTACACAACAAAAACAGATCCATTGAGAGACATTCGTAGCTGCATTTACATGATGATGTGAGATGTTCAGTCCGTGCAGAAACAGTTACCTTACAGATTAACACATTTTCCCCAGACAGCCTTGAATTGTGCTGAGGAGGCATAACAGTGTAAAACGCCCATCTATTTCATCTGTAGTTTATTGATTTTCATGCACAGATCAT